GGTGTCAGCCCGTTTCCCTGCTGTTGTTCCTAGAGTGTTCCCTTCGATAGCTCAGTTGGTAGAGCGGAGGACTGTAGGATGTTTCTGCTGGAAAAAGCAGAGATCCTTAGGTCGCTGGTTCAACTCCGGCTCGAAGGATGTGCTTTTCTTTGGTGTGAACATTGTACTGGGTCTGATCACACTGAAACAATGCCAAGCCTTGTCTTAAATCTGAAAACTTCACCACTCATATAATGTACAGACAGAAACAAGATCACTCTGGTTACATGTTCCAACCATAATGCCCCTCTTCACCCTGCCTAAAAGTACTGATCATCACCTGGGTCCCTGGCAATGACTGCTGGGTAAAAACTGCAAGCTTGTTTGGCAGGAAAAACTGGGCTTTTGATAGAGCATGGGGGGTAGAGTCGTTCTATGGGCATATTGTGTGATGTTAGCCCCTGTTTCCCTGTAATTGGCCTTTGGGTACTCCCTTCGATAGCTCAGTTGGTAGAGCGGAGGACTGTAGGATGGAATTGAAAAAAATTGCAGGAATCCTTAGGTCGCTGGTTCAACTCCGGCTCGAAGGATGTGCTTCTTATTGGTGTGACCAATGTACAGGGTCTAATCACACTGAATTGATGTCAACCCTTATCTTCAATCTGAGAACTCTATTACTCAAAATGTACAAACAGAAATAGCTTTGCTCTGCAGGTAAGGCTGGGCTTTTGATAGACTGTGGTTGGTGAATAGTTCTGTGGGCATATTGTGTGGCGTCAGCTCCTGTTTCCCTGTAGTTGCAACCCAATTGTTCCCTTCGATAGCTCAGTTGGTAGAGCGGAGGACTGTAGGATGTAATTGATGAAATTCCAGAAATCCTTAGGTCGCTGGTTCAACTCCGGCTTGAAGGATGTGCTTTTCATTGGCACGGCCAATGTTTTAGGTCAAATCACATTGAAAAAATGCCAATCCTTGTCCGCAATCTGAGAACTACATCACTCAAAATGTACAGGCAGAAAACAAGATCACTCCGGTTACATGTTCCAACCATAATGCCCCTCTTCACCTTGCCTAAAAGTACTGATCATCACCTGGGTCCCTGGCAAAGACTGCTGGGTACAAACTACAAAGCTTTGTTTGGCAGGAAAGACTGGGCTTTTGATAGAGCATGGGGGGTAGAGTTGTTCTGTGGGCATATTGTGTGGTGTCAGCCCGTTTCCCTGCTGTTGTTCCTAGAGTGTTCCCTTCGATAGCTCAGTTGGTAGAGCGGAGGACTGTAGGATGTTCCTGCTGGAAAAAGCAGAGATCCCTAGGTCGCTGGTTCAACTCCGGCTCGAAGGATGTGCTTTTCGTTGGTGTGAACATTGTACTGGGTCTGATCACACTGAAACAATGCCAAGCCTTGTCTTAAATCTGAAAACTTCACCACTCATAATGTACAGACAGAAACAAGATCACTCTGGTTACATGTTCCAACCATAATGCCCCTCTTCACCCTGCCTAAAAGTACTGATCATTACCTGGGTCCCTGGCAAAGACTGCTGGGTAAAAACTGCAAGCTTGTTTGGCAGGAAAAACTGGGCTTTTGATAGAGCATGGGGGGTAGAGTCGTTCTATGGGTATATTGTGTGGTGTCAGCCCGTTTCCCTGCTGTTGTTCCTAGAGTGTTCCCTTCGATAGCTCAGTTGGTAGAGCGGAGGACTGTAGGATGTTCCTGCTGGAAAAAGCAGAGATCCTTAGGTCGCTGGTTCAACTCCGGCTCGAAGGATGTTCTTTTCGTTGGTGTGACCAATGTACTGGGTCTGATCACACTGAAACAATGCCAAGCCTTGTCTTCAATCTGAGAACTCCATCACTCAAAATGTACAAATAGAAAGATCACTCGTGTTTCATGTTCCAACTTTAACAGCCTTCTTCACTCTGCCTTAAATAACTGATCATCACCTGGGTCCCTGGCAATGACTGTTGGGTACAAACTGCGAAGCTTCGTTCTGCACGTAAGGCTGGACTTTTGATAAACCATGCGGGGTAGAGGTGCTCTGTGGGCATATTGTGTGGTGTCAGCGCCTATTTCTCTGAAGTTGGTGCCAGAGTGTTCCCTTCGATAGCTCAGTTGGTAGAGCGGAGGACTGTAGGATGGATTCGATAAAAATTGTAGATATCCTTAGGTCGCTGGTTCAACTCCGGCTCGAAGGATGTGCTTTTCATTGGTGTGAACATTGTACTGGGTCTGATCACACTGAAACAATGCCAAGCCTTGTCTTAAATCTGAAAACTCCATCACTCAAAATGTACAGACAGAAAACAAGATCACTCCGGTTACATGTTCCAACCATAATGCCCCTCTTCACCTTGCCTAAAAGTACTGATCATCACCTGGGTCCCTGGCAAAGACTGCTGGGTACAAACTACAAAGCTTTGTTTGGCAGGAAAGACTGGGCTTTTGATAGAGCATGGGGGGTAAAGTTGTTCTGTGGGCATATTGTGTGGTGTCAGCCCGTTTCCCTGCTGTTGTTCCTAGAGTGTTCCCTTCGATAGCTCAGTTGGTAGAGCGGAGGACTGTAGGATGTTCCTGCTGGAAAAAGCAGAGATCCTTAGGTCGCTGGTTCAACTCCGGCTCGAAGGATGTTCTTTTCGTTGGTGTGACCAATGTACTGGGTCTGATCACACTGAAACAATGCCAAGCCTTGTCTTCAATCTGAGAACTCCATCACTCAAAATGTACAAATAGAAAGATCACTCGTGTTTCATGTTCCAACTTTAACGGCCTTCTTCACTCTGCCTTAAATAACTGATCATCAACTGGGTCCCTGGCAATGACTGTTGGGTACAAACTGCGAAGCTTCGTTCTGCACGTAAGGCTGGACTTTTGATAGACCATGCGGGGTAGAGGTGCTCTGTGGGCATATTGTGTGGTGTCAGCGCCTATTTCTCTGAAGTTGGTGCCAGAGTGTTCCCTACGATAGCTCAGTTGGTAGAGCGGAGGACTGTAGGATGGAGTCGATAAAAATTGTAGATATCCTTAGGTCGCTGGTTCAACTCCGGCTCGAAGGATGTGCTTTTCGTTGGTGTGAACATTGTACTGGGTCTGATCACACTGAAACAATGCCAAGCCTTGTCTTAAATCTGAAAACTTCACCACTCATAATGTACAGACAGAAACAAGATCACTCTGGTTACATGTTCCAACCATAATGCCCCTCTTCACCCTGCCTAAAAGTACTGATCATTACCTGGGTCCCTGGCAAAGACTGCTGGGTAAAAACTGCAAGCTTGTTTGCCAGGAAAAACTGGGCTTTTGATAGAGCATGGGGGGTAGAGTCGTTCTATGGGCATATTGTGTGATGTCAGCCCCTGTTTCCCTGTAATTGGCCTTTGGGTACTCCCTTCGATAGCTCAGTTGGTAGAGCGGAGGACTGTAGGATGGAATTGAAAAAAATTGCAGGAATCCTTAGGTCGTTGGTTCAACTCCGGCTCGAAGGATGTGTTTCTTATTGGTGTGACCAATGTACAGGGTCTAATCACACTGAATTGATGTCAAGCCTTGTCTTCAATCTGAGAACTCTATAACTCAAAATGTACAAACAGAAATAGCTTTGCTCTGCAGGTAAGGCTGGGCTTTTGATAGACTGTGGGTGGTGAATAGTTCTGTGGGCATATTGTGTGGCGTCAGCTCCTGTTTCCCTGCAGTTGCAACCCAATTGTTCCCTTCGATAGCTCAGTTGGTAGAGCGGAGGACTGTAGGATGTAATTGATGAAAATCCAGAAATCCTTAGGTCGCTGGTTCAACTCCGGCTCGAAGGATGTGCTTTTCATTGGCACGGCCAATGTTTTAGGTCAAATCACATTGAAATAATGCCAATCCTTGTCCGCAATCTGAGAACTCCATCACTCAAAATGTACAGACAGAAAACAAGATCACTCCGGTTACATGTTCCAACCATAATGCCCCTCTTCACCTTGCCTAAAAGTACTGATCATCACCTGGGTCCCTGGCAAAGACTGCTGGGTACAAACTACAAAGCTTTGTTTGGCAGGAAAGACTGGGCTTTTGATAGAGCATGGGGGGTAGAGTTGTTCTGTGGGCAGATAGTGTGGTGTCAGCCCGTTTCCCTGCTGTTGTTCCTAGAGTGTTCCCTTCGATAGCTCAGTTGGTAGAGCGGAGGACTGTAGGATGTAACTGATGAAAATTCCAGAAATCCTTAGGTCGCTGGTTCAACTCCGGCTCGAAGGAACTGCTTTTTATTGGTTTGCCTTATCTTCAATCTGTTGATTGTATTCAATTACAGACAGGTTATGTTTTCCTTTAGATGTTTTCAATCATGAAATTTTGCGAGAGCCTCGTTTTTTGGATATTTCAATAACATTTCAATTTTCACGGACACAAGATGGTAAGACTCAGATTAATAACAAGTGGTATGTTTTTTTTCATTGCACATTGGATAAGGTCTTTTTTTAAATAAAAATAAATAAATAAAAAAAACTCTCAGAAAGTCAATCTAATTTGAAGGAAATTGTTTTTCTTAACAACTGTCATCTTTTAGTCACTGGAAACCTTATGTTTTTGTTTTCTACTCTGTTCTATTTTTAAAATTCTTAATTCAGAGAGCTCAAAATATTGGACATGTAGTTTCACAAAACCAAGGCAGTTTACTTATTCAAAGATACATTTACAGACGCCTTTTTAATTTTTGTTCAGATCTTCTACATAGATAAATATTTGCTGTGCAGGTGATAAATTGGCACAATGACTCATCAGTGTGGCAGAGATAGCGTGACAATATTGGAGCTCAAAGATCTATTAAGGGTTTTGAAATGTGAAGTCTTTCAGACATGCTTTCTTCTGAGGTCTGGTAAATGACAGTTTGATCCACTGACATAACTGACATATTATTTTTACCTTTTGCTATTTATGTAAACAAAAAAATAAAAATACTACAAGACACCAGAATACTGTAGTATGTAACACTTGAGAATGACCTCAGTTACTGATTTCTGCTTTTTGATCAACATTTCTGAATCCACAGTGATGTATTTTTGACATTTTATTGGCATTAAATGTGATACTGTGACAATGACAAATCATAAACAGGGTTACAGCGTTGACACTTGACATATTCCATTTCATTTCACGGCTGTCTCTATTTTTATTATTCAATATTGCTGGCAACAAGGGATATAGTTCTATTCATTGGAGCGCTTGAAACAATGTTTTGTTGAAACCATAACAGATCTACAACAGAGACACAGAATTGGGGGGTTAGATCGTAAATTATGGGGTTTAAATTGACAGTAGGTTCATGCAGACATACAGATTGTTTTTTTTTAAATTCACATAAGAAAATAGTGTCACCAACACACCTTATGATACACTGACAAGCCTTTTCTGTTTAATCGATGAAGGCAAGGTATTTAACTTTTTAGGTAATAGCGAAACATTTTGATTAATAAGCTACACAAATTACACCATCACTGGTCTACACTGTGTTTGAGCAACTCTTGGCCTCAGAGTGTAGATACTCTATTGTTCTATAGCACAGACAACGCCGACATTAGAAGGATATATTGACACTGGGGCACCATAACATAAACTTGGCATTTAATTTGCATGTGTGCTTGGTCCTGTGTTTGGTTTGGCTGACTGGCCACAGGTTCAGGCTGAGCTAAAAAAAAAAAACAGTGGAATGAAAGAAGGAACAAAACAGTGGCATCAAAAGTGGAGATGAAAATGTTAAAATCCCATTGATTCACAGAATTGAGGCCACTGAGACAATAAAGCCAGGAAAAAGGAAAACACAGAGGTAGATGCACAATAAATAGGAATGACAATAAAAGGTGGCTGAAGCTGTGCGGAGTATGTGGAATAAATGTGCAATTCTTAAAAAGGAGTGGCTCTGGTGTGTGAACATGTCATATACAGCTGCTGTGGTTTGTAAAGTGGTTTAGAGGTATATCAAATATTGAAGGTAAGGGCAACCTGTCCCTCAGGGCTTCTTTTCTCTTACCCTGGTTGTTCATTTCTTTGCACTTTAACTCATTATGTGTCAATTTTAGCGTAGAAACATACAGCTGCTTAAAATTAGCTCTGCTGTACTGGAAAAGGTCCAAAGACATTTCCTTTGGCTGTTTGTGCCTTTTTAAATTTGATCTCAAATCAGAGAGCTGAAGTTTTAATTTTGCAGTGTAGATATTAATTCACAGGTGGCAAACAGGTTTTAGGAGTTACATCAGATTTCATAGTTCTATTATTCTATAAACTCTCCTTTTCAAACCCTTTGTTCCTTTTTCTTATATGCTGTATAGTGTTCTTTACTTCCTGTAAGACACAAGCAATCTGGTTGAAGTCACAAGAGGAAAACCTGTGCATACTTGAATGAGATGTATGTTGATCAATTATATCTTTTAAAAATGGTCGGCCGAGCGGCAAACTCTTAAAGGGACAGACATAAATAGCATCTGAAGAGTGCACTGTTGGTTTTGATTCTTCACACACATTAACAGCTAAAGGAATGAATCAAATTCTGAAGTAAAGCGAGTATCAACGATAAATCCGAAGAAGAGAGAGCAGCGCGTTAGAGAGAGGGCAGTTTCATTATTATACAAAATAATGAAACAATGGCTTCATGGAAACTGGGTCGTCTTCCTCGTGGTCACATCTTCACAACATTAAGACACTAAGTTAAGGATGGAATGGTTGACTTGTTTTCACTGGTGGGTAAAATTGAAATAGATGGTGCAATAAAAGGAATCACTGATGCTTTAACAGCCAAAAGAAAGGAAATATAAACCGTGTTTGTTCTGTTTGCACTGATACAGATTTGTAATATAGTGGTCACCCAAGAAAACATTTTCTGCAGACAAGAATCGGCCCAAATCTTTCAATTCTTATTTATCCAGCTTCACTGTTCGGATTCCTTTGTTTTGGCAGTTAAATGCAGATAACAATAAAACACTGCTATTGGGTGTCAGGATGATGTTGTGCAGCAGGTCAGTTCTTCAGCACAGTGTCATACATCTGGTAGACGTACTGAGAAACCTCAGGGGCCCGACACTTAAGAGACAGCTGCGGAAAAAAAGGAGATAGCATCAATCATAAATGTGCACCTAAGCTGAATAAAAGGGAATTGAATCTGTCTAAAAAAAAGCTGTGACTGATGTCTCTTGGAAAATGGAGAGACAAAATTTGTAAAGACTAAAATGACAAAATTCCAAGAAAAGCACTTTTTTTTGTAATCAAAGAGCTACTTCATTTTTTAAAAGTTTGATCTTCCTTGTATCAAAATATCATCAAACACCAAATATTTGAAACTTCTCATTTAATGCTTCCTTGGTTGAATCACTCTAACATGCCAGAAATCAGCTGAATTGAACTTGTTGAATACCGTGTAGTTGGGGTTTCCAGGTTGAATGCGAAGCTCAGCCAGGATCCAGATACCATTAGTCAGTTTAAGGGACTGGTAAAGCATGTCCTGGCCTTCTACGTTTCTCTTGGCGATGGTGTAGATGTTGTTATTCTGCAGCTTTCCTGATACAGTGTCTGCAAGACAAAAAATATGGATGATCACACTTGACACGGCCCGACTACAATCTAATAACAAAGAGGAGCTACCTGAAATACACAAAGGTCAAAGCTAAGACCCTCTTATTTCTAAATACTAACACTTGGGTGCACATGATCTATCAAAAACTACTGACGGGTTTATCAGGGATTTCATGGGAAATCAGCTCTATGAGGATCTGAGTGTAGGTGGCGACCTCGTGATCAGGTGTGCTAAAACACTGTGGGGTACATCAGTCATCCTGCTGTTAGCATAATAGCGGCACAACTATGCAGAAGTTACAGATGTCCAGTTACAGTATAAGAGCAACTGTTGATGTTTCCAAAGTTAGGCATGCAGGTGTGGAAAAGAAACAGAGAAAGGTGAAAGAGTTTTTCACATGTTGTACTGAAAAAAGAGGGTTACTGGTCTTGACATGATTTTTGGTAAAAACTGTGGTAATGGTTGTCCTTTTTTGTGTAAACATTTCTTTAAGCACTCATGTAACAGCACTCAAACCAGAAATAAGTACTGAAAACACGACACTTGTCTTCAAGAATGACAAAATGAGAACATAGCATGGGTAACTAATGAAATGAAATGAAAATATTAATTTTTTTGAGGCATTCGGCTTAAGTTCAGGCTAAACTTATCTGAAGGAGATGAACAATCAATGCAAGTTAGCCAACACTTTGATTGTTTAAAGGAGACGTTTTCTGTCCTGAAAACCGTGATGTGACAATTTAACTCCTACGTTTTCCTACCTGCATTTAAGTGGCAATCCTTGATCTGATACTGAAGCTCATTCTCATTGGGAATGTCTTTCCAGGTAGCCAGGAACACCTGCCGCTCTAAAAGGAGAAAATAAAACAACATATCAATGCTTGTGGCGGAGACACTTTATTCATTATGTGCAGAGAACTCACACCAGAGCTTTCTGTAGTACTAGTATTTTTATAAACCTTGTCATTTCCAGTGTGAAAACCACATTAAAAACATATCCCAAGTTTTATTTATCTCTGTTTTTAACTGTTGTAAGAGATATTATGTTGTCATGGTGTTAAGATGACAAACAATGATGTGATCCATACCCATTTTTCCATCCTCCACAAAGAATATATTGAGAGGAATGAGTACGCTGAAGTAGAAGACATCGATGCTGTTCTTTACAGCCACCTGAGGATAAGAAAACAAAGATAACATGGATTTGACTTCATGAATTATGAATTAAGGTTTATTTAAACACCACAATCCTAAATTAACTCTGTTTCCAGATGTAGCCGTCAGTCATAATTCCTGACTACTGTACCTGCAGATTATTGAGAGGGTCCATCTTCATGACCGGACCGATTGTGTTGATAGGCAAAGAGATGTCCATACTCTGGCTGGGCATGAGTGGAGTGTGAATGGGCAGAGGACTGGTAGGAATCACCCCAAAACTATACGAAAGACACAAACACACGCAAAATCATTGATGGTAATCAGTTCATGTATTTGGTCAGAATATAAATCAAACTTCACTTTCAGTTTTTTTTAGTAGAAAATGGTAAATTGTTGCTGGTTGTTTTTCTTAAGGACATTTTTGAAAGCTTTGAAACCAGTTTCCAACCTTTGGATTTGTAATCCTCTTCGTCAACATACAAACACTAAATATGCAGTTCCTGTGAAAATTACCACATCACAACCACATTTGCACATGGGTGTCACGTTCCTAGTTAAGTAGTCTGTTGCATTCATTGCTCCGTTGAAGAACGCCAACATGCACAGATGCACTGTGTGTTTTTTCATGGTGATTCATAATCAAGTTAAAGCACCAGCTTCTGACCTGGCATGTATACTCCAGTGATTTTTGTGGATCTGTGTGCATGCAGATCGATTTGAAAGCATTGCCATATGAACGTGGATGTTTTCAAAACCACAAAGGGAGGACTTATTTTTTCACAGGCTGTAATTGAGTTTAAATCGCAGTTGAGTGAAACGTGTTCCCTGTAAGTCATCCCACTGACCTGTTCTTGTTGAACTGGACAGCAAAGTCGGTCATGTGTTGCAGAGCCTTGTTGGTGAAGGACATGTCCATATACATGTGACCCTGACGACGAGAGAAGGTGCCTGAAATCTCCAGACCCTTGGCTTTAACTGCAGGCAGCCACACCTGGTAAAGAAGAACCAAAGGGGTCAGTTGTCTCATATTCAATGAACCGTAGAGCTTATTATTCATACAATCAAAGTCAACTTGCTGGATTTGCAGCTGATTTTCTCCCTGGTGCTTTAAACTCACGCCTTTCTGTGTGATTTTGATTGATCTAGCAATTAGAAACGAAGCTTTTCTTCTTGCCCTGCTTTATTTTTATCGATTGAACAGACTTGGTTGTTTGAATAAGTTGTAGTTTGGAGTCACAGTTAAGAGGAACTCACTGCTTTCTGAGTCACATAACCCCCAGTGGTGATGGCCATGCCTGTGGAGAGCTCAAACAGGTCATTGAGCCCGCTGCTGGCAGCTGGAGGCGCAGGTGTGGGTGACGGGGCAAATGTACTCGGGACAGAGGAGGGGATGAAGTTTTGTCCCACCTGAAGCAATCACAACAAATACACACACACAAAAAAACACCATGATAAGCGATCAGTATTTAAACACAAATCACTGAAATCTGCTAAAATCCTACAAACACCACACACAAGCAATCTGAAGCCATGCAAAAGAAAGATGATTAATAACAAAAAAAAAAAGAAAACAAAAACTGAATTAAAGTGTGAATGGTTAGCTAACGCCCTGGTGACAGAAAAAGGGCGAGTGTGAAGTGAGGCCTACCTGCAGTTTGATGCCAAAGAAGCTATGATGAGCATGCACCAAATCAAAAGAGAGTAAAATGTAACAAAAATCCTAATTCTCCATCAAGTGTTGCCACTCATTGAATCATAGTTCTGGTTTCTCTGTATTATCAGAAAAATGTTGCATTAAAATAAACAAAATTATTGCTTATAACAGTTTTCAGACAGATTCTGGGCTGATCCTGATTAACTTTACACATTTTAATGAATATGTTAATAGAGTCCATGAAGACTAAAATGGAAGCCAGTATGAGTTTGTAACACCAAGTAGGAGGTTGACTTCATTCATTTTATTTTACTGATTTTATTTATTGTGTTTGTTTGTTATTTGATTTTACTGTGTTTTATCTCATTGCCTTTTAACACCCAGTAAGAGGTTAACTTCATTTATTTTATTTTATTGATTTTATTTATTGTGTTTATTTGTTATTTGATTTTACTGCGTTTTAACTCATTTAATTTTTACCTTATCTATTGTGCTTCCATTGTGTTTTTATTCTATTTTTATTTTGCTGTGCAGCACTTTGGAAACCTTGCATTTGCTTAAATCATGCTATATAAATAAAATGGATTAGATTGGATTGGAGAAAATTGGAATTTTAAACCATAATCTGGCTAAAACAATGATAAAAAATACAGTATGTGGTCTTCTAGGTGAAGAAATTTGAGACCCAGACAAACAAGCAACGTTTCAAAACTTGTTGAAAACTTGAAGATGTTTGTTTGAGAGTGTGATGGGTTAAATTGAGTAAGCATGCAGCATGCAGACAGGCAGGCAGACCGCCAAACAGAAGGGCTGGACTTACTGCTGGACTTCCCCCAACACCTCCGCCCAGGTCTCCCCCCAGCTACAGGAGAGAAGAGAGGCCCCCAAAGACAGCATCCAAACATCACAGACAGACCAAACAAAGACAGAGATAGAGACTTTCTTAGCAACCGCAACCCATCAAGAGGAGCCCTTCACTTCCTGGGAAAAACAGCAGCTTTGCTTGTTAAGTCACACATTGAACGATAAGACCTTAAATTCTGCAAGAAGGTTATCAAGAGGTCCAGTTATCCCAGCAGCTTGAGGAGGTGGAAAAGCAACTTATAACAGAGGAACAGTACACAGGGCTTTATGAAGCTCTGTGAGGAAAAACACTAAACAGTTATAGGATGTTATCACCAAATATTTGTATATTTCAAACCATTTCACAACATGTGTGAGTGAAGCAATTCATATTACAAGCCTGCATGTACATATACAAACAAACATAAGAAACACACAAATAAAGAAATTCAACGGGGTCTTGAGACCTGTCTTTCACATCAATTTGGTCCAGAAATGATAATTAACCTTTCTGAGCAAAGAGCAAAATCCTGAACTGTGATTAAGAAATCTGGAGCGAGATATTTGACCTACTGCTCTGTGAGTAAGATAATAAGTGTGTCTGTGTTTGTGAGTGTCAGTGAGTGTCCCAGCTAACCAAACTGTCCAGGCCTCCTCCCAGAAGGTCCACTGCACCCATCTGCATGGAGGAAACCTGGGGAACATTCACTGGAGGGCCCAGGTCCAGGTTTAGCAGGTCGCCCAGCAGGTCTCCCTGACTGGGGATCACATGAGGCTGATCCATGGCAGCTGCAGGCCCGCTGCTCACGGGGCTCTCCCCTGTGTCAATGCTGTTATGGGAGGAAATAGATACACCGTTAAGGAACAGGATCCAGTGAGGAGGAGCTGGAATTCAAAACTCAAACTGGGCAAAGATACACGTGTAAGATCCTAAAGAAAATGACTGTTATGTGTCTGCTTTTTTAACCATTTTTTGCATTTAACGCCCCAATGCATTAATATTTTGTTGGATGAACCATCTAAACTTTGTTTAGGGAAAGGAGAAAACTCAATAACTATTTTACATCTTCAGCTGTTATGTGAACAGAAGTTCCTTATAAAAGAAAGGAGACTGAGTATTGCTGAGTTCATCCAATGAACAATATATTCGAGTTGTGCAATTTCCTGCTCTCTACAACAGTTGGTGGTGGGAAAAAAAATATGCAGTGAAACAAGGACGGGTATTTTTGGCTCAGCTGACCAACATATCATCAATAAGCATAACAACATTATAGCATTTGCTACTCTGCTTGCCCGCCAAAGGATTTTGTTGCACCGGAAATCCCCTAAACCACCCAGCACCTCCTTATGGTTGAGTGACCTTATGCTCCATTTAAATCTTGAAAAGATCAAAAACCTTTTTTACTCCACCTGGAACCCAATAATGTCTTTCATAAATAAACTTAAAACCTTCCCTGATAACTCATGAATCCACTAGCACAACATTCTGAAGGGTAATGCATGATGCTGCTCAGCAAGTACGGCCTCCTCATTTACTCTTACACCCGACTGTCAAGTTACTACTTCTACTTTTCTTATGTTATTTTATTTTTTTCATTTATGTATTTATTTAAGTACTTATTCAATCTCCTTATAATGAGATGCACTGGATGTTGTGGGCAGGGGGGGAGTCAGAGCCATATAAAGAAAATGAAAAGAATATCAAACTTATGTGGCTGTATCTCAAAGTCCAGGGTATTTGTATGTCCTACCTGCTGTGCTGCACAGGAAGGTGTTTCCGGTGGATGCCATGGCTGCCCTCCACAAAGGCGCTGGGAGGTTTGTGATAGACGGATGCCAGGGAGCCGATGTGGCAGATGAGCTCATCCAGCAGGGTGGGCTCAATCAGGTCTGTCTCCTCTGAGATCAGGGGCTTCTCTGACAGCACCACCTCCTTGGCGGTCACAGGGTCAGTGGACAACAGACGCCAATAAATGTAGCCTCGATCACGCAGGTCAGGGTTGTCAGAGTCCTGCAAAGGAGCAGAAATAAAGACATGAGCTGTAGTACAGATTTATGACCTTTAGTCCGCTATCAGTGATTACATCTTGTACACGGAGGAAAGCAAAGAAAGATTCGACTTGACTGAAGTAGTTGAAGTGAAAGTTAAACTACTTTGATATGCTTCGGAGGGTCATGTCTGTCTGAGGGTGGCAGTATCTTTAATCAGTATCTTCATCTTGAATGACTAAATCATCAATCTGTCTCAAACCTGAACTTCTTTCAAAATACAAGATGACAGTCACCTGAGTGGCCAGGCTCAAGACCTGCTGCACCAGCTCCTGGGTCTCTGATGGTTTCTTGAGGAACAGCTTGACGATGGCGGTCAGCAGAGTGAGCTGGACCTGTAAATCGAAGACTCTGTCAGGCGACTGTATTTTTTATCACTATAGTGAGAGACATCGTGATAACCATGCTTCTGTTTGATATTTCCGATGAACCCACCTGGGTGCTCTCATCATGGAAGCCTTCGAGGAAGCTCTCCAGCAGCTCATCAGCGTTGTCGATCCTCTCAGCGTACTCCCCGACGATCCAGATCATAGCGGCGCGAGCATCAGGCTCATCCAGGGAGTCCAGGTTCTCACACAGAGTGGCAATGATGCTTTCATACCTGAGGTTTACACAGAATCACAGCGGTCAAGACTAGTCAGATGTTTTTTTTTTTTAGGTCTTCTGTTATATTGGGTTGATTTTTCATTGTCTTGAGTTTCCTAATGTTCTTGTTTGGTTGTAAAAGCCCTTTATTCAGTCTTGTTTCTTTTAAATAAAGTTGCTAAAATTATCATTACTAACTTAAAAAAACGGTAATGATATGTGGGTTACTTACAAATATCACACTGCTCTGAAAGACTGACTAGTTATTTTGTGACCCGGCAGTCTTGATAGATAATGGTGGCTAACAAGAATATCTCCAGGACTGGGGAGTTGGTTGCCACTTACTCGACAGTTTTCAGTGTTTCTGTGGGTTACATACTTGTTGGGGTACTTGCGAAAGATGTCTCTGATGACGACAATCGCCTCCTGCACAACATAGTTGACCTTGGTCTGGATCAGGTCCAGCAGGGTGCTCACGCAGCGCTCAGCAGATTGCTGAAAGTCAAAACAGGCAAAAGTTCAGCTCTAAAGAGTGCATCTCGAATAATGTGGGTATTGTAAAAAAGTTCAATATTTTCCATTAGTCATTGGAGAAATTAAAATTCAATATGTTCAAGACTAATTACATAAACTCATTCTTATTTAAAGTATAAAATTATGGCCTCAAGCTAAAAACTATATAACTCCAAACATTACAAAATTTCAATCTGAGTTATTAAGGTAAAAAAGAAGATTTTTCACAGGGTGTTTTGAAAAAGTTACAAGAGGGATGAGTCTTTGCCTCTAGAGTGAAGATGAAAATATTTCAGGAAAGAGTGAGTGAGCTTTTTTTTTTGCCGCATCATGATAATGTTACTGTTCAGTCTAAAGATAATCAGAATCCTTTTGTACAGAGACACCAACAGAATAGCAATCAGAAATGATGAATATCCCACCTCTACTTTGATGGCACAGCGCCCGATGGCTCGCACAGCCTTTCGCACAAAGTCAACATCCACCTCTGTGGCATATTCCTTCAGTTCAGCCAGCACCTGATCGGGACAGAAAGTAGAAGAGAAATGTATCATGTTACAAAAACATTGTCCTCAACTGAAAGACACTAAGCTCATTAGCACAATAATCAAGGTTTGCTCGTTTTGCTTTAAGTACCTGAGCGATGTTGGCCTGAGAAGCCAGGCGAATCATGATGTCCAGTTTCTCGAGTTTGACGTAGATCGGGTCATTGTACTTGACAAAGAACACCTTAATCTCCTGCTTCAGGATCTCGGGCCTGCACAGAAAAGCGTGTGGATATCTTAGCTCACATTTCACATTATCATTTTACAGAAAGAAAACATCACAAACAAGCTGTTAATATTCAATCACTGCAACACTTTCTCCACACACCTTTTCTGTACGATGAGGTTGATGTTCCTCAGAGCCACATACTGGACCTCAGGTTCTCCGGAGAGTAAGGTGACCAGGGGCGGGGATAATTTCTTCAGCAGGGTGTTGTAGTAATCTGAGTCCTTGGGCAGCAACTCTAAGAACTTCATCAGCACCTTCACCGCTGACAGCACAACAGCTGAGTTTGCATGAGACAGCCGGGGAGTGACACGCTCACAGATGCTTTGAGAATGAGAGGAGGCGAAAGTGAGATTCACTGGGAATCAAACAACAACTCACTGTTCACTAGTCGATCTGTACAAACTTTCATCTGATTGCTACCTTTGGGCTTCACGCTCGTCCTTGGGGTTGTAGTTGGACAAGCAGTCCAGGATGAAGATCTGCCCCCACTCTGTGCATTCATTCAGAGCCGTCAGCAGCTTGTTGATGTTCTGAGGATTGAGGTCCAGCAGGTTGCTGTTGGGGTGAGACTCGCTGATCTCGGACAAGGCAGCGACTGCATTGGCCACAACCTGGAAGACGGACGAGTTTTCTGATGAGAACCTCAGAGGAAAATCTCCATGACTATTTAGAGTATTTAAACAACTCACAATCGATCATAAGTTACATCTATGAAAAGCTCAGTCACACTTATACAATTGCTTTATAGCACTAAACTTAATTTTGTTTAATTACGCTACTTATTTCTGCTTGAATTTATGAAGATTAGGATTTCAAGTGGACTAATTTAGTAGAATTTAAAAAATATATAAATTTGGTATCAGAGAATATTGACATATTTTCAAAAACAACTAAATATTTACCTCAAATCTCAATAAACTTAAATCTTTGCTGTTTTTGGTAAAAACAAAAGTATCCAACTCCTGTTTTTATCAATATACAATAATGTCATATACACTTAATGTCCATTTACAGCCTGTGCTCAACAATCCTAGAGTGTTTATGTTGTGCTAAATAAAACCATGCCTCTGTTGCATGCTTTCATTTAGCAACATCTAATCCCACACACGAAACAGTTCAGTTTAACCGTCCTCTTCTGATTCACCCTAGAAAACCTCTGTTATCGTCGTTATTTTGGCACAAATGAAAACCTAAAAGAAGAACTGAAACCTACCATGGGATTTGAGTCAGCAATAAGGTCTCTCAGGGAGTCCAGGAAGCCTTGATCCTCCACCATCTGGGCGTTGATATCATGAAGCTTCGCCACACAAACGGCGGCTGTCTTCCTCACGTACGGGTCCTCATCCTTCAAGCACTTCCTCAGCGGCTCGCACAGGTACTCGGTGATTTTGTCCACACGGATGCAGCCCATGGTTCGAACAGCAAGAGCTCGGATCAGGGGGTTTGGGTCCTCACAGTCCTGCAGAGGCGAAACAGGACAGTCTTCTTATAAAATCAGTGAGACATATTCAGTGAACCTTACATGTTGGATTGATTCATTTTTGGGAATTAAACAGAACTTTTTCTGTTGGTAATGATTTATAAGAATTAATAACCTTTATTTTTTCACTTCAGTTTTTTTTTTTTTTTAATTTAACAGAGAACAAGTATCTTCCATCCAGACTTCAACATAACTATTTCTCTAGAAATAAATGAAGAGCTCCTGTATGAAGCTCAGATTTGTCTCTCCTTGTGGACAGATTTCATTATTAAAGATGATACCACTTGTTGTGGTTACTGGGCGTGTTTTTGTTGCATTATTTACTCTCTCTGGGGTTTCCTTTCAGGTGCTGCAGATGACAGAGTTCACCTGTGCCCTCCTGGCACAGAGGAGAGAGGACACAGCCAGTCCTGGTGAATTATCCAGCAGAAGTGTTTACCTCTTGTCTTTTGAAGGAGGCTGTTTACTTCAAGGCCTGTGTATTTCTCCATTATTGTAATTTTATTATGTCAAAGCTTAAAAAAAACAGACTGGCCTTATTTTCCATGTTCATATTTTTGCAGATGCTTCTTTTGAGCTGCCAGGTTTCCTCATAAATATATTAATTTTGCATGAACCTTGTTCCCACCTTCTTTTTTCATTCTTAAACATCTGAACCACCTTTGGGAATAAAAATAGATTTTAAAAAATGCAACAAACTTCTTGAGGGTTTTACCTTGACGAAGCTGTTGACAGCCATGATGGCCATGTCAGGCTGGCTCTTTGCGTAGTTCATCAAATAAAGGTAGACCAGCTTCTTCAGCTCCAGGTTGTCGGTCTGCATGCAGTTCACCACATCTGGGAATAAAGAACTGAAAACGCAGCAGAAGGGTCTCAGTTAGACTTCACAGTATCAGGCCTCAGAGAGATTTCTTTGATCTCATAAATACATAATGAATAAATCTAAGAAATAAGTCTTTTTTAGATGTTAATATGAGTTTTGTTCAGATAGTCTGACAGGGGTGAAAAGATTGACCCTCTGTTGGGAGCACTCTGAACATTTGTCCTGTTCCATGTCTTGTCTGGTCTGTGAGGATATTTCACAGATGTCAAAGGTCTGGGCAGTGCTCCGAGTTCTCCACTAACTTTATTTTGCATTCCTCACATTCCTACTTCCACCACTGTCTGTGTCTTTACTCTTTCAGAACCCTCTGGTGCTTTTGCAAGTGTTTCCACCTGATAGACTGATGTGCATAAAAATAATTCAAGAAGGTTGTCTCCAAGGCAGGTAGGTGACAGCAGACACACAAACAGGCACACTAAATTTGGTTTATTATTCATATAACAAGAGATTAAGATTAAGAGACTAGATTCGCAGCTGTACCTCACATCTTTCCCGACAGTCATGGCAGCAATGACCTTCTTCACGGCCTCTTTCCTCTTCTCCTTCTTCTCATTGTTCAGTTCTGCCTTCAGTTCAAAGATCTCCCCTGTAGAGTGTTGACATAGGCACAAAGACTGTGATTTCCAGAACTTAGAAAAATCACATTAGGTATCAAATCAAACACTACATATAATTTTTAAGGGCTTAATGAGGCATTCAGCGGAGGGAGTAAAAGAGCTGTAACACCTTCCTCACTTACCTTTTTTGTTTGTTGTGAAATATTTGGAGTCCGTCATCGTTACTGTTCTTGTCCTCTTAGCCTGTGCAGAAAAAAAATATACTGCATTATGCTATGAGCTTGTAGGTGTAGTGACTTCGGAGTAGGTCACTGACAAACACATACAGCAGAGAGAGCTGGGTGATTTTCAGTTTCGCACTGTCACTGGATATTCGTGGAGGTGATGTTTGTCCTTGAAGACGAGGCCAGTGGGTTGATATCAACAACCACTTTACCTGTAAATCCTGCATTTCAACACTTGCTGACAAGTTCCAATCTGCCCAAGAGACAGAGTCAGCACTGCTTCTCTGCAGTTTGATGACACGGTTTACACAAGGTTATGCTAAGAGTGATGAAATGTTACCTGGACTGAAGGGCTTTGGCATAAATATATGTTCACTTTTGAGAAAGACCTCGCACACACCATTATCTTCAATTTCAGATGTGGGGATATGATTGACCTAGAGCTCTAATGTCAACTCCATCCAGCATCTTTGGAACCAAATGAAACTCTCACCAAAAGTACACAATATATATCAACCAGCTGTATCATTATCATTTTTTTTAAATCAAAGAAAGGCATTGATAAGGGAATCATTAAAGAATTGAATCGATAAACAGAATTGATAATGGCATCGATATCGATAAAATCTTAACAATACCCATCCCTAATACTAGGACAACCTTTCACTCCAGTACACCATCAGCAGCCACTTAAACTTCAACAAAATAATTTTAAGAACAGTTATCATCAGTCTGACCATATCAACAAAGCTTTAAAATGTAGACGCTTTGAAAAAAAGTATTTATCAAAAAGCTCTTGTACTGGGTGGCATCAGATTGCTTGGGTGTATTGCCTAATTCTGTGCCAAGTGGGTGGCATAATCATGATGATTTATGACTGGCACATTCAGAGATAACAGACAGGGAAATGATCATGTTTCACATACTTTTGGTCATATAATATATCCCAATTATAGCTTCTTTGTACATGCCCATTTATTCTTTGAAAGAGACAATCATAACACAAGTTTTTACACTATTGATATTTGATTTCTTGAGCAAAGTCCAACTTAAACATTTATTTTATCATGAATAAGATAAATGTAATGGTACCAAATTTTTCCTCACACTTGTCTTATTTTTAAAATGTGACACAAACGTTGGTCAACTTAACGTTTACAAATTGTATTGAACAGCAATGCAATTTCACTACTCCGAACGTATATGCAGCTAACAAGTGAATTAATTGTGTCATAGAGTCGTCAATATGTTGTAAAACAACAGCTGGGTTCAAAAGAGGTTACCTCTCCTACACTCTGTTAGTTCTGATGTGATTTCAGGTCTTTCAGACATTATTCAGCAGCAGTTTATCGATGCTACATTTATCGTTAGCCTGCTGCATGCTAACGTTGAACGCATCGGTGTTCTGTCTACAAGTGCGACCCTAAGAAATGACGGCGAATGCACGTATGCGCCTGCGCACAGCCACAACCCTTTGCGCTTGTTATCACGATCTTGAGATCAAGCCGTAACTATTTTTCACGAGATAAAAGTGAACTTGATTCAGTTCAGTTTCACAACATGGTTCCGTTTTCATGCTATTAAAGTATGTCTTAAAAGGTAATTCTGTAACAGGGAGCACTGCTTGGCGGGGTGATTATAACCCACTGAGGTACGCTTTTTGTATCATAGCAAATCTAGCAATGCAGATGGGTGGTTGCGATGGGAAAGAGTAGATATATTAGACGGTATTCGTAGCCACATCTGTAGCTTCGCACTACGTAGCTTTTTCTGTCGAGGTAGCACAACTCGACGGAACACCAGTTCTCTGATTGCCGCTAACGTTAGCTAATGACAGCGAATCACCTTTGCAATCTCCTAATATCTCAGCCAACGACAATGTATCTATTTCCAGAGAGTATTTCCACTTGCGGTATTAACTAGTAATGTTTAGGTGTTTGATTTGGTGACTAAACAGATGAGTGACCAGCGGCCCAGTTTCACTGCTGCCGACAGGATGTGTATTATGGTAGGTATCTAGTGAACCGCCCAGCAAACACATCCACACAAAACAATATACATGTATCCGGATTGTTAGAGGAATGTAGAAAAGTAGAATAAAAATTCAGATACCTTGTAGGTTGTTTGTCAGTGGGAGAATTTTACAGTGGGTGTAAGACGCAGGTTTGTCCCTTCCCTGGCTGGAGGAAGATGGAGAATCTGGATCGTAATGGTGCATTCACTGTCGTAGGAATCTGGAATACTTCCCTCTTCGGGCTTTTCGGAAGTTTTGCATTAATAGATATCTTTACTATCCCGAACCGTTTCAACTGAAATTTTGTATTTAAACATTACTTAAATTACCACTTAGGTATCCCGGTAGAAAAACAAGTTATTACAAGCCCTCCTCAGTCCAAATTCAGATGTACTGTTAAAGATTGAAGTTACGTGACTCCCTTGTGTCCTACAATTTCTTGATGTCATGAATGTTACATCCCGGGGAAGACTTGCCAGGGATGTGTATCCTGAATGTCAATAAAAAGGGGAATAGTGATCTGTCTGTTTGGCCCTCTTGACCTCATCATCACGTCTCACCTACAGATATCTGCATATGTGTAAGATATAATTACACAGTTTGCTAGAAAACCATAAAACTTAACATGAATGTGAGAAGTTTATACAAAAAATATTCTCAGGGGTTGAATAAACTATGAGAGAAAAAAAAGTCAATCTCTGAAAATGTTTTATTAACAAGTTTTTACAAGTTTCGCTTTCTAAAATGAAAAAATCTGACCAAGTTTGGAGTCATATACTCGGAAAGCACACTCGTATTAAAATATAAAATCTAATCTATATATTAGTATTTGTGCAATGTGATTTGTAAAAATAGTCTCCTGTTGTCAGCAAAACAGATCAAATAAACAACATTTTGATAAATAGCACAACAGGAACTGATATCAGATGTAGTGCCACAGATTCTGAAGCTGTGATATGTGTTGGTCACTGTTTTCATATTCATGTAGAAGACTCGATGTGGAGTTGGGAGGTGGCGTTGATGAGGTCTCTTGGAAGACTTTCTCTTGCTTCTTGCATCTTTCTCTGAGCTCTTTTGAATGCCTCTGACATAAAAAAAAGGAAAAAAATGTTTTATATGACTGTGATCAAAGGTGGGGTAGGTGAGAAAACTTATGTCATGTGCTTATCATAAACCCAACATGGCTTCCGAGCTTCCTTACATCTGCAGATCCTGATCTGAATAAAGTTCTTTTATTGCAACTTCAATTGAGCATCTTTACCTAAGATGGTGCAAACAGCTCCTTGCTGACTGAATCCTCCCAGCTGATCAAAAACTTTCTGCCTCCTCTTCTTCAACATGGCAGCATCAACAAAGGACCTGAGACAAAAATATCACAGAGACATAAACAGTTACTGATCAAAATATCAAAACAGGTAACAGGGCTTCAAGTTATTGTCACTGACAAAATATTTTACACAGTTTGGACACCAGTACTAAGATATATATAGAATCCTGTCACACTAGACCTTTGATGAATTATCTCCCACATTAACAACCACTGTACATTGTAAGAAACATAGTCAGCAACTTCTAGAATACACCCTTACAATTCATTTGAACAGGCAGGCAAATTCTATTTTGTCGTATCAGATATTCTAGAGATTTGGATGAGTGTTCAAACTTGAGACCCAAATTCATCTTAAATAATGCTTGGGATTCACAAGATATCACTGCACACCAGTGGCGGCTGCTGGTCTTTCAAGGAGGGGAAGCTCATTTTTCTGGCCTACATCATAATTGTATTTGTTTATTAGTATGTAACAGAACAGAGTCGCCAAACACAACGGCAGTCGTTTTTAACAAAGACAAAAGTCGCTGAGGATCGGTAAAGTCTCTGGAGCAGTTAAGAACAACGGAATGAATGACTTGGAAAATGCTCTGGTAGATGTTTTATTCTTCAAGATCGCTGATCCGCTTGTTTAGCTGTCAATCAAAAAAGGATTTCGCCTCAGACAGCTCATCCAATCATGAATGCAGAAGCTTGGAGTCCGGGAGAAAGTCGGGACCGCCCTCTCGCCATAGAACTCCAGTGAAGCTGGGCTTCCATTGGGCGGGACAAAGCCCAGCATTTATCCAATGAGCGTCTAGTTTCGCTGCTGGAACAACCCACTTTAAGCTTCAACATTGAAGTCAGCAGAAGCCCAGCGTCCGACTGTTTGAAGCGCTGAGGCGCTGCGAGGATGAATGAGAACGAAGTTATGCCGGTTACCTGTGATTATCAGCTTCTTATCACAGTGTCTGAACAAAAGTTGAAGGCTTTCTAGTGCGTATTTAGTTAATGAAATGTACACACAGCAGTACGTATTTCACCACTTTTTCTTTTTTTGGGGGGGTGACATTTTAAGGGAAGCCGAGCTTCCCTTGCAGTCTTAGAGCAATCGCCACTGCTGCACACATTAGGCACTTACCTAGCTTGCTGGATGCAGTGCAGATTAAAGGTGACACTTCCTGTGGTTTCTGTACAAAAGCCAAAGCGACTCAGCCTCTCTCCCTGCAAACAGGTATAGAAGCGGAAAAGAAAAATATGTTATGTGGCAATTTAGGATGAACGAGGACAAAAAGCCAGTTTCCAAAGTCTGCAGAAAATTTGTGTTGTAAATGAAACAAGAGAAAATACACCTGTACACTAACTGTTTTCAATGTTTGTGGCAATAGAAATAGAAATAATGAATACAAATGGACATTTGTGTAGTTCTGAATGATATGATAGAAAACTAATTTTCTCAAGTGTCCTCACTTAACCCATTTACTCAGACTGTGCTAGCAGCCATTGGAAAACTGAAAAATTCAATATCTGTTTTACGTGCATTTATCTAAAGAGCGCTTCCACTTGGGTTTTTCACCTACCTTGAAGGTTCCTGGTATCCTCGTGTAGCTGTGGTCTTCAAGCTCTGGAGACCCTCCAATAAAGAAGCGCCGCAGCGACGAGACTGTTCCAGTCTGGAGAGGCCTCCATGTGTGGCACGTTATTGTATGCTTGCCTGGCACATATATGAGTTTGCACGCACAAATGTAAGAAAGAGCAAAGATAAATAAATGAAAGGATTTGGAGCTATTCATTAACCTACAGAAGACATTTGTGTCTTCTGGCGTGGATTTTTTACTGTTGTCTTTCAAATTGCCAAATTATTAGCTGTCCTTTAAATGTTAAATAGGACTGAAAGAAGCTGAAAAGAAGCAACATTTTTTGGCTGCTTGATCCAAAGCAAAGTGACAACCTTTTTTTTTTTTTTTTTAAATATGATACTCTGGTTTTTACAACTTCTAAAAGTGTTGTGGGTTGCTGCCTTTTTTTCACTGCACAGAGACAAAACACTGAAATGTTTTCAGATTTATAAATAAAAAAAAGAAACATTTAAATGCACACAACATACCAGGCATGGAGGGAAAAAGAAGGTAGCCGTAACCTTCAGTCCTATAGCGCTGCCACGAGTCGAGAGAGAGAACTTTGAAGTAAAGCACTGGCCACTGGGGAATTGACTCTAAAACAAAGACAGTATTCAAAAATTAGCCTTGTGTTACATGTATTATTAAAATAAATGAATGTAACCGCCAACATAACACACATAAATCAAATCAGTCAACTGAGACACAATAAATCTTGGCTGATACAGACCTTCACTCTCTTTTTCACACATGAAAAATGCTTCAAAGCTGAAGGGGAAACTGAAGAAAGCTACATTTTCCTGTTGACAGAAAACAAGTCATGTAATTGGTTAATTCAACCTCAGTGACAGAGTTAGATGATTTTTTTAGTCTGGTTTCAGTCGCACTAAGGCAATAAATCTATTTTTAGAAGAGCATGTAAACATATTGACTGTTTTTTTTTTGTCATGCATACACACCTTCCCTAATGTTTTAGTCCGGCAGGTCTGGGTAACCCCTGAGAGACACTGAAATGGCAAGCTGGACCAATCTTAAATTAAAAAAAAGAAAGCAAAGTTAACATGTTCATTTTAATTATTAAGTACCACAACTTTAACTCGTTTCATGTGAGGTTTGTGACCTACTGTTTGGCAGTTCCATGAAGAAGTGAATGTATAAGTTATCATATTCAAATCCTTTGGCCGAGACTGTTGAGAGTAGATAAGAAAGTTGTACATTTTAAAGACATTTTATGAATGAATAATGTTGTGATGAATTTGGCTCCCCTACTCACCAATCTCTCCATTCATCACATAGCGCAGAATACCAGCTGGAGGCTGAGGGAGACATCAAGCACGGTAAATGATTCACTGGAAATACCTTACTATTAAAAGTTGTCATTTCGATTTTAACAACCAATGCTCTTACACTTGTAAGAATTTGACGCTTCTTGTCATATTTGACAAAAAATATGACTAATTTTTATCGTTTAGACCATTGGTAGGACAAAACAAAGTGAGCCGTTTTGATATTTTCCCCTATTTAAGACAACTTCCATTTGATTCCTCACTTTGGGATCCCAATGAGACAGAGGCTATTAAACTGACATCCGCCCTATTTTCAAATAACTCTCAGCTGTTTCATAATTTGATAAAAACTCACCATTTCAAAGTCTTGTCCAACAAGGCTATTGAGGTACTCCTTGTGCCGTGCGTACAGCTACAGACAGAGAAAGTGAATGCCATGAGATGTGTTGTTCTGACACCATAACCATGAGCAGCATCTTAATAAACATCTATAGTGATATTTTTTATTTCCACTTAATTACGACCAAGACACACTCACATCTTTGTAGATGTTCTGCTCCTTCTCCTTTTCCTCTGGTTTCATGGCTGTAGACATGTTCTCTAGAAACAGACGCCAAACTTCTCTCCTCTCCCCCTGCGATACAATCCTGCACATCACAAACCACACTGATTTACTAACAAAATTACATGCGTTTCTTTCCCTTTGAAGTTAACTTTTTGTGTTTTTTTTTAATGACAAATATGTTTAAGGGGAACTAAAGCAGTGGGTCTTTGAGAGCCTGTGGTCCTTAAATAACCTTGCCCTGTTCAACCAGGGGTTTACAGTTCATAACACATCTGCTGGAGCTTTAGATTGATAAAGTCATGTGTTGATTGAACTTGCCTGTAGGGCTCCTTGCCTTTGTTAAAGTCAGGTTTTATAATGACTGTTCCATTGCCATCTGTTTTTATGGTTACCAGCAAACATTCACTTTCTTTCTGGCCAAGCCTAAAAAAACAAAGACAGAGATTATCCAACAGAATTACACAGCACAGTTGAATAATGACACCTGCTTGTCATTAAAGATCCATTCACTCAGTTGCCGTGCAGTAAGACTTCCTGAAACTACTCAAACTACTGTATTATTAAGATTTTACGGTATCTATTTTGCCTTGTGGTAACATGAAATTTGCTGAGTAACTTTTTGGCAAATAAATCCACAAATTTACACACAAGCATTAGTATCTGTGTGCTATGGGATCAGGTGTGCCGCAACTAGCACCTCTTCTCTTAAAGAAAAATGAGCAGTACACATCTGAGAATCTGCACACATGTAATTTAGAGGAGCTCCACATACAAACATACATTTGAATATAAAGGTTTGATCACAACAAAGTAGAACCCAGCTCTGAGAAACAAAATAGACCACAGTTACACCACAAATATGAATCAAATAAAAATTGGGTCTTTGTGTCTCTGGTCGTACCTCCCAGGGGGACTCAAGTCTCCCATGATGTGCATGGTCTGCATGGAGTTATTCACCACATGACTGTTTTTCACAAACTCCTCTGTGGGCTCCCAGATAATGATCTTTGACTTATGGGTGGTGCTCTCCCTGCAAAATTCAACAGACCATCGTGAATTTGACATAACCGTCAGAATACTTCACAATACAAGTTCCATGACAAATAAGCACAATAACGTCAAAGTTGCTGAAAGAAATTTGTTTCCATTTGCGTAGTGATTACACAATTAGACACAACAGCTTTGAGGGGGTACTCCTTTAACATGCATTTTCCGAATACAGTCTTGATGAGCTATTAGTACATTTAAATAAGTGAACTGGTACTTGACATACGCGGCGTGTCTTTCTTGCCGTCTGTGTCTCACACTGGCCATCCTTTCAGCCAAGAATGTGGGGCTGGATTTGGTTGTGGTGAGTAAGTCAGTGGCCTGTTGCTTTCAGAATCAAAAATATAAACTAGTTATGAATACAGAAAGAGATGTGAACTGTAGAACTTGAGAATTATAAAACAATGATGTTTGCGTTGATGCAACATAACTTACTATTTGCTGAAATGGAAGACAGTTTGTGTAGCGGTCATGATCAGTATATGTGAAAATTCTGTTATTTCTTCTGCCCTTTCCCTTGTTCAGAGCCTTGATCTCTGCATGATACTGCCGATCCAGAGGGGTCTGACATGCCGCCTCGCTCTGGAACAGCTCCATCTCATACTGGGCCCATATACAGAGACAAAGAAGAGATGATGAAAGGGTACACAGAGATCATTGGAGCAGATACTAAAAACTCCAAGCTCTACCTGACTGAAGAGTTTCTCCTGCCACCCCACCACCTGCTCCTCTTCGTTATCACCTGATAACAAAAAACAATATTGTCCTGTTACTGAAATGATTTGAAAGAAACACCCATTATGTTTTATTAAAGTTATACATAATGTCAGTCACATTCCTACTCCAGTTATAGTATTATTGTCATAAATTATTATCATTGGACAGCATAATAAACATCACCTACACTAGACAACTGTTTGGACTGTTGAGATATATCATGTTTTTATACAACTTATACTAAACTGCTCAGCTAGATACAAACCCAAGGCCTTGTCAAGTTTGAAAGTCAAGCCATAAGATAAAAATCATTGTGATCACAAGGTCTGTTCAGGTGTCATAAAATGCAGTTGACTCCTTGATTCTATTTTTGAGAATAAAAAAAAGGACAAGTTTGCTTTCTCTTTGATGACCAAGTCCAGGGGTGGGCAATTATTTTGTCTTAAGGGCCACATTGGGTTTTAGACATTAATGGACAGGCGGTGCACGAAACAAACCCCCAAATGCAGATTGGGCGTTAACTCATAATCGTGCTTGATGACAGGAAAAATATTTTAAGGAGCCTATTGACTCGCCCCAACTCGTTTTGATGGATCTTTAGTGGATTGTGCATTTTCAAAAATAGGAAAAAAGGTAACACAAATGTGATACCTTTAGAAGTTGTAGATATACAGTATCCTGAGAATTTTTGGAGTAATGGGAGTAGAAATCTACCTGTCTGTCCTCTTGAGGTGAGGGTCTCCAACTCAATGGCTCCTCCTTGCTGGGACAGAACTTGCTGCTGGAGGTGCAGAGAGAGAGCTGCTGTCGAGGTTACTCTCTCTATTCTCACTCTACAGGAATCAGATGGAAAGAGTGTTAAAGAATCGTGTCCTGGTGGTCGAGATTCACAGAAGTGAATCTCACATTTCACCATCTAACACAACAGAGCACAGTTAATCCCCTCTCTTCCTTTGAGTATCATTACAGTCCCCTATATCGTCGTGGAGTGTAAATGTTTTATCACATGTAACTTACTTAATCCTTAAATTGTTGACAGCATCCCGGGACCGAAACACAGCCTCTCCTGTATCCGTGTTCCAACAGTCTGCCATTAATAATCAGAAATGCTGTTAATGTTAGCTCCCACCTTTGTTTAGCTAACCCTACAGTGGAGCAGTTTTGTCGTCTGTGCTCTCGTAATGATTTACTAAATAAGCATTTGCAGCTTCTGTCGATGTGAATTACTCTTAACAGTTAAAAAGTTAAAGTACAAAAATGCTACAAAGAAACTAAACATTCCAGCAAACAGCGCGACAAGAGATAGTTGTCGTTGCCATGGAGAAAAGGGTCGTTCTTCTTCTTTGGTTGGTATTTTGGCGGTTTGCGTACCAGTTTACATTAGCATTAGCGCCGCCAAGTGAACTAAACTTTTCAGGGCAGAATTTTTCCAACTAAACCAATAATTTTATTTTAGGAATAATGAAGGTACTAAAGTAGAGTTAGTACTGCAACAGTGTGTATATAAATTTCCCACTTTCTAAAGAATCAGCAGAAGGAACATTTTTTTAATGCTTTATTCAAAGATAACAAAATTACAATTCCAAACAAAGCAAAATCAACTTTAGTGTCAAATAATTCAGTGTCAAGAAATTCAGTGCAAAAGAGACCGACTCAACATCCAGGTAACCGGGGAGAAGCGATCGAATCCTGGCTCAATCATCCATCGTCCAGCCAATCAATTAATGCTAGATTGGTCATGTGGCACAGACCCCAGTGATCTTGATGAAAAAAAATCAGCTTTAGATATTCAAATTCAAAATCAGATGGCACAGATTTACTTCCATAAATATTTCTTTATTTGTTCAGCGTGGAAATTTTTCTTAAGTGTACCCACGCATACCTAACAGAGGGTGGCAGTAACGGTCAGATGTGTTTGAAACACGTCACCAAATGATAAACGAAGAAGAGCGGGGGGCGGAGCCTCCTTCCACCGACGTCTCGGAGCCAATCACTCCTCCTGGCGGGTCTTGAGCGCACAGACACAGCGGTTGTTGTTGTGCTGACTTGTCACCATTATTCTGTAATAGTTACAGTAGTTATAGGCGCTACAGAATGGCGTCGTTTGTGACTGAAGTCCTCGCCAGCTCAGGAAAACTGGAAAAAGATGACCTGTCCAGTAAAATCAGCAGAATGTCGCGAAAAGTGGAAGATACAAAGGTAACCTGCGGACTAGCCTAGCATGAGCTAACTAGGCTAAGAAAAGTTTGAAATAGCTTCTGCCGTTAGAGCTGATACCAAAGTGTCTGAAACTTGATTTATGGATAAAATAACATGTACAATTGTTCACTCTGACCAGTCTTAGCGTAGGACATCTAGTTAGTGGAGTTAGTGCTTAATGATCAAGGGGAATAAAGTTAGCATTATGACTAACCCAGACTTGGAGGTGACATTTTGCAACGTGGCTTTATTTTCTGCACAAAGTGAAGTTGTAAGTGAATATTTCGGTTTATATCAGCGGTCACAGCTCTTTTATTAAATATGATAACTGTATGCATCCTGGAAAACTTTAAATCAAACTCCATAATTTTACAGAGTAATGTGACACAGAGGTAGACAGCCTCACACAGAGACCAGCCATAACAGTGCAGCAGATCTACCTTCAATTCTGCATTTTTAAAGCCTCTGGCTGGTGGGTCTATTTACAGAGTACATGACAGTCTTGCTGGTGGTTTTGAGTCAGGATATACTTGCATGACAAAAAATAAGCTGCTAATCAGATACCGATATCTGGGCCGAGCGTATCGGCAGATATTCGATACCGATCCGATACTACTGTTGAATGAATGAACTGTATACCTTGCCCTGTGAATGAAGGCATCAGGCTTGACATGAGCCTTGTTTAAAAAAGGTAACAAATTAACACAGATATGAATTGATGTAATATTATTTATTACGAAATATCAAATTGCACATTAGCACACAGCAAACAGAAGTAAGACTTCCATGTATTAAAGAAAATTAATCAAAAGAAAAATCTGCTGATCTGCGTCATTCATCCGATATTTAATCTAGTTAATTTGTCAATATCAGAGCCGGTATCTGATCCAAATATCGGATCGGTGCATCCCTATCTGAAATAATGGCCAACTTTGTCATGATTATTACGTTTAAATCTTCTTGTTTTTTACAGGAAGAAGTGTGTGACATGATGAACAAGAGGTATAGTGACTTCCTTCCTGGTCTACAAGGGTCCGAAGAGTTAATGGTTCAGGTTGATGAGGTCTCCAAAGAAATGGATGCCCTTAAAAACTGCATTGAGACTGAGGTATGTGCTACTTAAAAGAAAGCTATGCACCCCCACCCCCCAATGAATTTTAAGCACATATATAAGTTTTTAATTTATGAACTTTTATGAATTTGTAAAAATGTTTTATTTATGTACGCAGGTTCAGCAGAATATCCATGTCGCAGTAGCTGAATATGCAAAACTAAAGCAGCAGCTGGAGAAAAATACCATCATAATATCAATGCTTGAACATATGAAACAGGTACAGCATGCATGACTCAGAACTTTACAAACAGACTTGAAGGTGAACTTTTTGCATCAATATATTATTTAACATGTCTGTGATTGTCATATCTTCTATTTTAAATTAGTTTCACAATGCGATGGATCAGAGCAACAAAGCTTTACAGGACAAGAAGTATGTTGATGCAGCCAACCAGTTAGAAAAGGTAAGAGCTGCTCATATCACACACAAATGACCTCATCTCTATGCTGACTCAACAGTTTATACAAATAATCTCTTAATCTCTTTAGTTCAAGAACAGCAGAAACCCTCCCGTCTGTTAAAAAAATCCCTTTTAATCGTTTGATTTTTCCAAGTTCAGCTTATTTTCATAAAGAGGATGTTGTTTCTGTTCTCTTCAACAAGGCATGCCACACTTGCAGAGTGTGATTGAGGGAAGGCATAAAATAGCAATATGCTGAGCCGATATGTTAATACTTCTTTTAATAGAAGTCTCTTTATTATATGTATATAAATGTAAAAATTGATATTAAAATGTGTTCCAGGCAAGAGCCAGTGTGGATGCACTGAAGGACTGGAAGACTTCTCGGCTGCCACTGCTCAGTGCTCTCAGCTCTGAGCTCATAGTGCAGAGAGAAAACCTAATTTACCATTTGGGAAATGAATGGAAGAGCCTCGTCATCTGGAGATTACCCTCTTTAAAGGGTAGGTCGTCCTCAAAAAACTGGGTTAAATGACTAATTTTCAGTTCTTGTTTCATAGATGGTGATCAGATATTCATGACACAACATAAATTGCTCAGTTGTCTGTTGCTTGTAAACATTTCCCTTTATTTTTCCCTTATAAACATAAAAGAAATCTGTTTGATTTGATTTGTGATGATTGTTGGATGTTTGATACCAGAACCAGCAGGTCTGAAGTCCTTCCTGAAGGTGGAGCTGAACCTGAGCTGTGCCTGCAGCAAGGAGGGACAACCAACACCATCTGCTCTGCTGCACAGTGTCCTGCAGGCTCTGGCCATCCAGGGAGACCTTCAGCACAAGATCAAACTCTTCAGTAAGAACAAGCAGCACTGTTAACACTTTGACTTCAGTTGATCTTTATACCTGAGTTCTGACTATCAGACTGTTTAAAAGCAACAAAAAAAAAAAATCAGAAAAGGGTCAAAATTGAACCCAAATGTAGTGAACACATCTAAACATGAGTCCGCAGGTAAACAAATTAGTTTTCTGAGTAAGATGGTAAAGCATTATGGCAGGACTGGGAGCAAGAGTCCAAGTCACCACAGCTTAGAAATAACATCACCAGCATTTCAGGCCTATAATATAAAAAATATTAAAGATTTGTTTCACCAATTAGAAAATCTGGTGACATTTGACTAAATGAGCACATTCTTATCGTAAACAAACAAGCTGATTTATCTTTCATTTTATTGAATAACAAATTCTGAGCAAAATCTTATCACCATTGGTCTTTGTTATTGACTTTCAGGTCAGGTGCTGCTGAAGTCAATGCTGAAGCCGTTGGTTATGTACCCGTCATTGTCAGTGAGGGTGACAGAGCAGCAGGGGGAGGGCACCACTCTGGCCTTACAGTGTCTGGAGGAGAGCAAAGAGGAGAGATCTACTCCTTCACAGGTCTACAGCAAACTGCTCCTGGTGCTAAAGACACTGCACTTACACCTGCTAGGTACAGTGTTTTTCTAAGTGTGTATGAAACAAGATGTCAAATACGACAGTGAACAGTGAACAATATTGGAAATGTCAACTTGAGACGGGCTTGTCATGTGGGTGGTTTTTCTTTGTTTTGTTGCAGATGTGTCCATTGGTGATAAGAAACTCTCCAGCATCTTGGGAGTGCTGATCTGGGAAGAAATTTCCCAGTGCATCATACATGAGTGTCTCCTCTACTCCATCCCCAACAACAGCAGCCAGTTGGAGAAATACAGCGCTGTACGAACAGTTTGTTTAGTACAATGACTTTGTTACCCATGAGCGAGGGTCCCTTCATTTTTGCACCCTTTTATAACTTTCCCAAGAGTCTATGGATGTGAATAATATTTATATTTTTAATTGTAGGTGATTAAAGAAACAGAGGAGTTTGAGAAGTCCCTTAAGGAGATGGAGTATCTGCAGGGCGACTCAACAGACCTGCTTAAATATGCCAGAGATGTCAACTGCCACTTTGCCAGCAAGAAATGCAAGGATGTCATCGTGGCGGCCCGCAAACTCATGACCTCTAAGATGCACAATACTGTCAAGGTAGGATGTGAGCTGTAGTTAAGTGTCTATAAGTATGAAGTTAAAGGGATATTTTGGCATAAAATTAAGTTTAGGTCAAACAAACTGTAACACCGAGTTAGACATCCTGTCGAGAGATGAATGTTGCTTCTCTAGTTATACCAACTTTAGTAACGACCGACCGCAGCAGGGTTACGCAGCTCAAGGAAGAACATTTATGATCATTTCTTTATCATTTCCTTGAAGTAATAATCATCATATTAATCATTTTGCACTGTGGACGCTGTGGTCTGCCTTAGCATCTCGATCTGAATGCATTTCCATGAAGTAATGATCATAAATGTTCTTCCTTGAGCTGCGTCACCCCGCTGTAGTCCGTAATGGACTGGCCTGAAGTCTCGCTACAAACAAGCGGCTGCTGGAAGAAAGTAGGTGAGTTGTGTTCAGTCTCTTTGCTAAAGAAATCAGGCAAAGTTAAAAAGACCCTATATGTACTGTTGATGAAGTTAGGTGCTGTTCTGAGCATTATTTGTGGCTATAAAGTGGCGTTTTGGTTGAGGTTTGTGTTTGGCTCCTCAGACCACTGTGTATTGCTTTCCTGCTGTCGTTACTAAAGTTGGTATAACTAGAGAAGCAAGCGGTCGGCAACATTCATCTCTCAACGGGGTGTATAACTCAGTGTTACGGTGTGTTTGACCCTAACTTAATTTTATGCCAGAATATCCCTTTAAGGCAGGTCAGAGTTTTAATTGCCATATTTCAATACAAAGCTCAGGAAATGATTCAACATACTCGTTGTATACTCTGGCGTTCTTCTTGGTGAATGAATCAGTGCACTTTTTCTCTGTTAGATTACGCCAGACTACAAGCTGCGTCTCCCCAAGCTGCCCGCCCCTGGTTCGGAGGTGAAGGCGAAGCAAGAGAAGTCAAAGGAGGAGACACCGATGGAGAACTCGAAACAGCTGTCTGCATGGAGTCTATGTCTGCCAGCCTGTCACATCAGTGAGTCGGTGCAGCAGCTGATGGAGCTGGCACTCAACACACTGTGTGAAGCTGTTGGGAGCTCCACTCAATGGTACATTAAGATATACTTACACCTGTTCCCTGTTACTCATCCTATAATGGATACTAATGTGTGAGACCAAGAGAAATGAAATAAATTCAGTGAAAGTGTTGTTCGAATAAAAGTTCATCTACCTGTTCTTCTTTTCAGTGCATTACAGCTCTTCTTCACTGTCAGAAACATTTTCCAGCTGTTCTACGATGTTGTACCAACGTACCACAAGTGAGTCTTTTTCCATCATCTGACAGTATACAAGATCAAACAAACAAAACTCCTCATGAGACATAAATGTGTGTCTATTTTTTCCTCGATCCTCCACCACAGGGAGAACCTGCTCAAGTTCCCTCACCTTGCTGCCATCCAGCACAACAACTGCATGTACCTGGCCCACCACCTGCTCACCCTCGGCCACCATTTCAGAGCTCACCTGCCTCAGCCTCTCAGCGAGGGGATAGCAACTTTTGTTGACATGGTGCCAGGATTCAGGAAGCTGGGTAAATATACATTTCTTCAGCTGTCTGACATTCTGACAGTTACTTTGTTTTGTTTTTTTAACTTCTCTCTAGAGTCTTTATTTCAACAGCCAAATCTCCTCTCTATTCTGGGTAACCCTGTTGTTTGTCCCTCAAGGCGCTCAGTGCTTTCTAACACAGATGAACGTCCAGAGAGCCGAGCTGTTAGAGCGACTTTCCACCGCTCACAATTTCTGCAACCTAGACGATGAAGACAACTACATCGCAGCCAGCAAAGCAATAAGACAGGTGTGAACAAAGGTCTTCTAATAATAAAGTTAAATCATCACAAAAACGGTTGGTTCTGTGCTTAGCTTTAATTTTAATGACATAATGAACAGGTCCTAAATCACTAACGGTTATTCTTTCGCTGGATTTCAGGTCATCCATCAGCTTAAGCAGTTGGGCACAGTGTGGCAGGACGTCCTCCCAGTCAGTATCTATTGTAAAGCTATGGGCCACCTCCTCAACACAGCCATCACAGAGATCATCTCTAAAATCATGATGCTCGAGGTTTGTCTTTCTTTACTTGACTTATGGACTTACACAGTTGTTATTTAATAATGATTGATGGTGATGACAAAACACTCTTTCCATGAGTAGGTTTAGGTTGATTTGGATACTGAGATATGTTGAGGTCAGACTTACAAATGACTTTAAAATCAGTGTCTTTTGATAACTTATGAACACTATGATCTATTTTACACTCTATACAGTGTACTTACTGGTATCTAAGATTTTGTCTCTGACTTACCTGCCTGTAGGACATTTCCTCTGAGGATGGGGAGCATCTCCACACTCTGTGTCAAAACATCATTGAGGAGGGTCCGCTCGTCTTCATCCCTCTCACTGAAGGGAACAAGAAATACCAGGAGGAAGTGCCTCTCTACGTGAATAAATGGGGAACATTCAAGGAGCTGGTGATTGTGCTGCGAGCTAACCTACAGGAGATAGTGGACAGGTAATGAAACGTGAGGATGAGAATGAAGAAGTGACAGGGTACCATCAAAATGCAGTATATAGTGTACTCGTTTCTCAATATTTACCATCTGCTTTAATACAAATTTTTATTAGATTAGGACTCATGTTCAGATAAGTGCTGCTAGATTTAGTTTTGATTTCATACAAGCTTTTTTTCGAACATCCAGAAAACGAGTTGAAGACCAAGGTTTCTCCGCAGCCCTACAGAAAAACATATGAACATGGTATCACATATTTAACCAGTTTGAAAAAAGTCATTTTTGGATCTTTAATGTTACAGTTACCATGTTAAAAATGTATATAGATTGGTTGAGCAGCTCTAAGTAAGTCACAGCAATAATATACTGACTCCCCGTTAATTGTTTAATGGATTTAGAGAGTGTAATGCAGATTTACCCCCCAAAAAACTGAAAAGTATCACACAAGATTTGAGCAGCAATATTTTTGTTAGATGGTTTCCCTTTTATTATTTTAAACTCTGAGAATGAGGCATGTAACTACTGTCATTGGTATTAGTTCTTTAGGTGTGTGTTAAAGGGATATTCCGGGGTAAGTTTAAGTCATGGTCAAACACACCATAACACTGAGTTAGACGCTTCGCTGTGTATTGCTATCGTGTGGTCTTGAGGGATGTCTAACTCGGTGTTACTGTGTGTTTGACCATGACTTAAATTTACGCCGGAATATCCCTTTAAGCTCATTAGTCCTTTATTTGTCTCTGCAGGTGGGCTGACGGTAAAGGTCCGCTGGCAGTGGAGTTCTCAAGCTCTGAGGTGAAGAACCTGATCCGAGCCCTGTTCCAGAACACGGAGAGGAGAGCTGTAGCTCTGACCAAAATCAAATGAAGAACCTGGAGTTGAATGATCGTCAAAAAGCAACTGTAGCACTTTTTTCCAATGAGGAAAATATGAGACATGCCTTCATTCATTTCCATTTTCTGTTTCAGTAAATGTTCACACTAACATATTTGTGAGATGCAAGTTTGTCACAGAAAGATGTTTGTCCTGTCTGATGGAGTTGCTGTCGCTGAGGGTATAAGCTGCTGGTAAATCTGTGGGAAATGTTTCTTCTCTGCGTTCAGGCTGCAATTAGTCCCACAGAGATTACAAGAAGGCTTCTTTGCATCAACATCTTGCTGCCTCATCCCATCACTTTAAAGGTTTACCAGCACAAAGCCAGCTGAGGTTGTGTAACCAGAGATGTGCCATCTGTTGTCATGTGATGTTGTGTTCAGGGTTAACTTTGCTGAACATTGTTAATCAAACTTCATCTCTAACTTGTCTCTGCGTTTCTGTTCTGATATCATTCAGACTCTTTTTTGTTTTAATGTTTGTTTGGGCTGAAACGTCTTTATGTGTCTGTTTTGTTCTTACTTTGATGTCCTGCATCATATATCTCTTGAAGATAATATTTAAGCTGCTTTCATGCTTGAGCTCAAATATTTACTTTAAAATGTGTTAAAGTGTGGAGTGGTACCACCAGATTCCAGGGTTCATGTTTAAACTCTTATCCGCGTTCACTCTGGGTCAACACAAACCTTTTTTTCTGTATCATACAGCAAAAAGGACAAAAGAAGAACAAAAAATATGAACGTAAGAGCATAAAACATCACAAGATTGACGTTTGGTGAAAAAAAAGTGTTGATCAATCAATCAATCAGGCTTTAATTATAAAGCACTTTCCATACAAAAAGCAGAAACATGTCAGGGCGTACAAAATAAAAATGCAAAACCACATTCAACACGCAACACTTACACATGCATACACAAGAGGACTTTAAATTGACCCAAAGTACTTAGAAAACTCAAGTTAAAAATGAGGAACATTTGGTTATCACTTATTTAAAAGTTCATGTTCAACGGTTAATCCTACGTTTTACCATTACATTTATCAAAATCATTTTTCAGTTTTCTGTGGCATCCAAAAGAAATAATATGCTTTGTAAATTTGTCATGTGAAGGTTATTCCAATGACAGGACTGTTTTCAGGGTTTTCTTGTACAAACCATTAAACTATAATGTATTTATTACCTGCCAAAATAAACCAAATGACTTTGCTTTTCTGAACCGTTTTCTAAACTGTCTTTTTTTCTCAGTTTGTGTGTAGACATTTGTGGGTCACTTGTCTACATAAGAGATTATTTAAGGGTAACTGCATTGAGCTGATTGTGCCCCTTAATATTTATAAGTGTGTTTCATATTTCATGAAACCTCTTTCTAAAGTTTGTAACTGCTGCTTCATGTTTACACAGAAACCAACATTGGTAAACAGCAGCTGCAGATGTGCGTCTCAGTAACTTGATGATATACGCACACCTCTAGTATCTCCTAAAAAGGGGAAAACATGAGTGGAACTGCTTTAACTGTCTGCAAAGCACCTGAATCAGTTGTACTAAAAGAAATTCTTGAGACTTTTTATGAGATCATGTCTTCCCTTACGTCTGTCCAAATGTTTTCTTCAAACATGCTGCGTACATGCATCACCCTGACCAACTGCGCAGCTTAAAAACCAAATTAGCTAGTTTACTCAGAGAAAGAAACTTGACGTAGAATCGGCATTATTTTTTTTATACACAAAGGTATTTCTCTGGCACATAAGGAGCCTTACCTAAGCAATATTTTGATGAAAGCTTGAATTTCTTTGTCTGCATTTGTCACACACAGTGCACTGCTGACGCAGCAGTATTTAACGCTTTAGTTGAGCATTATCAGGACTTGCTCTGTGGAAGGCAGAGGGAGGAGACAAACAGCTGGACGGTCAATCAGCAGCTCCTGACTCTGTTTTATCTGATGACACTAACATGGAAGTTCAGATTCAGCTGATGTTGTGTGCATGCGAAGGTTTATTCTACAGAGGTGAGTGATTATTTTCTCTTCAATGGTTATAAATAACATAATCTGCAGCACAGATTTTTTTCTGTATTTGACAGCTTAAAAAAATGTGAAGATGTTTTAGTGTGTTGTCTTCGATCTTTTATCTTGCAGTTATTGATACTTAAAAGTTAGTGCTTATGCAGGAATACTGCAATAGTATGCTGCTGATGGATACAACAGAGAATTAATTTCTTAATAAAGTGGTCCGTCATAAAGTGTTCACATTTAACCTGCATCAAAAATCTCGTCTGCAGTTTACAGTTTTTTTGTCCTTAGCCAAGAAGTTATACCACACAGTCTGAAAATGCAGCAAATCCCAAAACGTGAGACAGACATTGGGGAAAGTTGGGCATTTGTGATTATAAAAGCTTGATGATTTTTCAAGTCAATGTCTGTTAAAGAAGAAATTGTACCTGCTCTCTAGTTTTAGATTTCTTTAAAAGTTTCAAAGTTCACTGCACAGAAAAGCTGGACAATGTTCATTTAACTCTCTTTTTTAGTGTTTATACTTTGATACAGTCTGAACTTTACAGTTATAACATTTCCCCCAGAGACTCAGTTCATTTGTCCACATCTGGACAATACTTCCTCTAAGCCTTCTAGCAAACTTAATCTTTCCCAATCCACAGCGTTCCTTGGTGTTTCTCAGATTAATTTTGAGGATTAGTGTTAATCCCCACATGTGTAAGAAGTTGTAGCAGTAACTGAGACGCTGATCAACCCACTGCAGACTGGTGAACCCTTGTGTTGTGCAGAGGAGAAAGTAATACAAGATTTGTTTTTTTGGCACGTCATCGCTCGCTGTCACAGTTCGGGCAAAGGGATTATCTTCTGCAGGGGAACCCTCAGGTCTTAGTGGGTCGAGTTGTCCTCAGTTTGAAAGAATCAAAATAGTGAATGTGATTTATAGACAGAAATTCTCAAACCCACCATCACATAAATCAAAATTCTCTTTTCCATCATCATTTACTGTGTTGCTGTGAAAAGACTCATTTGTCATAATTCTCTGAAATTTGTCGCCCAAACAGAAATGAAGTTTCAAGGATAAATGACACTTTTTGGACTACAAAGATGATTTCAACAGTAATGTGCACCAGAGAGACACTTCAAACTGCCCAATGCAACAACCACATCAGGAGCCCCGTCAGGGTTGAGCCTCGCAGGAACTCCATCCCTCAAACACAGTCTGTCTCTGCAAAACACCAGCAGGCACACCTGCCCAGACCGCAGACAGAATCTGTCCAGTTCACTTCGTACACTAACAAGGTAACATTTCATTGTTTATTCTTTTAAATGTTTTGTTTAAAAGCTTTAATGAAGAACTTTTGGTTTATGGCAGTTTAGACTCCGCCTGTGGACAAAGTAACCACCTTTATCTCTTTGTTGATTTTGTCCTGTGAATTTTAGGTTGTGTTTTCTGACTGAAAAATAATAATAAAAAAAACAACCTATAATGGCATAAAGAAACATAATTTTTTATATTTGCTTTTGTAGGTCACAAACAGCCATCTCTACTAATGCCAGTCTTTCAAAACCAGCTAAAACTCCCCACAACAACTTTGAGTTCTCACTGTCAAAATAAGGCAGCTGTAGTGTGGTCCTCCCAGCATCAACCCCCCGTCTTTAGCAAAGTTCACTGCCTCTCAGCTTACCATCAACAGACCAAGTTTATCCTTTTGAACAACAAACACAACGGGTCAAAAGGCAGCATCAGTAGTATACACAGATAAATTGCTTTGCCACTTGTGGGAGGATTTAGAAACTGACTGCCTGCAGCGTATAATTGTTCCTGATGTGGAGTTTGTACTTGAGCATGCGTCTCCTTTCTTTTAGGCTGCTGCTAAACCCACTGATGCTTCCATTGTGTCCATGAAGAGACCCTCTCTAATCCACGACTCGTACAATGCAAATGGCTCATCACTTCAACCATCCCTGAGTGTCAACCAGTCTCCCCAAACTCCCACTTTACCAAAGCAAGAACCCAACCTACAGCAGCCAGTCCAAACAACCCTTGTAGAACTAGTAGGAGACACCTCAAAGTCTCTGCGTTCACATCGCAACAGAGCCCTCAAACGTTTCAGCTCCAAGTGGCAGTCCAGATGTTCCACTAGCAGCTGCAGCAACATCCCCGCCTCTACAAAAGATAAGCTGAATGGAGCAAAGAGCCACAAGAAGCGCTGTAAGCTTCTGGGTGATGACCCATCATTGCAGGTTGTTGCAAGCAATCAGCGCCAACGTTATGTCACCAAGGATGGCAAGTGTCAGGTCAATCTGGGGCCAATTGCTGAGAAGAGTCGCTTCCTCTCAGATATTTTCACGACACTGGTGGATCTGAAGTGTCGCTGGTTCCTCCTTGTCTTCACCATGTGCTACATTCTCACATGGGTGGTCTTTGGTGGGATCTACTTCTTCGGCGCCTGGCTGCGTGATGACATTGCACACGTTCACGACTTACAATGGAAGGCCTGCTTCGAAAATGTGGACAGTTTCCTCTCAGCTCTTCTGCTGTCCATTGAAAGCCAGAGGACTATTGGGTACGGCTCCAGGATGGTGACGGCTAACTGCCCTGAAGGCACGGTGCTCCTCATGATCCAGTCCATCCTTGGCTCCATCATCGATGCCCTGATGGTGGGCTGCATGTTCGTTAAGATATCCCGGCCGCAGCAGAGAGCCCAGACCCTGATCTTCAGCAAACACTGTGTCATATGTCAACGAGATGAGAAGCTGTGCATGTTATTCCGCATTGGTGATCTGAGAGAGAGCCACATGGTGGATGCAAAGATCAGAGCCAAGCTGATCAAATCTAGGCAGACGAAGGAAGGAGAGTTCATCCCCCTGGAGCAGTCGGAGATCAACCTGGGCTACGACACAGGTGGAGACAGGCTGCTCCTGGTGGAACCTCAAACCATTACCCATGTCATCAATAAGAGCAGCCCCTTCTGGGAGGTGGGGTGTGAGCGCCTGAAGAGGGAGACCTTCGAGATCATTGTCATCCTGGAGGGCATTGTGGAAGCATCAGGTCAGTTAAAGTATTTTTAAAACCTTTGCTTTCTTGTTAGTAAGGTCAAATATTTGTTTGAATGGCTTTCACTTTCCTCAACCTTTTTATGGTTTGTGTTGCAGGTATGACATGTCAGGCAAGGACGTCCTACACAGAAGATGAGGTCCTCTGGGGTCACAGATTTGAGTCATGTATTTCTTTGGAGAAAGGGGCGTTTCGTGTAGACTACAGTGCTTTTAACAAAACCTTTGAAGTCCAGATGTCTCCACTCAGTGCAAAAGATAGAAGCAAAGCAGCGACACAACAAGAAATAGATTTTTAGACACAGCTATACTAACACCTCTCAATATTGTACACTGACATGAATTTAAAAGTTAAAGTGAGTACTATATTTCTGTATTATACTGTATTAAGTGTATGTCAAGAGAATGTATCGGAGGAGAGCACAATTTCTGTTATTCTATTGTATGTGTTATGAAGCTGCTCACTGTTTAAATTAAATAAAGTTTCATCTGTATCACTGTGTGAAAAGGTTTTTGATGTTAACCTAGCTCCCCTGAAATGTACCTGTAAATTTTGGTTAAAGTATATATAGCTGTCCACATTTCCAAACATTCTGCTGACATTTAGATGATCCTAATAAAAGTCCATGTACGGTAAGAACAAAGGACAACATATTTTAAGGAGCCTTAGGTGAACATATGGAGAGTCCATAGAAGGAAATACCATGACAGAACATATTTTGGGGACCTGTGTGATGTAAAAAATGTGTACAAGCATCTTTGGTTGAGGATGGTTGTTGGAGGCCCCTGGCTCCAGCAATCTAACACCAACGCCTCCATGGTATTTGAGTTGCATGGCTCCACCACTCTAAAGGCTGATGGGATTGGCTAAAGAAAATCACCCATGAAAAATGTTCATGATTGTACTTTTATTTCTTTACCCTTAAAAACATGTTTATGGCTCATGTTTATGACTCCAGCCCGGGAGGTGGCGGTAATGCAAAATACTGCTGATTCCAAAGAAGAAGAAATCTGTGGAGAGCAGCATGATGGGATATGAAAGTCCTCCGGCGGCGCGCTGCCGCCATGTCACCTAGAGAGAAACATTTAGCGCTTCTCTCTGCTTTGGGCTTAGTAAGTTTCGCTCTTTATTACAGTCCTACTTTTCTTTACGCGACTTTAATTCTTGCAGTTTGTTGTATTGTGTGTTACTTTCACTTCGGAGAACCGCTTCCCGCCAGGTTAGGCCTGAATCCGCGCGCTGGGCTGAACGTCCCGGCCGTGCTGCGGCGTTGGTTTGGCGGTTGGGGGGTGACCGGCGTACCGGTGGCCGCACGGGGTAAAGTGAAGAGCGGCAGAAACAAACCCGAGCTCCGGAACTCAGAGGGGAGCTTTAGAGAAACAGGGATTTATCGGAGGGAACATTTGTCGTCTGAGTCGTTTCTGTTCAGCCCCCGGGATTTCCTCATGGGGAGCTACATCGGGAAACCCGAGAGTCCACCGACCGCTCCGATCGGGAGGCCGAGAGGAGCGAGAAACCCCCGAGAACAACTGCGGGAAAACCTGTCCAGACCCAACCATGCTGTCTATTCTCCCAACAGGAGGCTGTCATTTACCGGGTACGTCCACAAACAAATCCCGCTTCTATAAACAAATCCTGACCGTCTGTGGGAGATCCAAGTCCAGTTAGTTGGCGGGTTTTAGTGATGGACTCTTCAGTCTTTGGAGGCAGCTTTGTTGGTATAATCAGACTAAAGATCCTCCTTTCATATTTGTGAATGAAGTAGACAGGAAAAGGGCTTATAATATTATCACTGATCAGAGTAAATGTGTTACCCAAACAGGAGGACAGAAATGAAACCAATGACTAATTTCAGCTTTTGTTATTTAACCTTAATTCAACTAAAAAAAAATCTAACCGTTTAATATTTCTTCTCAGAAACAGCCTAACCTTAGAACACTATCACAAAAATTAGTAACACCATCATCACTATCGCAGGGTGATTTTTACCTGAAATAATATACCCGAGAAAAAGTACTTGTCAAAATAGGACAATTCATGACAAATTAAAGTAGTTTTCTTTTATTTTTTTACTGTGCAATGTCCAAAGGGAGGGAAAAAGTGTCATTAGGGGACCATATAAAAATGCAACAAAATAACTGAAATTAGGCATTCATGAACAAAAAATAAAGATAGCGTGCAAAATCCAGGACCGCTCTGACTGACCTTATTCGCCTACATGTAGCTATCAAATCTACCCAAACCTACTTTACCCTCTATCACTATCCCAAACACGTGTCTGTAAGAAAAAGTGGATTTTGGATCAGGGAAACAAATATGCCTTCAAAGATGTCAAAGGAAATGCTGAAGCTACATTTTGCACACATGTGTAATAATAAATCTCTCTAAGGGCTTCAGAAAAAACTGGCATGGTGTTATAACCAAACACACACAGTTTGAAACAAACAAAAAAAAAAACAACAACCTGGCTTGACTCATAGCACATTATTCAGTAATTAGGTCAGCCTGCCTCCCCAGTGAAAGCTGTAGGGAAAACATCCACGTGTATCTTTGTTTTCTCTGATTTAATAGCAGATTCAGAGAACATCAGTTGACTGACGGAAAAGGTTAATTAGGCAAAATAAGCATTCATATCTTTTAGATACATTGAGCTTTCCTGGCTGGTTCAACTGGTGTGGCAAAAAAAAAAAAACTTAACAGTCCATTTTATAGAAATCTTGGCTGATACTGATAAATGATTTCTACACCTGATCATCAATACATGTGTCTTTAAGAATGCAAAACTATCACTGAATATAAAACCAGTTCCTTTTTATTTAGACATAGTATCTCAAAGCTTCAACTGCATCTCCAACTTTGTTTCAGAATGCAAATAACATTTTTTGACGACTGCGTCACGCTGTTTTTTCTTCTACCAGGGAGCCTTTGGGCACAGTGAGCAGATTCACTATCACCCCCCAGCGTCACTACCCCCTGCAGCAGCCAGGTGTTTCACCAGTGGGAGTCTTGCCTCCTGTCAGGTGGGATGGCTTCAGGAAGAAAAACATCCTCAGTCCACGCAACTCACCGGCTGTCCTCAGTCCCGTCACTGTGAAGATCGCCAGGCCCGACCACCACAGCACATTAAGGTCTTCATCGCTGTGATTTATACAAGTCAAAAATGAACATCATACAAGTTGCATCACTGTGTATCATGGATGTGTATCAATGTCCATTGAATTTCATCAACAACTGTTTGATCAATTTGATCATAGATGAGAGTTTTTTACTGAATATTATCGAAGCTTCTCTGATATTTCATCGTGAGTGTGCATTCAAGCCTAAATTTGTGGTTTTGTTCCTCAGTTTGAGTATTAAAACTATAACACACGCTGTGTTCTCATTTCTTTTGGTCATAGTTTGGACCACCATACTTGTGCAGGACACCCCAGGACCCCAGCAGACCCCTGCTCCAGAGAAAGTGTCCTCAAGGTGTTGAAAGAAAGTCGTAAGAGGGACGTGGAAGATGAGGAGAGAAGCTTTACGTCGGAGCAGAGAAGCAAAAGGAGGTACTGGAGGGACCATGACAGATGACACAAAGATAAAAAAAAGATGCAGCCTCACAGTCTAAAACAAGCTGACTTAAAGAATGAGTTTAGCACTGCTCCCAAATACTGCTGTAATAAGGAGTCTGATAAAGCAGGAAATGCAGAGACACAAACAAAGCAGCATTTGTGTTTTGCTATGAATGAAATGTAACTGTATGCAAACAGAGTGCATCACATGCTCATTTCTCATCTGTATCTTTGTGTCAGATTTTAGACATCATACACTTCAGACACTTGAACTTTCTGACAAAATTCTGTTAATTTGTCGACAACTTATAATAAATATCTGACAAAATGGCTTTTGAACATTTTTGCAGCTTGTCTGTTCAGAATCAAAAAGGAAACATCCTCATTTAAAGTATTATGAGCCACTCAGATGTTGGTTTATTCACAGTTTGTTAAAATGCTGCTCATGTTGATGATTCTCTTTCATTACTTCAGGCGTAATGACAGCGGTGGAAGCGCTCACTCTGCGTTTGGGCCTCTTTTGCCCAATGGAGCACCTTCACAGCTCGTCCCAAAGTGAGTTTAACTTCACGTACTATCAGGTCTTGTCTTTAAATTAACTGTCTTCATCTGACCAAGCCCCCAGCGCTCTGTAGAGTATATTAAGACTGTCTAGTTGTTAATGCTTTCCCTTTTCTCCTCCAGGCCAGGAAGCCTGAAAAGAGGGATGGTCTCGCTGGCAGAGGAGTCCATCATGAAGAGGTCTCGCACTTCCTCCATCAGCTCTGGCAGTGGAGTCCATGCCCCCAGAGGAACCCCAGGAACCAGAAGGAACCCGATACACAGCTCTTACAGCTCTTCACTCGGCCTCAGCCAGGTACCACTTTTTTAAGCGCAGTACATTGCTCACAGAGGCGTAGAGTCAGAGTGGAGCTTAACCTCTCTTTGTTGATCTCTGCAGTGGAAAAAACGATCTGCACCCAGTTCTCCTCTGTCCAGCCCTGGATCATCGCGCTGTCAGACTCCAGAGGGCGTATCCAAAAGGCCAAGGTATGCCTCAGCTGGAGTTTAGCAGGTCATCCATATTTCAGTGTAATGTAGATTGTAACTTATGGTTTTATTTCAGAGAGGACGAGGGACAGTCTCCCAGCTCAGCCTCCTCTGTGAGGTCGGACCACACAGCTTCAGACAAGGCTCCTGTTACTTGTAAGTCTCTTGTATCCACAGTATGAAGACAGACAGGAGCGTAAATGTGATTTCTTGTTTTTTTTTGTTCAGTTAGATCTTAATATTTCATGATCATGTTTCAGCCAAACAGACCCCAGCCCCCAGGATCCCAATTGCAGGATCCGCCTCAGCAGACTCAACTAGTAGTGGCGGGAAGAGAAAACGGAAGATCCAGCTTGTGTCCAGCAAACGGGACGATCAGATCTCTCTGGTAAGGAGTGCTGCATGGTCAGACTTGATGCTCTCTGAAATCCTTGTTTCTATAATAGTGCTCCAGTGACCCAGGTTTCTCTCTGTTACTCTGTTTACAGCCCCCGCCTCCAGAGCTGGGCTACACTATCACTGTGAAAGACCTGGACGAGGAGAAAAAGGCTGCCATCAGCAAAATCCAGAAGGTCCTGGAGACACCTGGTGAGTAGAATAATATCACTGAAATAAACCATTTGTATTTGGCAATGTTAAGGCTCTTTCTCTTCTTACTGGTGTGTCTGGACTATAAAGCTTGACCTCTGTCACGCTGCTGCTGTCGCCCAGTTAAGCCTCCAGCTAAACCCTCCTGTTGATTTCTCCTTGTTTAGCACCTGAGCCAGAGAAGTCAGTCTCCTCCCCAGCCACCACTTCAACCCAGCCTGCCCCCTCTGCCACCTCCACCAACACCACCACCCTGAGCAGCCTCCTGGCAGCTCCTCTGCCCACTGTCTCGAGCGCTTCCATCCCAGTTATTAACCTGGACCCCAGTCCCAGCAGCAGCAGCAGCAGTGCGGCCACGGCAGCTGCAGCCCCCAACCCTCTACTGGAAGCTCTGAAAAAGAGCATCTCTCCTGTTCCCGTTAGCTCCACACCTGTTACCATTTCTACATCAGGTATGATCATTGCACTGACGTGTTTGGACCGCCCAGTTTTTAATTCGTTTTTGGGAAAATCAGATTAATCATGATTTCAACCTATTATATTGAGGCAGGGCTTGACAGTGCGACTGTTTCACTCGCATTTGTGACTAAAAATAGATGTGTGCGAATTGTCAAATGTATTTAGGGGCAGATGTGCGCATAAAAAAAATCAGCTGAGGCAACAAATGTTTTTTTCATGTAAATACTGCGGCGAAGTTAGTTTTAGGTTGGAAATTCAACGGACATGCACCGCTGATCTACCGGTGTCTTCTCACTCTCAATAACCGGGAATCGCAACAGCAGCGTGGTTAAACCTACTCAGCACCCTCGCTGTCAACGTTGGGTGTTGAATAAGGGACCATCAATAAATTACCTGTCGATGCTTCCATGTCATGTGACCAATTGACCTAAAATTGATTTCAAATAATAGCACTAAGGTTGGACAATAAGACACACCTCTTTATTTCCCTAATTTGTCTTCTTAAAAATTTTGTCTTAAATTTAGTGACAAATTTTGAACATTTTCTTCAATAGCTTCCATGTCATGTGACCAATTGACCTAAATTTGATTTCAAATAATTGTACTTAGGAGCACATGTGATCCTTCTGAAATAAGTTAGTGTCAAGCCCTGTGAAGGATTTTTCTTTGTGTACAATAAAACCAGAATATTTACAATCCAATACACATGCAACAAAGTGTAACAGTACCATAAAAATTCTCGTTATTTTAAATTGCTCTATTTTTTTGTCTCTGGCCTTATCACTGACTACTTCATTCCTTGTTCTCTCTATAGTGTCCGCATCAACCACACCGGCACAACCAAGTGGCCTAACCATAAAAGTTTCAACTGCAGTGGATTCTCCTCAAATCCCTCCCGCCTCACAGTCTCAGTCCTCCCTTGCTGTTGGGGATCAGCACTCTGCCTTCATGCAGGTGCTGAGTCAAGTCTCAAAAGCCCCCAGCAGCAGCACTCCACCTTTAACAGGTACAGGTCTGTTTGGACTGACGAGCCAAAACAGCACAACATCTTCATCCTCTGCCTCCAACCCTGTTACTGCCACTGCTGCTACCCCAGCCAGCAGCACCCAGTCTGTTAGCAACACCAACCCTCTGCTGGCTACAGGGTTCAAGCCCATCTTTACGGACACCACCACTTCCTCCGGGACACCGACCCCAGAGAGCAAACCCGCTGTCCAGAGCTTCAAACCCATCTTTGGAGCAGCCACAGAGGGATCTGGCTTTGGACAGCCTTCATCTACCACAGCCACCAACCCAGCCTCGACAGTTTCTTCAGCTAGTACACCCTCAATGTTTAGATCAACAAACACCACCACGGTCACCCCATCTGTTTTTCCTGGCATGACAAACACCCTCACTGGCACAGCCTCCACTGGCTCCATCAACGTCACACAGCCAGTAGCCCAGCCGACTGTGAAATTTCTCAGTGGAGACTGGTCGGCACCATCCACCACAAGTACCAGCTCAGCTCCAGCACAGGCTTCAAACACAGGGAGCTCATTTCAGTTTGGAACTGTCCCCACAACAACTGCAGCTGCACCTCCTGCTGCTCCTGCTCCTGCTGCTGCTACTACAGCCTCCAGCAACAGCACGTTCGCATTTGGTGCCACACAGCCCGATCCCCAAGCTGCCAGCCAAAATGTCTTCACTTTTGGTCAAGCAGCACCAACACAGAGCACGACCGCTTCATTTGGAGGCTTCGCCATGGCCAACACCGCCTCCACCACAGCCGCTGCACCTGCTGCCACCACCCAGTCCACCTTCACCTTTGGGAAGTCATCGTTCCCGGCTCCTCCTGCAGCTACTGCAGCAGCAGCACCGCCAGCCTTTGGTTCCTCTGCAGCGGCCCCTAAACCATTCACCTTCGGCAGCAGCGCAGCATCATCCGCTCCCGCCGCTAACCCTGCCCCGCCGCCCCCTTTCCCTTTCGGCTCAGCTACTGTCACCTCAGCACCCAGCTTTGGGACCCCGGCTCAACCAGCCTTTGGAAGCAGCACCACTGGTTTTTCTTTTGGCAGCACCACCGCTCCCTCTGCTGCACCCTCAGCCGCACCAAGTTTCGGTGCGGTGACACAGACTCAGAGCGCCCCCACTGCCACCTTTACGTTTGGCAGCGCTGCTCCTCAGCCGGCTCCTCCTGGCCCTGCTCAGTCGGCTCCCAGTGGGTTTAACTTCGGTGCTGGTATGCAATGCCCTCAGTTTGGAACACCAGTAGCCAATAATCCTGCACCGCAGATGGGGGGCTTCAACTTTGGGGCAGCGGCTACTGACAAACCAGCGTTTGGTAAGGACAAAAGATCATTGAAGATGTATTTTTACTGATAGATACATCATTGAAATCTCTGAAGGAGTCATCAACACTGTTTTTGCTCTCTCAGTCATTCATCCTCAAACACTTTTGACTAAAACAACATTAAACTTGAGCAACTGCCATTGAAAGTCAAAAGAATTAATTGAATAATTAATTGCTGTTATTTGAGTTTGATGAAATTTCGTGCTGCACTTTCTGCAGGAACATCCACCCCAGCCTTCGGCCAGGGTGCTGCAGGTCCAAATCCCTTTGGAAGTCCAGGAACTCCAGTTCAAGGCTTCAACGCCGTTCCATTTGGTAAGTCACCAATGCAAGTTCAAGAGTTTCAACAAGTGTAAGATGTTGACGGGAATCCATGGCATTCCTATGAAGAGCTGTGGACGACATTACACCTTCCCACTTCCGTTTTTTTTTCCCTCCGGTTATATTCCAAATAAACTCACCGACCAAACAACTTTAAATGTTATTGTTCAGTAGACCAGTTTTTTTAAAAGTAACCGCAGAAATGTGGAGCTGCAGTTCCCAGAAATAAGAGCGATCTCTCTGCTAACATTCAGCCAATACAACTCTACAGCCTCTGAAAAATGTCCATGAGTTGAAATAAAGCAAACAAAACACAGGATCTTGATTTTGTCAATCCATGAACTTTGGCCCTTTATCTCAGAATTACCTGACTACAGCAACAACAGGACAGGAGTGACCTTTACAACTAAGAAAAGTAGCAGTTGCTCTGTTTTAATCAGTGTTTCATGCACTCTCATATCTTTGTTACCAAGAGCTAAGAAAGAAATGCAAAGGTTCAAAGAGCCATACAGGACGCGATATCTTTTTTTATTTTTTTTTATTTTTTTTGTCGGGGGGTAGGGGAAAGTCCCACCTCCTTCGCCTCTGATTGGCTAGAAAAGATGGAAACGTCATCACACGTTCAAGCTAAACGCGGGTTGTCGGCTCTCTCATCGAACAGAACGTTACAGAACATTATCGCACTTTTGAATCTCCTAACCCTAACCCGACAAATGATGTTTCACAGCCATTAGGAATAACCAATCTGAGCCCAGCACTTGTAGCCAATCAGAGGCAAAGGAGGGCGGGACCTTCCCCTACCATCCCACACAAAAAAATTGCATACAGAACATACTGTAGGTTATTATTGCATGCATTGCATGTTGTTGCTCACATTTTTTCTGTGTTTTATCATCAGGGTCTCCAGCGACTCCCTCTTTCTCTATTGGAGCAGGATCCAAACCATCAGGAGCACGCCAGAGGCTGCAGGCAAGGAGGCAACACAACAGGAAGAAATAAACTACCCAATGTGTCCAGTTCAGCTGTCAGAGGACTTCAGCTGTTGCTGCTGTTGCTGCTATGGTTCATCTGGCTAACATTGCTCTGTTCTAAGCCCACCATCCCCCCAACCAGGCTGCCACCATGCCCTCTGCTTTTTCGCCCTGCTCCAGTGGGCTGTGCTGGCCGGCCCGAAACAATGTGTTTGCAGAGGAGTCAGAAAGAGCATATACCGGCTCGCTGAGTTAATGCTGCCCGGTCGTCTACATGACCAAGAGAGGGAATGTAGCAGCGCGGAGACAGAGTCCATAACAATGTACTATACTTGAAGAAAGACAAAAGACAGATGAGAAGTCAAATTCTGAACAAAAGCATATCCGAAGTTCATTTTTCCTTTATCGTATGTGGACACTCCCATTGGTTTGTCTTAAAGAGAGAGTTGAGTCAGGCAGAGACATGGAGCCTTGGCTCAAACTTTTATTTTTTTACGTGAATTGCTCACTGGTGTGTATGTTACCGAGTATTTGAGTACATTATCTGAATGAGTCTGAATAGAGCAGAATGCACAGCTGCAGTGTACATGTAAAGTTATGAGATGTTTGCATTTAAAATTATTTTTTTAATTGGCTCTCTGACCCTGTAAATGAATGATGTGTTTCTGCATTGCAAAGGCAACATGTCTTAATGTAGATAGTGCAGATCCTTGTGTTCTTGTTTCATACTCTTTGTCATTACAAGCATTCCCAGAAGTCCTCCTGTGGATGGCCTTTTTTGATAGCGATTGCCAACACTGATACAGTTAGCATGTCAGTAAACCAGTAAGGATGACTACTCTTGTCATGTGCTGACAAACCAAAGCAAAATCTTCAGCTTCATGCCTGTGAAAACAATCTGTGATCTCTAACCTTTAAACCTGAGATGTGTTTGTTTGTGCCGGACTACCTCTCCTTACTCTTGGCACTGAATCCATGTGAATTCACTGAAAAACTTTGGTTCGGTTTAACTCTCAACTGCTGTTTATACAGAGAATAAAAAGTGAGTTTTAAAACATCTGTACATCAACACATTAGTCCAGCTTCTGAATAATAATAATCGATAACAACATAGAGACATAACATCAGATTTGCCAAAACACACTCTGTTACAGTGGAAAACCTTGTCTTAGAAAGTTCTCAATTTAATGCAGGGATCAAAATTTGCGCTGATGTCTTTTCCGTTCATATTTGTGGGGTTTTCTTTAACAGAAGTTAAAGTGAACCCACTGATGTCAGCAGTTATGATTTGTTTTTTAACGGTAATGGTTACTTCTTGTGAAAAGTAAGTCATAAGATTCAGTTGCTGATGATTAATTTTGGAGAAATAAACAGAAATTTGGACGAGGACTTCCCAACAACAACAAAAATTAGAGCACCGGTTTGACTTTTTTCTCCCATCCAGCCACACCGCTGACAGATTTTTTAGTATCTGGTTTATCGTTGACATAGTTTGACTTTACAGTAATTGTTTCCAGCCTGAAATGGTAAAGCACGTTAATTTCCATAGCTGGTTACTTTTGCTAATAAGATTGTCTTACCAAATATTCATCAGCTTTTATTTAGATCTTTTGCAGTTTTTGCTTTTTTATTTGCGTTTTCATTGAACAGGAAGCGGAATAGTGCTCACCAAGCACATCAGTACACTCTGTTTCTTTACAGCATGTAAACACATTTTTCCCAAGTGCTGAGAATGAGTAAGAAGTCTGGATTTAAGGAACATCTCATGTCATTATTCTCTCCTTTGTGATCTTTCTGTGTATCTGTCCTTTAATTTATTCTTGTTTTGCTCTTCGGGTTTTTTTGTTTAAAAACCCGTTGAGTAAGTAGATTAAGCATCAGTTTTAATAAATCTGTTTTCAAAATAGGATGCGAGATTGTCTCATGTCGCCAAATATGAAGTTTCTTGTCTGGAGAGGTGAATTCACACCACTGAGCTAGTTTTTAGTTACGTTTGAGAGAAATTATAAAAGCTATTTCTCCTTCAGACCCTCAAATTAAAGAGTTTGAATAAGATCTAATTTCAATACAGCTTGTTTTGAACTGTTGTTAGGAAAAACAAGGTAAATTCTACAGATGTAAAGTGAATTTTAAACTAGTGGTCGACCATGGAACATAACAGGTTTAAGAAAAAAATAAACTCAACTGCATAACCACAATGTATGTAAAGAAGTAAACATTGGCTCCAATTTGACCAGCAACAGTTATTTGCATTTTTAAGTCATTTATTAAATAATCTAATAGTGTAATTATAACAACTGGATGGTTATGACTTGGACATTTACCCTGGAAACACTGCCTTGTTAGATGATACTTTGAGTACATTTTGTTCCTGATCTGTTATTTAGCTTGAGAGGCACTTTTACGAGGAATAGATTACTTCAGGGACATTCATTTTTTCATTTTGGTATTTGTGGTTCGGAAAAGGCTTGACTATTTCTCTCAAATCCAACAGTTAGAGAAATAACTGGATCTGAGACAAATAAATCTGGTTTGTGTTACATTCATCAACTGCAGTATATCTCTGTCCAACAGATGGCGACTGTGTTGTAAGATGTCGGTTTCCCAGTAAATAATGGGAACGAAGAAGAAGAAATGCTCTCAGGAAACTTTGCGCATGCGTATTGATAAGCAGCGAAGAGTGGTCAAGTAGACGTTAACGTTTGAAAGTACGTGGCAGAAAGCTAAAAACATGGAGGTAGCTGCTCTGGTTGCTTTGACTTTGTTATTAGGTGCTTTAGTTATTATAGTCGCATTAGCGGTGGGTAGAAGGAAAGAAGAGATCCGAGAAGAGCAGGAGCAGGCGGCTGAGTTTACCGGTAAGAGCCTGTCGAGCTAACGTAAGTCTGTGAATGAGGAGGCGGTGAGTCACCACCACCACTGTCATACTATCTCTGTGCTCTTTGGTCCAACGACTTAGTTCTCCCGTTTTCATTCACAAAGAGTGTTTTCACGAAAATAATGTCCTTGTAAGCTGGATTTATCGTTCCCAACTGCACAATGACTTTTAAAGCGAGTAACTTACAGGAATTGAAGCAACTTCAAGTCACCTGTCGCAAGCCCCAAAAGGTTTCATTGACGGACCAATGGAGTTCATCGTGCTGTTTGTGTGTTTGTTAATAATGCAGGAATACTCCAACCAGCAATGATCTTATAAAACCTGCACAATCTAATGCAATCCAATACAACTGCTCTAATACAAACTGTTCTTCAGGAGTAGTTTTTAGATCAAGGTCTTTTCATTTAGTTTTACAAATCATAGTTTACAATCAGAATCAGAAATGCCGATACCGATTATTGGGGGATCCGATTACCGATTAATCGGCCGATTTTTAAACATTTTCATGAAGTTATAAAAAATATATACAGTAGATATCATCTACACTGTAGATATCACCTACAGTATACTAGTATACTTAATTCTGTAGATATGCTGCGGGCTGCTGCTCTTCACGCCGACAGGAAGACTGACTGTTCAAACTCGGACCAGAAAAGCGTTTCAACTACTAGAGACGGCTTTGACCCTTCCTGTAGACGGCCTCAGCGTTCCTGGTCCAGTCCAGTTTATTGTTTAAGTACACCCCTCGGTACTTGTACTCCTCCACAGTGTCCACTGGGACCCCCTGGATGGAAACAGGGGTCACAGGTGTTTTGTTCCTCCTCAGATCCACTATCAGCTCCTTAGTTTTTGTCACATTGAACTGCAGATGTTTAAGCTCACACCACATGACAGAGTTGTCTACCACAGTCCTGTATTCACTCTCCTCAGCCTTGCTTATGAGCAAGGGTTCATTTGGGTCCAACAATTAAACAAAAGTCCAACAGAACAGGACCATAAATCCCATCCACCCCCCACAAATACCAGATTTAGAGAATTTACAGAATGGCATACATAGTTCAAAATACAGAATTCACTCAGCCATATTAAAAAAAAACGATTATATAATAATAATGATGCTGACTGAGGACAACAGCAGAGGTTTACAGTACTATATTGTCTGCCTCCATATCTTCAACAAACATTAAGAAAGGCTGATAAATGTTAAAAAATTTTCTAGTAGACACCCTGATTGTGTATCTAATCTTCTCCAACTTGATATGGTACATGATTTCCCTAACCCTAATCCCTAACCTGGGGGTATTAGGTCTTTCCATTTCGATAATATCAGTCTCCTAGCTAGCAGAGAGCAGGAGTAGTTTTTAATGTCGAAATGATCTGTCATGATCGTTGTCCTTGATTCTGTGTTCATTATTGAAGTGTTAATAGTTGACTGGAGTGTACTGTATTGAAGATTTCCTTACATTTTGCCCGCTTCATTGACAAACATGAGGGGAGCAAAATATTAAAATGCGAAATCCCTTTTTTTGCAAGACTGCTAGTACAGACCTTGCTGTCTCCATCTCACCCCTAATCTCAGGACAAGTTGAAGTGAGAGGTAGAACACAAGACAGGAAGCTGCATCACATAGGGCAAAACAAGTGGATTACAACAGGCATCCAGTCATCATGATTATTTCGTTGTGATTGCAGCAAGCCAAAATCGCGCAAGCATGAAAAAGTTTCAGCAGATCAGGATGAGCTTGAGCCTCAGCAACTGCAGAGTTTTGATATGTCTGCATAAAGTCAACAATTTAATAACAATACCATCAGTGTCACTCTAACACACGAGACTCTCCCATTGACTCAACCCTGAACTAGTATGAAAACTGTATTATTTTAACAGTCAAGGCATGACTGGCTCTCTGAGTTGTCCTGTTTGTCTGGAGCTGTTAACATTATCCTCCTGAATTTTCACATTGTTTTGATGTTTTGGTAATTCCTTGAGGTTTCAGGAATCCATATGTTAACTCATCACCCTTGTGTCTTGCCTCTCAGCTGCAAGTAATGTGACGAAGGCTCCTGCACCCAAGAAAGTGAAGCAAGAGAAGCAGCGCAGTCGTAAGGATAAAGCCTCACAGCACACCTTCAGCCACCCGCTGTTGGCATCCTCACTGAAGGTAAACAGGAACATAGTCAAGACTGTAAGACACACATCCAAAGAGCCTTGTTCTGCAAACATACGTCTGTAGTTATTAAGTCTTTGGACATTCAAGAGTTGTGGAAATAAGGAAAACAGAAATATTCACAGTTTTATTACTGAACCACATGCAAAAGTACTTAATCTTAATTAGCTGTTTAGTTGTATCATAATCTCTACAAGCCACTCTAACTTAGTTACTCATAAGTTGTTTTTCTTACCCAAGATAGGGGGAGTGATGACTCATTGTACTTGTAATCATTTTTTTTAAAGATTTATGTCTGCTGTAGGGAAAGCATCTCTTATTGTCTTATCTGTCCATTTTTTTTTTTCTGAGAATGTGTTTTTGTGTCTTGTTTTTATTTCTCAGAGCCACAGTGGAAATGTGACGTGCCTTGATTTCAGCAGTAATGGGAAGTATCTTGCCTCATGCGCTGATGACCGTACAGTCCGGATCTGGAGCACAAAGGACTTCCTAGACCGGGAACACAAGTGCCTGAGGGCCAATGTGGAGCTGGATCATGCCACACTTGTCAGTTTCAGCCCGGACTCAAGGTCTCCTCACGTTTTTCTGTCTACTAAACTAAATTTTTACAGACATCAGGTTAGAGAATTAGCTTCTGCACCCACACAATCGCCGTCTTTGTTTGGGAAACTAGAAAGAATGGCTCCTTGGTGAACATCTGTCCATTGATTATTCCTGATTGTAAGTTTAGTTTTGTAATTGAAGTTTAGCTTTGCAGTGGAAGTTAGAGGGTGTGATATGGTCTGGATTCCCCATCAGTGTAAAGCTTGGTTTAATGTTTACAATCTGAGGTGTCAGAGATGTCACACCAAATACCCAGTAAACAACATAATGAAAGTTTGTGACCAGGTAAACTGAGAAATATATTAAAAAAAAGATGTATTTCAGAAAAAGGGTGAGAAAACAAATCTGAGATGCAGTTTCAGATTCTATCAAGACTTTGCAAAAGTATGTTGCATTTGAATTAAATCAGTCACCATAATTAAAACTAAGTAAATGTCTGTCATTAATTAATCTCTATTATCGTTCCAGCACTAATTTCAGATAGGAATATGTAAATTGTGTTTTAAAGTTAAGAGACTAAAAGTTCAGCCAGTTATGTGATAAATAATCTTGTCAGTAAGATTTTCTAAAAAGCAGTCAACTTCATCTGAAAGAGTCATACATATAGTGATAGTTTACTGTTTTAAAAATGATTCATTTGTTCCTCTTGTCTTTTAAATCATAGTCTTATAAACTCCTTCAGAAAATATTCTTTAAAAATTGAAGTTTTTTGTCAGTAATCAACAGGAAAAAAAATTGACAGTACCTTTTGTTCTCACAGCAAGTCCTAGTAATGTTTCACTGTCTCGCCAAACAGAAACAGCATTGGTAGACCCAATGATGATGATTCAAGCACATCCCTCACTGACTCTCATCTCGATTGCGCAGGGCGTTTATCACCTGGTTGGCAAATGGAGACACGATACGAATCTTCAAAATGATCAAAAAAGAGGACGGCACCTTGACTTTTAAAGCTGCCCCAGAGGACTTCCCACAGAAGCACAAAGCACCCATCCTCAACATCGGCATCGCAGAGACAGGTACAGAACACACCGAGTGTCTCCAATGCTGTTGAGACAATCTGCTTAATCTTACCAGCAGCAGGTAAACACAAACTTGACAGTGTTGAATTGATTTTAAAGACAAAATCTCAGAGATCTGTCTGTGAGCCATAGTTTATATTAATAGAAGATGATGGATCCTGTTTTCGTTCAGGAGCTTTATAGACCTGCGTTGTCAAGTTTGGTTGATGTTTTGTTTGTTCTCTTCAGGCAAGTTTATCATGAGTGCCTCCACCGACACCAGCATCCTCATCTGGGATCTGAAAGGAGAGGTACTGGCCTCCATCAACACCAACCAGATGACCAATTCCTATGCCGCCATCTCCCCATGTGGCAGGTTAGTACCATCCTCCATCACTGAAAACGTGTCTGTTGAAAGATCATTAAAGGATCTCTCTGATTTTTTACAGTCTAAAAATGTGCACGGATAACTTTTAAGGGTTTGTGTTTTCTTTTTATGACATTCAAAAGCCAAAAGTAGATTTAATGCATACTGTATGACTTGTTTGGAGGTCTAACTGATTCACGCCATGTGTTCCAGGTTTGTTGCATCGTGTGGTTTCACTCCTGACGTGAAGGTGTGGGAGGTTTGCTTCGGAAAGGGAGGAGAGTTCAAAGAAGTGGCTCGAGCTTTTGACCTGAAGGGCCACTCTGCAGGAGTTCACGCATTCGCCTTTTCCAATGACTCACACAGGTAACGGGAGCTTTTCTGATGACAATGCTCAGTCAAAGAATTCTCATGTCTTCACACTAGAGATGACTCTAGAGCAGCCCGCCAGCATTAGTCGTAGCATAGAGCTAGTGCTGAAATACCCTAAAACAAACAAGCGATCATAAAGATTAGATTAAAGATTTGTTTATTTGTCATGTGCATGTTAAACAAGGTCAACAGTGCAATGAAATGCCCTGGATGAGAGGACCGCCCACGCAAAGGAGTACAGATGAAACACACAAGAAGTACTGAGAGGAATACAATAAAATAAGGATACAGAAAATATAAAAGACATATATAAGTATTGCAGAAATATTTACAAAGTGCACAAGCGATGCAGTAGGTGTTGAGTGTGAATGTATGAAATGGGGGGTAAGTCGGTGGGATAAATGAGGTATGAATTGCCATATGGCACATGATGAATAATGGTGTACGAATTGCTGTATTGCACATCACAGATAATATTGCACTGTTAAGTAGGTTATTGTCGGTGGTACTGTCAGGAGATTAAAGTACAATGATAAACATGGAGGTTTTCACAGGGAGTTATGTGCATTACTCAAAAGGTGAATAAGAGGCTGTGTCCTCAGTGTGGCTTTTATTGAATGTCACTTACAAAACTGCACCTATTATGAATACGCGGCTGTGCAACTGTTTTCTTCTTAATTCAGAATGGTGACCGTCTCCAAGGATGGGACATGGAAACTCTGGAATACAGATGTGGAGTACAAAAAGCAGCAGGACCCCTATCTCCTGAAGACCGTCCCCTGCGCGTCATCTGATGGCAGCCGGGTGGCTCTGTCTCCAGACGGCCGGGTGGTGGCTGTCAGCGACGGCTGTAATGTCACCATGTACAACGCTGCCAGTGGAGAGCTGGAGGAGGAGATGCAAGGCGTCCACAGCGAGGAGATCACCGACATCAGATTTGACATTAACGGGCGCTTCTTGGTATGCAGCGGGGATAAGGCCATCCGAGTGTTTCACAACGCCCCCGGCTACAGGGCGTCCATCAGAGACATGCAGGACATGCTGAAGAAGGCTCAGAACGAGGCCATGAAGCAGAGACTGCAGCAGCAGATAGCAGAGGCTCAGAGCGCCTTGGACACTGTGCTGGTTGGACCTGTGGACTAAAATCACCCAAAGAAGCCATTCTCTAAATGTGAAAGTGTCTGAATCGGACTGCTAATCTTTTTTCAATTCTGTTTCTGACACTAAGTGATCTGGTTTGGGATCAGGATTTGCATGCGGTTTTAATAAAGAATATCTTTTTATGCAAATGAGTGGTTTAAATCCAGATGTGTCTTTCATTTTTTCCTCCACGTTCTTTATGTGAACTCTCTGCAGTAGCTGTGTTACATTTGCCTGAAATAATTCCAAACTTAAGCCAAGCCCTTTCAGAAATATTACTTTGCTCAATGTTCCACATAATCCAGAGAGTTTAAGAGATAATCCGTGTTTTTTCAGGTGAGAAAGCTTGATCCATACAAGAACACATTCATCTTTCATAATCACTTTGTGGGCCTGAGGTAAATTTACTATATTCAACAAACTTTTAAACAACTATCACAGTAGATTGTTTGGACATTTTTTGCAGCACACAGGTTTGAAACACTGTGAAGTAGTCAAGGTCTCATTGTCATGGTACACAACAAATGATCACTGGTCTATTTCTATTAAATAGTTCATAAAATAGTCCAAGTTGAAGAAAATCAATTGATCACATGAAGTAGAAGTAGAACCACAAGAAAGGGGGAAAAAAAAAACAAGGGAAGGGGTGCACCAACCAAAACTAGAGGAAGGAAAACAATCTTACAGAGGTCACCATTATTATCAGTTGTAGTGGTAAGAGTACTGGTGTTCTGCTAGCTTTTTGTAACCTTTTTAAATACAAATTATTTTATTTATTTGTTTTTATCAAGACTGTGTGAACAAACAACATTATTTTGATATCGCACAATAGGGGGGAGTGGGGTAAGATGAACCATTTTTCATATTTCAGATCACTACATAAAGGCAATCATAGTTTTGTCTCTAACTAGTGTATCTACATACATTTCAAGATGTTGTGCATCCCTGCAAACCAGCAGGGTAAACATAAACATAACTGTCTTGATAATATAGCATGCCAAAAAAAGTGGTCTCCTATGGTCAACTTACCCCGTGTATGGGGTAAGTTGACCATAGGAGCTGTTTTTTCTTTTCTTTTTTAAAAGCCATTTTAACACAAGAATGTCTTAAAGCGATTCAGAACATTCACAGCTGTATTTTTGAAAAGAAAAAGTAAAACATTTCAACAATCTGAACTGAAACTCTGATCCTCTCATCAGACTCTTTTACTTTCTCAGTTACCCCAGAACTACTGTTATGACTTTATCAGTCCTCTACGCTAAAATGGTGGACTTTAATGTTGGTTTTTGACCTCATGTTGTAGCTCATAGATACCACAATTGATGAATAAAACAAATTTAAAATGATCTTTTTTGGTCTGAACACAATTCTAGTGAATTGAGTCTGTCTAATGACAGACTCAATTCACTTTCAAGAGTGAAAAATGATTTCTTTGGAAATAAATGTCTAACCCCTTCACTCATGTGCTTCTAACATTCACAGACTCCATGAATTGATGCCCATCTCCTAAATATTTGGTCACATGATCAATTTCTTTTACCATTTCCAAGCAACAGGGGGTGGCTCAACTTACCCTTTGGCTCAACTTACCCCACTCTCCCCTGTATTATAAGGTAGGAAATGTCCAGGACAGGAAGGGAAAATTGAAATACAGCTTCATGTCAACAGTAAAAAAAGAATAAAATACATTATGATAGCAGACAATGAAATATTGTAAAAAAAAAAAAAACTTTTTATGTTCGAAATAATTGAATTTTAACAACGCTCATTAATCGACATTCATTATTATGGGTTAATGCAAAAATTAGCTAAACATCCAAAGTCATAAGGAAGGTATTTCAATAACGCAGATAACAAATTTTAGACGGACAGAGAAACTTCTGCGGTGTTAAAATGATAGAGAGGTGACCAGATGCAGCGCAAGATGGCGGACCCAAAGATAGAAAACCACATTTACAAAACGCAATAAGTTTCCGCATTACCTCCGATTGGCGGACCCAAAACAATTACTTCCGGTGGAAAGGCTTTCTCGTTGGCGGACTTCCGGCGCCGAAATACTTCAGGTAGTCGGATTTAGTCGCCGGATCCTTTTTTTTTTTGCTCCGTTCATTCCATAAGAATCGAATTAAATTTATTATTGAGCTAAAAATCAAAATAAAACGTTTATGTATTAACTATGACTACTGTTTTGTTCTGATTTAATTCTGAAGTTTACAGTAATATGTATATATAGCCTGATGTCCTCATATTCTGATAATTTGTCAGAATAGGTAAATGTATGTAGAAGTTATCATCTTACTCAAATTCTTTTGTAAGAGTTTGCTACAAGTATGGACTGTTTTAACCTCTCGTTACACATCATATAACAGTGTTTTCTAACTTTTCTCTCCAATAGCTTTATTACACAGCACATCAATGTTTCTTAACTTCTCTGTGACCTTGTTTCTCCACTCCTATTAGGACCTCGTTTAATGTCAACAATGTTGCCCTGACCCTCACATATTTTCTGTTGTTCATAATTATGTTTTATGAGAGTGCTTATGTTGCTGCACAAATTTACTCCCCCCATCCTTTAGTAACATTGTGTAACCAGGGACATCATTTATGAAATGGTGTGCTTCCTGGTGAACCTCTTCAGGATTGCTTGACTGTGCAAAATCCAAGTATACAATAGTTGTAGAGACACAAGTCACATGATCTCTTTAAGGTTCAGAAGAGCCATATAGCAAAAACAATTGAATAGCGATATCATTACAGACTGTGTAAAGAAATGGGAAATTGTCATACAACTGCTTTGAAGATTTCTTTAATTTTTTCCAAACAAAATTGTGAACAGTAAAAAAAAATATATATATACAAAATTCAGCACTGCCGTCGGTGTGGTGGGGGGCTTAAAACACGTTGCCACAGGCCATCATCAGCTCTGCTCTGAACCGGTTGATGCCATGCTCCTTCAGTGCTTTGATCAAAAGCTGAAAAACAGTCAAATAATGTGAACAATTGAAGTTATGCAGTATGGGTTAATTGTTGTTCTTGAGCTTTCCAAATGAATAAGAACAACCTCTTAACAATATCATCAATTTTCAAAGCAAGCTATATAGTTTGATCTACTCACCTCTGGGAGCATGACGTCAAAAACGAAATCAAGCAGATAAATCTCGCCTCTCTTTATTTTTTTAGAAATGTTTGTTGCCACCTCAATAAACCGCAGGAGCTCGAACATCTATTGAAGAAAAACACAGAAAGTAAACACCTTACAAATGTAACACCCCTGAGAGTAAAAATACTCATGATGGATGGCATTTTTACTTACGCGCTGCTCACTCCAACTTAGTGTCCTTATCTTAAGATGCTGCTTTAGTCGGAGTGAGGTGGCGGGATTCCTCCAAAGGAACATTCTGTTGGAGCTGATCTTTCCAGACAGTAGATCATCGTGTAATGTCTGAAACCAAAGAGCAAGAGACAAAAATGTAATCATCTGAAAAAGAAACGGTGGCTTTAACAACTGATAGTGCATTCAAAAGCAACCTTGATCTGTGTCTTAGAAAAGACAGCATGAATTCCTCAACTGTCAACAGCATCCTTGATCCTGCAGAGAAATAAGAAAAGAGCAAGCCCTCATTTTTTCATCCTTTGAGCCTCGTATTTTTGACTGATACTATGTTTCCTTGATAAATTATGTTATACCGAGGATGCTCAATGGAGTCCTCGCACCCGCTGTCAAACGGCTCCATTTCAATCCCAGCACAATCCTGATGCAGCCAGCCCCTGCACGTCTTGCACTGGACCCATTTTATGACGTTTACCTCAGGGTAAAGCAAACTGATCAAATGAGAGACAAACATAATATTAAACAAACACGCTGTCCAATTGATTATACCTCTGCAGCACATTTGAATGTATAAATAATTTTCCTGCATGATTCGTGCATTTAAACTATATGTAAAAGTGGTCACTTCATGGAAAATCACTGAATAGGCCCCGATAATTGCATTTATTAAATTGAGTCTGCAACACACCTCTCTCCTGTGTTGTTCGATGTCTGGTAGACACAGAATTGCATTGAATCTGCCATGCACATCCTTTGGACATCCGATACCGTCTGCGTCATGGTTTCCTTGACATGGCAATTTGAAAAGTAACATCAATTACCAAATACATCGAGACAATGTTGATCCATACAACTGTGTGCATTTTGAAGGACTCCCACTGAGATAATACTGTTTTTACAAGGCAATTTTCTAACCTCTATGTCCTGCTGCTCTGCCTTCCTCTTTAGACTGAAGACCGGAGTATGCTTTCCAGCAATGAGCTCTTGACATTCTTTGGTCCAGTGGGCGAAGATTTTCCCACAACTGTAATGACAATATGTCTTTAAGTACAATATATTGATTGTCTTCCAGTTAATTAGGACATCTAGTTTACTTAAACTGTCTACCTGTTCAAAGAATTGTTCTCCAGGAGCAACAGGCACCACCATCGCCGCCAAACAGGCATGTCATGCTGAAATTGTTGTTTGTATTTCATTTTAGTGCACAATACAAAATACAATCTTGAGGATGACACTGCGTGTTGAAAAGTACTTACAACTGAGTAGTCAAACTGTGACTCCATAACGATGTACATGGCAGACTTTAAAAAAAAAATTATGAGACAACATGTGAGATAACTTTAAAAAAGTCCATGTTGGAAAGTTATTCTAGATACAATATTTGTGCATTACAGCTCGTTATGACCTACCATCAACATGAATATGCCACAGTCTGAGCCGAAGTCCTGGCTGGGGAAGCCCTGATTTAACAAAAGCAAACGTTAATCATCTTGTCACATACACTTTGTAGGAGCCAGATTGGGGTTTTGCAGTTTATTGTTATGTATTTTTTGTGCCAGCAGATGGTGCTATTGTGCCTGTCTATTTAATGGGTGGGTTGATTAGGAGAGGTGCGCACATAAAATGATGAATGAGTAAATAAATCAAAACAACAGAAAATGTGTGTGACATGTGACATTATTCCACCTGCGGGCACGCATCAACTCAAGCAAAAAGGTGTTCGCCACAAGTAACAGCATTGGAAAGCTGTTATACACTTTTCAACTGTAATATAGAGCATGCACAAATACCTCCAAATCTCTGCCCGTTTTCTCAGTCCATTGCCCAGGACATATCTTCTGCGCAATGTTCCTGTTAATTTGAGAGCGTCACTTAGATTTCCCATGATGGAAACAATGGAATGCAGGATTAGGGTTAGTTTGAGTGGTCGGATGTGAGATTGAATGAATGCGGACGGCTTGCTTCTTTTCAAACTTCCTGAGAGTTCTTCTTCTTCTGTAAATTTTGCCGTCAGAAAGTGTAGGTACATACCGCCACCTACTGTTCTGGCATCGCAAAGCAGAAGTTCAAAGTTCATGTTTTGGGTCCGCCAATCGGAGGTAATGCGGAAACTTATTGCGTTTTGTAAATGTGGTTTTCTATCTTTGGGTCCGCCATCTTGGCGCTGCATCTGGGTACTCTTGAAATGATACGAAAGAAAAAAAAAAAAAACAGCGTTGACCCGGAAGTAGTATCTGCGCAGTGCGGCACGTGTTTCTCCCGCAGCAGCATGGACCTCAGTGGTGGTTCTTCTGTGAGATGTCTGTAGAGATGGTGGAGCTCTCAGTGAAAGCAGCGGAGCCGGTCCGGCCGACGGGGGTCCTCCAACAGAACCGGGTCTTCCTCGATTTCTTCTGGGACTTGGCCAAACCGGATCAGGAGGTCCGACTGAAGGCGATAGAAGGTCTGATCCAGTACCTGAAAACCAACGACAAGGTGAGCGGACCACTGACGCATGTAGAGTAACACTTCAACCAACAGTGATTTCATCTGTACTAGTAGCTTCTTCTTCATGTTGAAGTAGAAATAGTGACATTTTTATCTTAAAATATTACAAACCATTTATTTAGTCTGTTGTCAACGTATCTCTCTGTATAGACTCGTCATATAATAGAAAATGGTGCAAAGACAAAACATCAAATGATAAAAAGTATAAATTTATTTGTTAAGAGATATGTTTACCTGCAGGAACTTTTCTACATTCCTGCTCGGTGGCTCTGGATGTTGACTGGTCAAATTTTCTTATGAGCTTTATTCATCATCTGCAACATACTGAAATCTACTAACTCACTGAATTTCAACAACTGCAATTTAACAAATAATGGGTTTGAAGGATCTCTGTATTGACTTCTACTAATAATTCCTATCGCTCTTTTTTGTAAATTGAAAATTGGCTGGATGGAAGTTTTGCATGCACTTCAACACAGTAGGTCAGATATGGAACAATAATTGAAATTATACAAGAGGTACAAAGCTTGATTATCTAAGTCGTCCTTTACTTTGTTTAACATAGCAATTGTTTTCTTTGTATTCTCATTTAGGTTTACTAAAGTACCTTTAACTCTTAATCCTTATATTGAAAGTCTACCACACATCCATATGTTGATAAATTAAAAGTTATTTCCTTTATGAAGTCTTCTGCAAATCCTAATACATGTCAAACATCCACACAGTGTATTTTAAGTTTTAACAACATGAATTTTTCCTCTGTTGTGCTCGCTACTGCAGGCAGATGAGCTGGAATACACATTTAAAAGGCTCGTGGATGGACTTGCACACACGCGAGAGACTGCAAGACCTGGATTCAGCCTGGCTCTGGGACAGGTGAGAGCGCTATAATTCTTTAAAGAGAATATGTGTTAAAGGTGGGGTCGGCAGGATCTGAGGAAGTGGTAATGGAACTTGTGTACTTGAGGAGAGGCTTTGCAGTGTTAAATCAAGGGTATTATTTGTGTGAAAAACTCATGACTAAAGTGCAGAAACAGATGTGAAATTCATGAGCATAATTCCCAAACTTAGCTACAGATTTCTTTTATCTGGGTGAAATATGTTTGTTTTGCATGAAATTATAATTTGTAATTGTATATATCTTTTTAGGTGTTGAGTGCCTTTGAAGACGTCTCTTTGCTGAGCATACTCAAAAGAATCAAAGAAAAGCACAACCTGCAGGCTGTGAAGAAGGTGTGTGTTTGACATTGTCTCTGCGAGCGCCACCAAACTCTTTTTGAACGGGTACTGAAAGTTCCTCTCTTGCTTTTCAGAAACTCTTCAGAAATGCTTTGTTTGGAAACATGTTTGGGGTTCTGGCCCTGCAACAGTCCAGCCGCCTCTCTAAAGTAAGCAGATAACAGCTCATTTCTTCATCTTTGAATAAGAGCCCGCTGAGGTCTGAGTGATTAGCTGTGAGCACTACCGTGGTCTCATGGTTGTGTGTTTTCTTGCAGGAGCCACAGGTGGTTTTGGGATGTGTGCAGCTCCTCCAGAGTCTCACCCAGCATAGACAACACCTAAGAGACCTGCCTACAAAGACCATGATGGACATCCTCAATGAGGTAACAACTGCTGCACCATTACACTTCCAATTAGTCTAATACAAAGACAGAATTTAGACACATGAGCTGTAACTTTGGCCTTTTGGCTCAAACTGATGTGTGTGTTCACACTCTGTCAGATCCCAGAGGAGGTGTTTGAGGAGGTTCTGTTTAGCGCCCTGCAAACTGACCTGGCATCAGCGTTCAGGACACCAGAGCAGCTGCAGTTACTGTTGGTGGCACTCCAGCGCTTCCCGCAAACACTCAAACCGAAGAAACTCAAGAAGCTGCTGGGCTCCTCGACGATTATCAACGCTGACAACATCCCAAAGTGCGAAGACTAAAATTGAGTTTTTTCTGTTTTTTCCTTTTCATTCGTCACATCTTCTCTCCTAATTATGTTGAGTAACTCTTTGACAGATTTGCACTTTTTTTAAATGTTATCTTCTTACTAGCTGTGTATCTGTCAACTTCACATCCTTGAGCTATGCGAAGCGTACACACGAGTCCCGCGTGCTTCATCTTATAATTAACAGCTTCGGTGTGAAAAATCAAACCTGTGTTTTATGATGCTCTCTGGCAGGTTGACAGAGGTGTTGAAGATGGCGGCACGCTCAGTGAAGAAGGAGTGTGTGCTCCCAGCTGTGGTCCTGGATCTCCTGAAGCTCTCTTTAAAAGAAGACAGCTTCCAGCTCTTCTGGACTCACGCCATAAACAATGGAATGTTAAAGGATTCACCGGGACCATCACAGTGAGTGAACAAAGGGCTAAGATACACTGATCCCAACATCTCTGAAATGTAGGACCCAGTTCAAAAGGTTTGATACCAATAAGAGGGATCTGAATTTGGTAATACACTTGTTGGTTTAGTGTTTTTTTGTTTTTAAAGAAAGAGAAGAAGAAGAACAGAGTAGATATACCTGATCTAGATACCAATATCTAAAAATAACCAAACCCTTGGGCACTGCTGTGGTTCAGTAGTTGACTTGGACACCCCAAGAGCAGACCTGGATTTGGGGCTACTCTATCTACTGTCCCATTTTAATATCAAAGGCATGGAAAATTTTAGAAGATCCTTAAAAATATGGAATTCTACAATAAAATGACCAAATCTGAATAAGCAAACTTGTTCAGGGGTCAATGTATGTCTTAGTTTGTCCACAAGGGGCGCTAAAATCCACACCTTGAAACATCCCAACTGTAACTCTCATTCAGTCTTTTTATATTTTATTCTGACAGTAATTTTTTGTCTAAGGATAAGTTTTGGAGTTTTTGCCTTTATTTGATAGCTTAAGTAAAACAGAAGATGGGGAGAGAGGAGGGGGTCTGTGATTTACACTTAAACTTGTCAGGGCTTTGAATTAATCCCAAGACCTGTAACCTCTGTTAATGGGGCACCTGCTCGACCATCTGAGCTAAACCAGTACTCCAGCAGCTGTTCGCTTCATTTTTTTGTGAGGATAAAATCTTTTTTTTCCACAATCTTCAGTGAGCTTGTGTCAATTGTGTGTCTCAGAGCAGTTTCTACTTACCTTCCCTTCACATTTTAAAGCAGTGACCTATGAACGAAAATCTCATTCTGCTGACTTTTGACAGTCAAACGTGTCATTATTGCGAATATTTCACATTGAAGTTAAATTAACAGAGCGCTTTCTTTGGCATTGACACCTACCCTCTTGCAACAATTTGAGACATTAAATGTTATATGATAAAAAAAAATTCAATTGTGCTGCACCTTGGATAGTTTTATTCTGATCTAATTACTTGAACAACTGCTGCACCAGCTTTGTATGACATTTAACAAGGCTTAGTTTGAAGTAAGCTTAACATACAAAGGAGTTTACACAGAGCAGTAGCTGTAAATCATTGTTTATCAACTCATGCAATAATGGAACAAGAAGATAAAGTGGAGACAGACTTGAGTGTTTTTTACCTGTACATTCAGTTTCAGCAGTATGGTTGGATTTAAAAAGTGATGCATGTGATGATGATAATACAGCCTGTTAACACAGTCTCTTCCTCTTTCGGCTGTTTGTGTCCAGTTACCTGGGCTTCCGTCTGCTGGGTGCTGCTCTGCCTTTCCTGTCTCTTGATCAGCTGAAGGAGGTTTTATCTGGAGATGTGATGAAGCTCTACGGAGAGCATGTTGTGTCTGCTCAAGTAAGTGTTCTCGATAGAGTCAGGCACGTTTTCTTTTTTTTTTTTTTTTGCATCTTCAGTTAAGTTAATTTGGTAATCACTCTAAAACAAGACTGCACACTTAATGCAAAACCCTTAATTAGCTTCAGAATTTTGGGGCTCTCATCCTGTAGCACTTATTCAGTCAGTACAGTAAAAATCTTGCCTCAGTTATTCTTCTGTTTGCAGGTGCCATGAATAAAACAACAAAACCCAGTTCGATATTTCACATTCTGAGTCTAAGTAGTTCAGAAATGCTCTGCAGCTGTTTCCTAGGTAGTTAAGAGCCGAACTTCAGCGAGGGTCAAGTGGTTATAATATCCTGCAGAATCACAACCTGGCCTTACCTTTGAGTTCATTCGTTTTTCCCTAGATTAGTACAGGGTTATTGACTAATTGAAAGCTCTATGTGGAGTTTTAACTGCTACCTCTTGTGACATTTGAGTAGTATTTGTCTAAGAGGTCAGTGTTGTTTCATTCACTCCTGTAGATCATGAAAATCATTCGTGTGATCTTAAGCCAACAGCTCTGCATGTTGACTTGTAAATAATATGTGCGTCTTTTATGATATTCCCTCGACAGAAACCGGACCGTTTTAAACTGGCCCCGGAGATGGAGGTCTACGTGTCCGACTTCCTTCAGGGCTGTCAGGATTCTGACAAACAGCTGGTCGTGATGGTGGGCTTCTCCTCGCTGGTCAATCAGGGTTACCCCGTGGTGCCGTCAGTGTGGAGGGTGGTGCAGCACCTTCAACCTGCAGCTCTGCAGAGCTACGTGGACTGGCTGAAGAAGATGTTTCTGCAGCCGCAGCTGGACAAACTGCTGGCCTGCAGCACCCGCAAGCAGAGGGACAACCAGGAAGGACAGGAACAGTGAGTGGTTACATGTTGTGTATGTTTACTGGCTTGTTTGAGATTTTCTCAACTTTTGAGCCTGATGACGCTGATTTTAAAACTAGAAAACCACAGCTATGTTTTTCTTTTTCTTTTCTTGTAGGAAAGAGAACTCAATTTTCCGCCTGAGGAAGTGGATCGTTGCTCGCCTCGTTGCAATCATAGACAACCACCAAGTGAAGAAACAGGAGGATCTTATCATGGATGTGGCCAGGTAAGAAAATGACAGTATTTGAAGACTTTTAAAGGTCTCTACGTTTGTTGAAGAGAGAGACATCCACTGATGTCGTTGCTTTTCCAGGTTCGTCTTCTTCCATTCGTTCTTCAGTGCAAAGAAAGCCACAGCAGAGATCCCCGAGACTGAAGGGAAACTTTCCGTCCCTCTGGATGATAAAACCAGAGCGGTGCTTGTTAATTCCTTCTTTGGGTGAGTGATGAAACTTCTCTGCTGTTCCTGAACTTAAACTTCTGAAATATCACATTACGGATAGTCCAGATTAGTGTTGCACCTATAGATTATTTTCCTACCGATTAATCTAACAATTATTTTTTCTATTAGTTGACTAACTTATCGATTATTCTAACAATTATTTTTCATTAACTGATTAATATTACAATGAATGTAACCAAAATAGCAAGTAAAAACGTGTCCTATTAGTATTTAATTCAATGATTTTGTCAAGAATTTCTTGAAATCAAACAAAACAAAACATTTGGGTTATAAAATCCGGGAGATTTTTGTGGCGCACGCCGGGCAGTTTTGGCGTTACCTGGATATGAGCTAATCATGAGAGTATTTGTAATTAAATTGCTCATCCAAATAAGTATAAGTGAATCTGCACACTTTTTTGTTTTGTTTTAACAATAACAAATGGTCATAAAAAAAATAATAGCTCTTGGAAATGTGAACGAGGAAGCCAGGAAGAACACATTCATTGATTAAGAGGAGCTGCTCATAGATCACGCTAAAGTAGGTTTTAAATCGACCTCATTAGGTGGAGCTCGTTTGCCGTCCATGCCTCCACCGTTACCTGAAGTAGCTATTGTCTACGTCATCATGCAACGTGTCGATGCTTGTTTTTTGCGTCGACAAATTTTTGTAGTCGATTACGTCGACGAATCGCCCCAGCCCTAGCCTAGATGTATTTGTCTTTACATTATTCCACAAACTTATTTTAGTCCTTTGAGCTCTACATGACTGGTCAAAATCATAGTTATAATTTTTCAGTTTAAGTTGAGATCACAGTTTTCAAACACTCATAATTTGACATCTACACCACACGTGTTTATGCAACTGAAAAACCGTCCACTGCCTAAACTCCCTGACTGTCTGTCTCCAGCTGTTCCATATTATAAAGGCAAAGTTCCTTCAAAATAAATAAAAAAGTAACATGAACCGGTGCCTTTGTTTGCTGTGCAGCTGGGCTGACAGCTTCCCTACCTGACAGAGAATGCTGTTAATTACTGTGCACCAGTTTTTTTCAAACTAAGCGAACACTTAAGATGTGAAAAGCTGCCAGAAACTAATCTGAATTTGATTTGGTGACTGGGCTTTTAGTCAGGAAATGGTACCCTTCAAGTCGTCAGGAAAACAGCACCAGAAAATTACAGATGTTTCACTGAAGTGAGTCATCAGGCCTCTCTGAGAAAAACAAGCCTGAAAAAATCAACACCTGAAGAGCCTGAGTGGGAGGCTCTTATTGTCCAAACAGCTGCACGTGTGTTTTTGTTCTCTAACTTTATGTCTCCTAAACTCTCCAGACTTCTTCTGTCCATGCATCACCTCCCTTTGAGCGAGGACCCGGCAGAAGGTGCAGCAGTTAACCAGAAGCGGGTACTAGGTGTAACAGCAGACGGCACCATGTGGATCTACCACCTGGTCCAGTACGCTCAAGTCCTGCTAAGCCAACAGAAACACGTCCAGAGTAGCAAACCGTTCACCTCCGAGCAAAGACAAGCCTGGGACAGGTAAGACGACAGGATTATGGTCGGTTTAATACTGAACCGGGGAAAGTCATGATCTCATTTAAGTGTTTTTATAACAGGTTTGTTTAATCACAAGTGAGACAAATACGATGCCGAGTTAAGATGTGACAGCTGTTAATGTTTGTACACTTTCACACTCTACTGCTACACCCAGTATCTTTTTAATTGGTACAACAGAAGGAGGTGTGAACGTGTTAGGTGGCTGATTCTACATCTGTGATTTTTCCAGCATGCTCGAGTCGGTGTCAAAACTGAGGAAGAAAGCGAAGAAAGGCCTGACTGCTGAGAGCAGTGCTTTCCAGCAGCTTTTCCTGTTGGTGGGCATGCATCTCTTCAAGGTAAAATACCACCAAACCATGATCTGGAGGAGTTGTTGTCCTGGTCGTTCCAAAGTCGAGGTTCAAAACTAAAGGTGATGTATCTTTCTCCATCAGAGCTCCTCGACTTTGGAACGACCTGCCAGAGGAGATAAGGCGTACAGAGACAGGCGTTTCTTTTCAGTCAAATTTAAAAACTCACTTTTACAGACTTGCTTTTAGGTGATGCCGTCTTTTCTCTTCTTTCTTTTCTCTCTTTTACCTCCATCTTATTTCGACTTACTGTCTTTTTAGCCTTTGTTTTACTTATAATCTTTTCTTATTTAACCTTTTAGGCGTTTAATTGATTTTATTGTTTTTTTCTTGTTCATTTTTGTCATTCTGTTTTATTGTTATGATTTTATTATCATTATTAATATGTCTATTTATAGTTACTATCCTGTTTCCTGCTTTCTACCCCCCTTTTTTTATCACATTTCTTTTTCTTACCTATTTTATGTTTTTATTTTGGTTCTCACGGTCTCATTTTATATTGCAGAGTTCTTGTATTGTCTGGGTTCCTTATGACAAATGAAATTAGCCTTGAATTTGGAGGCCTTGTTTTAACTGAGCTTTTGTTTTTATTTGTTTTTATTTCCATGTGCTGATGTTCTGTGCTTTATGACTGTTTGTCGAAGCGCTTTGTAAACTTCTGTTTTTAAAATTGCTATAAAATATAGTTGTTATTATTGTTGAACTCCTGTCAGCCAAAAATGCAAATCCAAATAGTAGCAAGAGCAGGAATCTGTTATTCACTTGAGTATTTTTCCCCTGAAGGCCCCCGAAGAGCTGCTGGACATCATGAAGGACCTGCAGAGCTGCATGGACAAAGCTGAGGAGAAGAAGGCCAAGAAGAAAAAGAAGAAAAAAAGTGAGACCTCTTTCACCCTCCTAAATCTTAGTTTCTCTCCAATCAGACCCCGAAACCTTAAAGAGCTACAGACACAGAATTAAAAATGGAGACTTAGATAATTGTGTTTTCCACAGAACGACTGAGTCAGTAATCAGCTCAAGGTTGTGCTTCCAGCTTGTTTTCCTGGTCCAAAGTGATAAAAACAAAACAACAAATGCCGCTTCAAAGTTTGTGAATATTTGTGTCTTGATATAGTTACAGAGCAGCAGCAGGAGGAGGAGGAGCTGGAGTGGGTGGAGGTCATGGTGGACATCTTGTTGTCCCTGCTGTCCCAGCAGAGCCGACTCATCCGACAGGTCTGCAAGACGGTCTTCTCCTCCATCTGCCCCCATGTGACGGCTGCAGCTCTCACTGCTATCTTAGATGTAAGTTACCCATACGAGGTCGTTTACGGTCAAACTGTAGAGAACAGTCATCTTAGCCACCATTTGTCACTTCTGACAAATGAGGGTGTTGGTTTCCGCCGAATAGAGCCTTATCTTGGTCCTCCGGCGATTCCTTCATTTGTATTCAACACCAAAAACAGGTCCTGGAGATTCACTCGTTTCCTCAGACGATATAAAAATACAGACAATTGTTTTTTCAAAGCTGTTCAAGAGCAAAGAGAGAGATGTCAGAAAATGGTGACTCCACTCCATTCCTGTTTGACTGCATCTCTATTATCAATGCGATGTAATGGTGCACAGTCACGCCTGCACACTGGTGGTATTTGTGGCTGTTGTCCTGAAAACATAAAAACCTCTCACTGTGAGGGTTTGGTGTCTTGAACATGATTTGTTGTATGTGGATTAAATAAGAATCATCAATTGCATTGAGGTTCCTATGGTGAGCAGAGAAAGATGTAAGACTAGGAGTGTAATGGTGCAAAATTATGTGGAGTGGCAAATTGAAATGAATTATTCAGAGTCGTCTTCACTTGTGTAGCTCGACTCTCTCCTCTGCTGTCCGCTTGTTGGAGCTTCGCAGGGCTGGCTTGATACACACACATAAACATATGTCTAAAAATGGCACTGCTTACTACCACGGATGTTGACCTCCCGAGCTAAAACCATTTTTTTTGGATCACGTCTTTACTGATTAAAGGCTCACCGTTGTTGTTGTTTCCCACTGAACCCACAAGAAAAAGTCACTGTACTAAAACCAACGTTTCAGCCGCCCACACGAGGAGCCACACATGCTCCTGTTTTCTGTTCAAAGAGGGGACCTGCCATCCAAACTGAACCAAAGTTTTCACACATCTACAGTAGGGGTGGAAGAAAAAATTGTTTCAGCACAGTATCACGGTATTTTGTCTGGTGATATATCGTCTCATCCACTAAGTATCGATTTTTTTCAAACTAATTGCTAATATGAAGTCAAATCTATGATTATGCGGAAAAAGTTAGTCCAGCAAACATGGCAGCACCTGGGGAGGGACATCAGGAATACAAGCAGGGCACAAATGAGATGGACACGACACACAAGGTTTACAAGAAGTGCTACATGACAATAAAATTCTGTGTAAATAAGACAAACATAACAGAAAGACAAATGCTAAATCAGCCGAGCAGTTAAAACCACTGTATAAATCACAATATATGGTACTGCAGTATTCACTGTATCCCTAATTCATGACTGTTTGCGTTTTTGTTTTTATTTGTGTTATTTTTACGAGCAATCTGTCTTTTTACCCGGAGCTTACAGTGAATAATCTAGAAGTATGTGTTTCTCAGTTTTGCATCAGTAAATGTAAAGATTCATTCTCTGGTCTGCAACACAGAAAAGCAGCTTATAGTGATGTATCATCGACCTGTGCCAATTCATCGACAGAGATTTGACACCTCGTGTTTGCTAACTGCAGTGTTACCACACAGCCAGCTTTAGCAGATAAGAGTCTTTAATGGTGTTCAAAGTCACTGAGGTCGTGTACGACGCACTGTGAAAGCTTTGTAAGTGATTGTTCCTCATTTTTGGCTCGATGTAGGTCCTGGACCCAGAACAAGATGAAGAGGACAGTGCTGTGGTTGTTACAGATGACTACAAATCCCAGAAGATGGAAACAGATGATGATGAAGAGGAAGAGGAGAATGAGGAGGATAAAGATGAGGAGATGGAGGTCAGACATACTCTTTTACTTCTTGACACTTTTTCAGCATCTGCGTTTAAAATCTGCATCTCAGAGTTTTATGAATAAGATGGAGGAGGAGTGTAAGGAAATCCTAAACTATTTTATTTGTCAGGAGGAAGAGTCCGATGGATCAGATGATGAGGATGATGGAGATGATGATGATGATGATGAAGAAGAAATGGAGGATGAGGAGATGGAGGAGGGAGAGGTGGACCAAAACTTCCGTTTGGAGCTGATGAAAGTCCTGCAGAAGCAGAACGCTCTGGTGAGATTTTGAGCCTTCAGGTTGTCACAGCTCTAAACCGAGACGATTAGTATATTAAATTAAAATGTAATTAAAACATTGTGGTGTCATTGCACGAGAGAAATCTAACATTAAACTGTTTTCAGGCCACTGAGGAGGATGCCAGCAGTGATGAAGACTTGGATGATGACGCCATGATGAAGCTGGATGAAGGTCTGGCAGCTCTGTTCTCAGAGCAGAAGAAAAAGAGCCAGGCCAAGAAGGATGAGAAAGCAAAACTACAGAAAGAGAAGACGCTGGTCCGAGAGTTTAAGATCAAGGTATTTGAACTTGAGCCTGAGTTTAGTTTAACACCATGGAAAGACGTCTGGTCTAGTTTTATCCTAAAAACTATAAACTCTCTCCCCGTGTTGTAGGTGTTGGACCTGGTGGAGGTGTTCGTGGCTCGGCAGGCTGGCAGTCCTCTCGTTCTCGGTTTGGTGGAGCCTCTCCTCAGAATCATCGACAGAGGGATGAACTCAGACAGCGACCAGCAGGAGCAGGACTTCCTCCGCAGAGCTGCAGACATCTTCAGGTATCACATGTTGGATGTGGGCGGAACATCTGTGTTTGTCTCCAGCTCTGGTGTTATTTCTTTCTGTTGCGACTTTATTTGCATAATAACAATAACAATAATGATAATAATAACAATAATAATAATAATAATAATAATAATAATAATAATAATAATAATAATAATAATAATAATAATAATAATAATAATAATAATAATGATGATGATGATGATGATGATGATAATAATAATAATAATAATAATAACAATAATAATAATAATAATAATAATAAATTATTATTGTGTTTGTAAGCCTTGTTTCAGTTTTTCCAATAATAATAATAATAATAATAATAATAGTTGTTGTTATTATTGTTTGTAAGCCTTGTTTCAGTTTTTCCACCAGAGATCACCTTCCAAGTGTGATCTCTGGCTTTTTGTGTAACCTCACTCTGATCATCTGTTTTTTTATAGAGTATACTTTGGAAAACTTTCATTTTTGGCTTATTGTGTTGTAATAATCACACCAAACTTTGCTGCAAAACAGTTTTGACCTCCAGAGATATTTGTAGTTTGCTGCCAACTGGCTGTTGGCTGACATTTACATTCAGTCGAAAAAAAATCCAGTTTGAATCCTAAATGACTGGAACAATCTGTGCACATTTTTCTCTGAGAGCTGCACAAAACAGGCTCAGGATGTTGAGGTTAAATGTTGTTGCTGTGTTAGGATGGGTTCAACCATGTGGAGCCATGGGAGCTTTGTGGAGGTTAGAAGATGCAAAAATGAACTTTTTCTTTCTGCAAGCAAGTATTAATCTGTTTTAACCGCATTGATTACCAGGAACCAGCTGTGCAGGTCGAAGGTTTACTGCAGGACTGTTGGTGACAGACAGGGGGAGCTCCACGACCTGCTGGACAAACTCATGACTAAAGCCCAGAAACTGCCCGACTCCTCAGTCTGCCTTTACTACTTCAGGTACAGCTGAAAGATCATGACATGAACACACACCTCACTATGTTTCATGAGTTTTGTCACGGGTGTTTTTTTATGTCTGGTTGATGGTGAACTGTCCTTGCAGTGCGTCTCTGTACGTGGTCAAAGTGCTGCGAGGAGCTCCGCCTGCTGAGGGGAAAGAGGACAAAGCTGCAGCAAATGACGTATGTCCACACACCTGATTCGTTCCTATCCCTGTAATCATTTGCCTCAGGACTTCAGGAAATCAGTCACACTCTTCCTGTCGAAGGTCTCAGTATTGGTCGACACATTGTTGGCGTTTAGCTGCAAGCACTGTTGGCGTTTATTACTGCTGTCTCTAAAAGTACAGCCTTAAGTATTTGGCAGCATTAAGCTTAACTAGTGTATAATCACCAAATAATTAAAGTCAGCATTTTTAATGGGCGCTAATATCGTACATCCTTGTGTTACTACAGGAGCTCAGGATGGAAAAACTGAAAGATCTACTCCAATGAAACTCGTGTTTTTCTTGTTTTTTATATATTCATATGATATTTTTCTGATGCTACAGGGCGTATCATGAGAAAACTAAATGCAAAATTGCTTTTCTAAGTATTTCTTGATTCAAATGGCTGTAAATCTCTTGCAGACCCAAACAGCAGGTTCAGAAACAGTGAGATTTCATATGTAACCAATCCAAGCTCCGCCCCCCAGAGCCCCGCTATGCGGGCCACACTCTGCATATAGAGGAGAAATATATAGGATGATCATAGAACAAGTGTGTGCGTTAGCGGATTGCAATGCTCGTAAGAAAGCTAATTATGACATCAAATTTCATCGTGTCCCTGAAGACATTAGTCACTTCTACGACACCGGCAATATTAGGCTGCAAACTAACGTGAAGTTGAGCGTGTAGAGCAGCGCTGTCTCCTCCCACGACTCAGAGGCGAATTGCTAATGATCTACTGGAGCTCTGCTGAAGAAAAGCCCTTGATAATGACACACAAGTAACGCGATTTTTGGTAAAATCACAATTTAAAGACCACTGAAAACACTTAAAGTAGGTAAAAAAACGATCAGAGTGGGACTTTAATGCCGTACATCATACACGTTTCTGTATTTGGTGAGCGGCGATCAAGATTGAATTGTCTGGAAGATGCAGAAGAGAGAGTTTGAAACTTGAATTGAGAGACACTTTTGTTAATAGAAACTTGACAAGTGATGGATCATATTTCTGCATCACAAAAGCGTTCTTTTTGCCTCACTAAGCCTTTTGCTCTAAAATTGGATGACTAGATGTCGCTCAATATTCCCATTTCCACACACTGCATTAAGCTTATACAAGACAAATCGAGGTCTGCTCCTGTATTTTAGTGAGTCAGTCCTGAACAATTTGCCCCCTTGGCTTCAAAGTGTCTTTATTAGTCAGATCTCTTTTTTTTATGACAGTTCATCTCAACTTTAAAAGTTTCTTTCAAACTAATGAGTTAGTTATCAGTGGTTGGCACTTATTTCAGTGGCTGATGACTAATCGGTGAATTGTTGCAGCCCTTGTTTTAATCAGTCTGAGGTTCCTGCCTCCATCCTTCAGAACAAAAATAAATCCATTTCTAAAACTCAACAGCAACATGCTGCTTGTAATTGGCGTAATAGGCGATGGCTGTGTCCCTGTGAGACTTGACAGTGTGACAACGGACCAGCGTGATTAACACTGAGACTCTGAAGTAAAAGCAGATAATTGGATTCAGGCACGCTTGAGTTCAGTATCTTCACTGTTGTATCTCTTCATGGTGTGATTGTGTTTGTGTAGTTGAGGTTTACAGGTAACATGGATGTGGATCGGGTCTCCGCTGTCTTCAGAGAGGCTCTCAGCTCCTTCATGGGCAAGAGGAAGAGTCCTCTGACAGCTCAGATGTTCACAGACCTGTTCAGCAGATTCCCTGTGAGTACACTCAGTCACACACATCTTCAGATTTATAAAGAAGCAACATCTCAGCTCTCAGTAACTGAAGCAAGTTGTGATTTTTTTCAAGGTCTTGTGTGTGAACCTGTTGGATACAGCAGTGCAGCACATCACTACTGGAGTCAGAGTGCACCAACAGGTAAAGATTCTCGATATTTTCAACCACAGGAACAGTTTGGATTAAAAAATAATGAAGAAATAAACTCAAGATAATCGTATTTTTCGCACTATAAGGCGCACTTAAAATCCTTTTGGCTTGTCGGCGCACTGGAGCTACCAAAGACTCGCAGAGATATTGAATGAGTTAAAGTTTGACTTATCTGACTGTTTTGTTTGGCTTAATGTGCTTTATAATCCCGTTCGCCTTATGCATGAAAATAGACGCGTTTATTGATGGTGCGTCTTATAATCAGGTGTGCCTTATAGTGTGAAAAATACGGTAAGTCTGAATTCAAACATGAATAAATTGACATCCTGCCAATTCATGACCTGCTGTTTCTACTGTTTTATATGTGCGTTAGTCTTCCAGCTGATGGATGTGCACGTTTGTGTGTTTTAGGGTCAAGCATGTGTGCTGGTGCTGCGGGCGATGCAGAGCAGAGAGGTTCAGCAGCTGCTGAACGGCGACCCGTGGACAGAGCTGTGCGTAAAGGTCGCAGGTCAACTCGCAGCAGTAAGTCAATACAAAAGTCCACCACAGCGTTTAAGTGCAGCTCCACCTCAGAGATAGGTTTACAGCATTCACTTCTGAGGCAGTATTTTCCAGGTTAAACTCAACAGTTTCAACAAACAAGCTGGTATGAAGTAACGCTATGACATCAAGAAATTAAACTTGATTAAGAATAATTGATAAACTTTCTCTGTGTCCAGATATTGAAAAAATAGCTTCTTGCTGACATTTTTTATGCTAAACAATGTCTCTGAGCTCTTTTTTCATCCCTTTTAAAGGTTGGTTTGATTAATAGATAGAATTTAATTTTACTAAAAGTTCCTTACAGGAGCTTTAAAATCCTCAAACACAGACCAGTATTCAATCATTGGCCGGGTCCTTTATTACAATCACACTCTTTAGGAGTGATAAAAGGCTGGCTTTCATGTTTCCACCACGGGGAATAACTAACAGTGATCACACACCAGCCACATGTTTGGTGAAGTTACAAGGGTATTAAATTTGTACTAAACTTTATCACATCCCATCTCCAGTTTGCTTCAGTTTTCTGTTTTAATGGTGACATTGATTACCAGTATCTGTCAGCACCTCCATGCTCAGCTGCTCAGAGCTGCGGCCCATAGACTGTTATCCTGACCGCAGTATATTCTCTCGACATATATGACTAGCTGCATGGAGAGGGAAAGTCTTCACATTTTATTGTAGAGTCGATGTATAACAGATGTGACAAATTTCCCAGTTTGTTATCAGCTTACTGTCGGGAGCTTGTTTGAAATAATAAATAAATAATTACTCCTTCATGCACGTTGGCACAGCCTGTATGCGCAGAGGGTTGAAACACAGACAGCCCCAGATTGATTCAACTCCTGGTTATTATAGAAAAAGTCACGTCTGTGTAATATCAATAGCTGTTGTGAACATATATAATATTTCTAGGTCATCCAGTGGGGGAATTGTCGCAATCACTGAAGAGCCGGAGCGTGACAAAGCTCATAAATACCACAGCAGAGTTGGAGAAAAATCTCTGTGACGTCTGCTCTGTTGTTTGGTGCTTTTTTTTGCAATGTCATTTATTTGCAAATAAATGCATGATGGTTCATTGAAATGAATGCAAGCACAAATAATATTAAATAACAATATTAAAAATACAAATAATTTATAGTCGCCTTTTAAAACAGCTGAGGACACCGTAAGAGACACAGATACAAACAAACAGTGAGAAAACGAGTTAGAAGATGTCACAGTTTTAGAAAGAGGAGATCAGAAGAGTGACAGCCAGGGTTCTGCTATACAGTACAGTACATTATAGCACTGTTTGTGGAGCAGTAAAGTCTTTGTACATGCTCTATGAATAAGAAAAATATCTTTTTGGACAGGTTTATTGGGCAAAAAAGCCTGGCCATCCTTTTGAAATATGAATAATTATATTTGTTGGAGAGTTTGATATAGAGGCCTGCCTCTTATACAAGCCTGTTTGATATTTGGACTTGGTACCTTGGGAATAAAGTTCCCAGTCTATGTTTGAGGATTTTTGGTAGTTATGACTTAAAAATGTCTTTATAGCTGCTTAAAACCTTAATCACCCACTATGATGCTTAGTCTGAAACATCCATAGTAAGGCAGTTGTTGTAGGGATAAATAAAGTCATTATCGCCTCTGCAGAGGATACATAAATGGCTCAGCATGAATGACAGTCTCATCTGGACGTCCTCTCTCAGAGTCTGCAGCAGGTCGAGCAGACTGACAGCAAAGTCGTGAAGGAGAAGGTGGTGAAAACTCTGGAGCTCTGTCAGTTCCTGGTCAAACACGTTCACCATCAGGTAGGAGGGGTGTTGAATATACAAATCAAATCATGAAAGAGGGACTGTAGCTGTGGTTTTATTCAGACTGAAAACTTTCTCCCTGCGTCCTGCACTTTGCAGAAACTGTCTGTGGACCTGGAGTCCCTGAAGAAGGTCCTGCAGTCTCTGACCAGTGTCATCACGTTCAATAAGACAGGAAAGCTGGAGGACACGTACTGGGCGGTGATGAAACACTTTGGAGTCATGTGAGTAAACCAAGTGCATGTCAGCATACCTCCTATTTACAGCATACTTGTTTGACATCTTTGCAGTTGACTACATGAGTATCTAGCTATGTATTTACCTTGCACAGTAGCTGTTGCCCCCGACAATCTGAAGCCTAATGCCACCAACTCGTGTGCTTTTTCTTTTGATAATACCTGTGGTGAGTTAGAAAACTTGTTCGCTTGTTTAACTGTGTAATAAATATACGCAAGGGGGCGTTAGTTGGTTACATGAAATAAGTCTACGCATTTTATAGTAGCCGTCCTCCCCACTTTTCGAAACAAACTGATGCTATTGATTGTGTTGCAAGCATCAAAATCAAACCTGGCTCAGTTTTTGTGCAGGACATTATCGACCATCAAAGCCTTTGTGCAAAATTAGAGTTGTCATTTAAATGATCTTGTGTGCATGGCTTTCCAATAATGGTCTGCCCTTAAACGTTTTAGTTATGCTTTCATTATTTATGTGTTGTTGTTGTTGTTGTTGTTGCTTTGGTTGTGTGTGAGTTTTGGTGCAGACAAAAGTTGATGGAGCAGAGGGGCATTTGGACAGAGTAGCCCCCGGCCAAGACATATAATCGAGTTCTCAATGATATGCAAATCTGCGAGGATTACTTCTGTGTGCATCATAGTTTTTCTAAAATGTCATGATTATGTCAATTATTTTTTATTTGTGAGCGGTCCAAAAATGTAATGGGGTTCATTTTGGCTCTGGCTAGTTCTCTTTACTAAGTTTTATGAAAATCAGGACAGTTATTTTTTCCATTAAACTGCTGACAAACAGACAAACTGCAAAAAGACAACCTCCTCTGCAGAGGTAATGAGAACATAAGCAAAGATTTGTCAGTTTAGAAGTGTCTGCATTTGACAAAGTGTTTAGTCATTCTGCAGAAATGTGTTTTTAAACCTTAACAATGCAAGTTTTAAATATGTGACACCTCATAAACTAAGAGATAGGCTCTTGCTATTTGTGCTGTTTTTATTGTTAGACATCACCAACACTGAGTGAAGGACACCTATCCAGATATTTGTTAATGAAGCAAACTGAAAATTCAGGGTTGTTGAACATTCATGAATTTTTTATGTGCTTATGTGATTCAGTATTCAGCGTGGTGAACTTGAGATGAAATGATAGTACCAATAAATAAACATTCGTCTCTACAAAATGCACAAGTGAGCTTTAAAAACGTGGTTCTGTTCCTGTCCAAAGAAAAAAAGTTAGTTTCACTGGAAAGTATTGTAGCAGCCCCTGGCATAATTGAGAATAGCGTGGGGTTCTTAATGATCCAAATCCTGTATTCTTCATCGAGCCCGGTGAAGCTAAACGCCAAATAAAGTCGTCAATAAGCCTTTCAGGTTGGCACAATGGGTTTCAAATTCATGAGTACAGAGAAAAGCACAAATTAATTCAGGTTCAAACACATTCCTCGTGACTCATTTTCTTAAAACACTCATTAACACAATATCTTTCACTCAAATAACAATATCCATCATCCCTAAATTAAACCATAATACATGGAAAACAATAGATTTGAAGTGTAAAAAAATGGACCTCGCTCCACTTACCACACACCTGCCTGGAGACCTGCACCAATCACAGTGCAAAACTCCAACGTTGACAGCAGCTGCTCACTGTGCACTGCACATATACACTAGCAACATACTCCAAGAAGTGTCTCAACCACTCCTGGTGTGTGTGAGCCAAGCGTATGGAGACTCTACTAGTTCTAGGACCCCAAAACAAGACACTGATGGCCACTTTCAAGCGTCAAATTCACTTGTTCCTGCAAACAGAAACTTGACTCAGTTGTTTTTTGTGCAAAACTTTTCCGATCTGTCTCACTTAAAATGTATGCATTCAAGAGGAACTTTCTGTTTCTGGGGAATTTGGCACCCCCCTGTGGTCAGGAAGTCTTTGCCAATTTTTTTCATCCTACACTCTTTCACAAGTCGAATCTATCACTTATGAAGACGCCCCAACAGTGGTCTCAGACCTTTAAAATAGCTATATAGTCGGGCTGGGATGATATGCTTTTCTCCAGTTTCGATTCTTCTATGATTTTTTGGATGCCGATTCGATTTAAATTGCGATTCTACGATATTGTCCATTTTCTCGATTTTTAGTCTGCAGTTGTAACACCAATGAAACAGTTGAATGATTATTATTGTCCACTGACTATTCCAGGAACCATTTTTCCCCAAAAATTAAACATCAAATGTAATGTCAGTTTTTAAGATTTATTCTTTCATTTGAAAAAAAAAAAAAAAGATTTTTGAACAAAAAAAAAAAAATAGATTTAAAAATTGTAAAAAAAAAAATTCCAATACTTATGTGAATCGATTTTTTCTCCCACCTCTACTAAATAGGAAAAATCACTATTCCTGTTAATGATCCGCATTGCTGTATTAGGTCATGAAGGGGTTTCAGTTTTCATATTAGTCTTTTATCACCTGCTAAAAGCTCGTCACCGGACCTCTAAAAGAAGTCAGTAATTTGTTGCTCCAGATTGATTTGTTGAATCGGTATTATCCCCGCCCACAAGACTGATGTATGACAAATGGTTATTGAAACCTCGTGTTGACCTCTTGTATTTCATTCCTTGTTCACTCTCACAGGAAACCCAAAGTTGAAAAGACGAAATCTGACAAAGATGCTGACCAACAGCAGCAGCAGCAGCAGCTGCCCAAGAAGAAGAAAGGATTCCTGCCCGAAACAAAGAAGCGTAAAAAGCGCAACAAGCCTGTTTTGGAGCCAGCAGCTGCAGCAGGAGCAGACAACTCCACCTCCTCAGACAAAAAAGGAGCAGACAAAGGACAAGCCAAAAAGAAACATGACAAGAAAACTAAACAGAAACGACCTGCTGACGGCGTGACTGCGTCTCAACCAAACCCAGCCAAGAAGAGCAAGACGCAGTCTGAGAGCACGCCGGCCAAGAAGAAGAAGAAGAAACCCAAACAGAAGAAAGAGGGAGGAAGCATGTGAGGTGGACTCTATTTAAGTGTTTTTCCTTTTAAAGAGGAGAGGAGGTGTTTTTCATCCGTTGATTTTCTATTTCTTAAAGTTTACAGTTCAGTCCTGATATCATGTTAAATATTTCAACTGAGATAGTTTGATATTTACCACTTCACAACTTTAAATGTGAGACAAGTGAATAGAAATGAATTATTTTTCAAATGTGACTGCTATTGATGAGAAAACTATAACCACAACAATAAATTCATTTCTCTTCCAGTAAATCCATCTCCGCAGAACAGCTTTTTAATGCATCATTAAATAGTGAAATAGAAAAAACTAGATGAGAGAGAGATTGCCATTTTTGTTCAGCTGAACTGCGAAAATGTAATTTGTCAAAGCCAAAATCTGACGTGCCGGGAACGGACATGCTTGTGCGTTACGACAATAGGACCTACAAACTTGAAAGTACAGATCCCAAAGGGCCTTGTGTGTGTGTGTGTGTGAATGGTTGGAAATGACACCTCATTACATAACATTCTTAGCAGAGTAAAATACCAGTGCCATTGTAAGCCTCTGTGCCGTAAACTAAGGTGAGCAATCATACAGAACTGTAATTCAGCTGTCAGAAAAATGATGCAGTGTTGCACAAATGGATTACTATACAGGACATGAGGCTGCGCTGCCATAAATCTACGAGAGCAGCAGGCAGGCTGCAGCCTCGTCCATCAATTATCTCGTCCTGAAACCCCTCTGTACCTTAAGTGGCGGCTTTTAGCAGGACAACAAACATGACTTGTTGTTTGGTCGCGTTCTCACATGACATAGTGTTGTGTTGTTGTTTAAGGGGTCCCGATGAACAGGTTAAAGTAGTGTACATAGATGTTTTTTTACTAGGTTGTCTCTTATTATCAGAGAATGATCGGTAACACTAAATATGAACCCACATTGATAATATACAAGTAAATTTATAAGGCCTTTTTAATGCATATGAGGCTTTATAACAATCCTTAGGACTGGTAATACGCATTCATAACAGCTTATAGTGATGTGTATGAAGTGACAACATGCTGACACGTGGCTTAAACTGCTTTAAACAGCACTGTATGAGTTCATCAATAATATGATCCTATAACACAACAACTTTAGAGCAGTATTTTGTGGCTGTTCAGTACACTGTCAGAAAAAAGACACATTTTTTATTTCTATAAATGTCTTCTTTTGCATTAAGGTATCATACATTATAACCCCTGCATTTATGGAGCACATTCTCACTGACTATAACACTTCATAAACATTGCTATAAGCTGTTATGAATGCTTATAGGGGCTGTTATAAAGCCTTACACATAGGTTTATAAGGCTTCATAAATGTATGTACGAAACAGTATGAGTGGTGGGTTCATATAAAGTGCTGCTGTATGTGAGTCAGTGAGCCTGGTTTGAATCATTATTTTAATCTTGAGCTATTCTTATGAATATTTATGCTATATATTTATGCACTGTAATAGTCACACACCTACTTAAATGTGAGAAGGATTACTCTGACTCGCAGTGATGAACCCACAGAGAATTATCACCCTGCCCCGCAGTTCCCCTTATCACTAAAGTGCATTTAAGCTTCTTTAAGCTTTTCCTTTTTTTTAGACCACAACTGAACTGTTTTAATTTAGTCTCTGCTCCCCTAAAACTCATTTCCAACAGCAGGAACAGCTGTTAAAGGAAAAAGCTTTAATAAATTCACTGTATAGACTTGGCACTAGACACAGCGACTTCCTTACGAACAATGGGGAGCTTTTAGCGGTCTGGATACTATAGCCTTTCACAGAGAGAGGCAATAATAAGTGAGTGTTGAATAAGACCACCAGTAAGTCCTGTACCAACATGTTGGGAAATATATGAGAGCATTGTACTTTCAACACTGATCCAAGATGGCCAAAATATTAGTATACACAAAATTCTGACCAGGACAGTGTCAGGATTCAGCTAACCTGCAGTATCAGACCCGTGTGATTTCTCCTCCACCATCAAATATAAGATTTCCCCAGTAATACAAAGTATTTAAAATGGATGATGAGTCTTGGAAGTTTGAGATTTAACTTGTACCTTGAAGCTTAAACATTTGCAAGTTAAATGAGGGTTTGGATTTGACAGCAAAGATCACAAACTTTTAATATCACTCTGAATATATTTTTAATTTTCATTTTAATCCACCCAGGAATTGCTGAGATATTTCATTCTAGATTTAAGTGGCGCTCTGAGGAACACAACGGTCGGTAACAAACACAGGCACGCAGACATTACTGTCCCCTGAGCTGCACTGTGGCTAGCTGAGATTTAATATAGTGGGCAGTAAAACAGTATTTGATTTCTGTAAGATTCATAAATTTAATCTACTCCTGTAGTCCCTTTAAGTGTCGCTGAACTCTAATCTCCAGGATTTCCACTGCATCCTTTTGTAGCATGAAATCTGTGTCACTAATAATTCTAGCTAAAAAGACTTATGCAAAAAGAAAGCAACTAAAAACTGTGTATATGTTAAGTATTGTGTCAAATTGCTTCAAGGATGCCTTCAAATTTGAATGCTTTCATGCTGGAGGAATCTCACAGGCTTCAAAAAAGGGACAATCTGTTATTCTTTCTTTACCTCATGAGTAGTGGCGGTGCATGCCTGAGTTCCTGGCACTGCACCCTCCCAGTCACAGCTTGAACCTGCAGTAATGAAGCATATAAACAGACACTGGTGGTGACAAATCGTCCGCCTCGAACCCTGACAGCAGAGGTGAGAATAGGAGCAGCGGTGTCCTTTCCACCTGACAGTAAACTGTCACTTCTCATCATGCAATGTTGAGATATCGAGTACAGAACCAATCTGCTAATGCAGCTCAGAGGGATAAAAAGAGAGAGCTGTAAAGTGGAGGGCGAACTCTCATTAGTATGAGAAAGATGTAATGGCCTGATGCATCTCTTCACCTTCTGTTTACTGATATTTTAATTCCTGGGGTTCGTGCTGTTAAAAGATTAGAAAAGGTATCATTTTAAAATGTAGTCTCCTCCCATGTTGATGTCTTCCAAGTCCAGCCCACTGAGTCTGGTGCCTCACAGCAGGCAGGTCGGCTGCTGGCAGGGTGTTGGTTTTATATCGAGTGCAACCGGAAACCCATTAATTAGTATACCCAGGGTGCTTGCCAGGTCTTGTAGAGACAACCTGAGTTGAGTTTTATCACTACCTGGAGTAAGACCAAATCTATACCTCAAACACAGCCGGATGCCTCTGTGAAACAGCTGCTATGCAATAATCTGCCTGATCCTTTGGTAATGACTTAGAGAACCTCACCCATTTTTGTACTTGTTCTACAGAAGTGATACTGAATATTTTATAACAAGTAGAACATTTCCAAAGCAGGGAAAAGTAACAGGAAACTGTGTTTAGAATAGAGACTGTAGTACCGAGAGAGTAACTTCATCTAGGATTACAAACTCTATCATGTTTCAGTTTTCTGCAAACTGATCATTGAAGGTCAAGAATTGATCAACCTATGGATCAGTCATCCTTTATTTATAGTAATCATTGAGGAACAATGATACAGTGATATGAAGTCAGCAACATAAGCAATTATAAGAACAAGAATAAGGATCGATACAAGGCCATTAAACTCACTAAGGATTTACTTATTCAAAATGAGCTAAAATCAATCAGACTGGTGAATAATTAAAATGGTGACAAAAAGATACACTTGAGCAAATAATCACCGGGGTTGAGAGATTTAAATTACAGTTTTTCAAATTGTGCAGAAACTAAAAGTTCATTGATTTTAAGGAGCTGATGTATGAGTCAGGTTCAGGATAAAAAGGGCATTTAAAAGCAGCTTCAGGAGCGTGCCTGATAAAACCCATCCAACAAATTAAGAAGTTCAGTCAGATAAGAGGGTAATTTTCCCAAAAGAGCCATATAAATGAAAAGATGGCAGTGATTTTTGCATCTCATCAGGAGAGAAGGTCCAATTCAAAATACAGGGATGTGAACTGTATGCAATCTCAATGCAAAGGAATGGATGGGTCCAAGATGTTCTGCAGTGGTGGAAGGTGCATTCTGGGAAACAACACTGCTGTGATCCTAGACTGAAAGACATTTATTTCTGAAAAGATAAAGGAGACAATTTCTTCAGCAGATTTGGTTCAATTTAATTTTACAACTCACCAACTTTTAATCATATCCAAAAAAAAAATACTGTCAAACAGTTAAAAAAACATGAATATAAAATCAATGAACATAAAAATCCTGAAAATCATTAATAGCTGCAAAAGTTGGAACCTGCAGTGGTATTTTAGATGTATTATATGCTTGGGAACGCCTGGTGGGTCAACATATAACATTTTAACTACAACTGCATGTCAGTTACATACAAAGGGTTTTCCTGAAAGATTATGTGACCCCTCTTTTTTCTTCTTCAATGATTGGAGGTTAGTTGACTGAGATACCATAATAGTAATGCCACATAATTACAGCTTCAAAGGACCTAATCCACTCACTGGCCAACCAGAGTCCCTAACAAAGACTTTTCTACAGCACTAAGGAGCAGACCCGCTGGGACAACCAAACCCTGAAAACTGGCCTCATTAATCCTAAATTAGGCTATACACTAAAAATAGGCTAGTCCCAGAGCAAATTTATATCACACAAAAGTCTGTGCCTCAGCCTCTTTGTTCCTGAAGCAGCTGTGTATGTGTGATAATAACTAACTGCAGTCCTAATCCATCTTTCCTCAAGTACAACCTATCATCTGAAACTTTCCCAGCAATGACCTTTTAAATGTAGCATCTCTATGATCATTGTCAGTAAAGCCACCAACCTTCATCTGTTTTTAGCCTCTAGACTCTGTAATTTTAGCCACTGACCTCCATCCATTCCTTGCAGCTCTCCTTCATAGACTCTTACCCACGATTCTCCATTGATTGAATGACAAGCACCACTGATTCATGGCTGCCTCCATTCCTAGCCACCGACCTCTGTCTATACATAACTACTGACTTCCATCTCTTTTGCTACTGACCTCCACCCATTTCCATCTACACACCTCCATCTATTCTGGGCCATTTACTTCCTCTATCTAAAAGGACTTAGCCCCATTCATGTGTGCGCATACCCTGATGATTTCCACCTCCGTCCACTTTAGCCTGTTATCTCCATGAGTTCTTAGCCACCAGCCGCTTTTTCCAAACTTATCACCACCAACACTTATCCATTCCTGGTTACCAAAGACAACCAGCCTCCATCCATTCCTTTATTGATTTCCCATCACTGAGCACCCCTGAATTAAAGACACTGACCTTCCGAGCTCCATTCACACCCATCACTCATTCCCACCATCTATCACTTGCTTCTGAACTCAATCTTTTCCTGTCTCTTGACTTTTATCCATTCATACCAAACCCCTTTGTCTTTTTCTTAGCCTCCAGGGACTCGGCAATCCTGATTTACATTCATTTCTCAGTCCTGGTCACTGACCTGTAATTTCAAACAACTGACCTCGACTTATATTCCTTTACTGACTTCATCCTCTCATTACCCATGATCTTCAAGAAGCCCTTGCCACTGACCTTCATGATTTCCTTCTTACTGTCTGTCATCCATCCTAAGCTATTGACCATCACAAGTTTTCAGCAACCAAGCCCTGGTCATTGACGACTTACACAAACAGGGGTGTCACCGGAGACCCTGAGTCTCGTGAGAAGATATCACACTAACTACAGCCCCATTGCACAGCCAGAGCTCTCATGACCCTTTAACAGACACGTTAAGTAACTTTGTGTGACAACCGTAGACTGTAGAGGTGGTAAGAGGTAAAGAGACGGAGGTGAGGCGGCCCTTTAGCTTCTTTGCTAACAGCTACAGTCTACTGAATCAGAAGAGTCATTTTGAACCAGGCTGTCAACATGTATGTTTTTGCCATAAAGATGATCTGCTTCGAATGGGTGTGTATGTGGCTTCAGAGACTTTTGGAGCTGGCCCCATGTGGACTCTTGGAGAACTGCTGTTTTTAGCACCTCTGCATCAGGTTCAGTTCTCAAGGCTGAAAGTTGCTTGGTATCAACATGAGAAAAGCATGATATTTCATAGCAACAGTTGAAGCCAATCAATTTACAGCTACAGACTCCCATCTAGTCCTACTTCCTCTCATTGCTCGAGCCAATTCTTGTTACCTAATTGCATTGATTCCGAGCCACTGACCTCCATCTGCCTGTGGCACTTGCTACTGATAATCATGGCAATTGACCTCCATTGATCCCCCACCATTCACCTTCAACTGGTGTCAACTACTGACCTCCTTATTACCTCACTGAAGACCAGGGACCCCAATCCTCTCCTACCGTCTTGCATTCTTCCCAGTGGCACCCCCCATTCATGTATCTTCAACTGCTTGAGTCCCATCCATCTCAAGTCAGTGATATCCATTCTTTGCCACTTAAAGCCAACTAGCTGCATTCCTCTTTGCTAACCCTCACTGGAAAGATGTGTTTTCCCCAAATGGCCGAGGTGAAGCTGATGCAGAAAAGCAGATGTGTGGGGGCTAGACTGACAAGCAAGCACAGGGTGGCTAAAGGTCCACCTCAACTCTACCTCTGCTTCATTCAGGTTGATGGAAAGTGAAGTTGAGTCATATTTCCAATATGGCAATTAGTCTTCAAAACGGAACTCCATTACCAAGTCATCATCAATGTTTCATACAGCTGATGGTTTCACCTCCAGCTTTCACCCACAACTCCTTCCCAAAAACTTCTAATTCAACTTTACTTTCTGTAGAAGTAAAATTGCCTCACACCTAGGTCAAAGAGAGCAGTGAGTATTAAAAACAGGATGGCTGGAAGGCAAAAAGATTGTAATTTTGTTTCTTTATGACTAATACATCCTGCACCTGGTCCCACTTGATGAAATATCATCACTCACAAGAGGCTGTGTCTTTTTATTGCAAAGTGCAGTTCCATTAAACCCCTTTGCTTGTTACTTTAGATGCAGGAATCTTGCACAGTGATATACGCTCTAATCTTTAAAGGAAAGACACATATGTCTAAACGTAAACTGCATTAGTCATCTATCGTTGACTTACTTCCAATTTCCCTGCGAAGATAAATGGTTTCACTCTGTTGCACTTATTCCAATGAGATGAGATAGACGGGCAGTCTGTCAGTGCATCTTCCAGTGCTGGAGCTTTGCCAAAAACTGCTTCATATTCTCAGGCTTTTCTTGCAAGGGACAATTAGGAACATGGTGTCCTGGTACCTGGCCAATGCACTGACTGATGCTGATTCACTTCCACTGACCTCCAATAAGACAGGCTGCAGCGCCATTACATCAAGATGTTGAGATTACAAATGGTTCTTATATGGATAACCTGCATGTCAATAAATCACAGTGAGAGATTGATAGGATAAGCCTTTGTTCTATACTGGCAGTGGACCTACTCTGTATTCCGTACGCATGGTTACACAGTATAGTTCCTCATGTGGCCCTATACATCGAAGAAATTGTGTTAGCAGCGACAAGGTTCTCTGGCCATGAGCGTCCTTGCGAGAGACCTTGTAAAAATAATATGAATTTCCTTCTGCAAGGTCATCTCTACTTCTGTGGCAGAATGCATGACGTGATGAAAATCCATTCAAACATTACCATATTATCAAAAGTCACCGCCAAGGTCTTGAGTGAATGTACTCTAAAGCTGCACGTCTTACTAAGTATAAATATTAATTTCTGTAGAAATATCATTGACAGGGTGTCAAAGTTACTGAGACAACCAAAGATTTAACATAATGTAAGTATTTATTTATAAACTTTGAATATTACATATGTTCCTTTGATAAGGCAGATTATATGAACTCCAGAAAGATGACGTTACTGTAAAACATTCCAGCTCTCATAATGGCATACATTTACAGTGAATTTATATAATAAATGACACTTAATTTCTTTTAGGCCCACTTTGATACAATATGAAGGATCAAAAATAATACTGGCTTCAACTATTACTCTCTGCTGGAAAGGTTCATAAGTTATTACATGTCAGAGAATACATTATAAATACTCAAAAATGAATACTCTATTAGCGCTAAAACTCACTATCTGACACAGTAAAGAAACTAATTGTATGTGCATAACTACAGCAAAAAGTCTTGCATACTGTCAGGCTAACTAGAGCTACCTACAGATGTCTAACAGACATTGGAGGACAGTACTTTATGCAAATATGCTAAGTCACTTAATTCAAGGAAAAAATACTACGCATACAAATAAGCCATTTTCTACAGCCTATATGCAGCATTGCACTGCCTAACAGCACCACAACATCCATTATAGTCTAACTACATAGTGGTAGTGTGTCATAGGACATGCCAAAGAAGATCAGCGAGCCGTTATGGACTGTGTTGTGTCACCAACTCTTAATAATTTAACACAAACATGTGTCACATCCCAGGAAGGATTTAAAGTTTAAACATCTTTGAGATTTAAACAATGTTGTTTTTTTATGCTGGGGGGAAGAGGAAGAGGTCCAAAAGTCAAAGCAGGCAAATACTTTATACAGTTTCTTAAAGAATTACCGGTTGGCTAAATACTAGTGGATTAAAGAAACTAAGGCAGCATAGCTAACCTATGTGCTGCCCCTATGGTCGCCTATACTAGTGTTACTTCTAGGCTTATTCTGCTAAATAATCTGATTATTTTCTACTGTTTCTAAGTCAACTACAAGCAGCAGACATGGGTGTGGGAGTTCTTTGTGCCTTATTGCTTTTCCTGTTTATTCCACAGTCTCATTCCCTGAAGTTGCACCAAGTTTAACAGTCAAGCGGAGCTGTCTCGTGCGTCGCCTGTTTCTCCTCCTCCGCCGCCGCCGCCTCGTGCTCGCTGACGTCCCCGCTTATCTCCGCGCTCTGGCACGAGAGCTTCTCCTCGCATCGCACCGGTCGGACGATGACGCACGGCCTCGCGGGCTCGACGGCGCGCGCGGGGCTGCGACTGTCGCGCTCGTATTCCTCCTGCGCGCGCTGGATCTTCCTATTCCGGAGCTTCCTCTTGTGGAAGTGGAACGTTGCCAGGGAAACGAGGATGATCCCCACGAGCACGGCGACCAGCACGAGGAGCGCGAGGGTGGAGGAGAAAGGAGGGAAGAGGCTCAGCTGCTCCGCGCAGGTGCCGTTATTGGCAGCCCCGTGACAGCGGTGCAGCGGCACCGACAGCCCCGAGGCCTCAGAGGTTCTCGCCGTCATTCGGTCCACCTTCCCCGGCGGCTCTTGTCTCTCTGACCCCAGTACCCTTCGTGCTCTCCGGGCTCAGCGTGGTGACACCGGCCCACGCATGTGGTTACCTGCACCGAGAGAAGACACATGAGACCCCTACATCCTGCCTACACTCTGCCTATCAGAGCGATCGGAAACACGCCCACCAACACTCATTTACCGGTCCAATTTATAATCTCCAATGATTGCATGAACTATAAATTGAAATATGCATTAGACCCCTTCTTAATAGGTTCAATAAAACCGGACAGACATTGACAGCACATAAGCTGATCAATTAGAAAACGGACTGAATAAGAGATGGGCTCTAAGTCGGGACAATACATCATTTATTGTAATGTGCAGCAGGCCTCCAAGAACAGAAACCATCCAGCATTGTTTCAGGACAGGATAACAGGGGAATTGACCGCATGCGTTTCATTTAAAGTCAAACTCAGATATTTTAAAAGAAAAAAATCTCTTACCTGATAAATGGTCAGTGCGCGGAACCGTCCGTGAGCGCAGAGCCGATATTTGAAAATGGGAAAACTGGATTACGGTGACGCATTTCATGCAATGTGATGCTGCTGCTGCTGCTGAGCTCCGATCACTCAGGACGCTTTGAATGCCGCAATCCGCTCAGTCTGCATCCAGAAAAAGCACTCTTCCCGATCTAAATACTTTACATGACAAGAAAAACTCTCAGTATGCGCCAAAGTGAGGTTTAAAGAAATGCGATTGGGGATGGAGATGATGTCTGGTTTTCCTAGAAACGCGTCCCTCCTCCGGTCATCCGCTGCTCCACTCAGCATCTGAATGAAGAGCTGCAGCTGCATTAAAGGTCCCGTCTACTAGTCAGCTGGCAGGGCTGCCTTTTTTTCTTCTTCTTCAAACGCTGTCTGTGAATGACCACGGTGCTTATGTTTCCTCCTGGTCAATGTGCGAGGCTAATCATTCCCCATTTGGTCGTGTTTAGATGAAATTATGAATAAACACAGTTAATGAGTTTTAGTGTTGGACTCTGATCTGTAACCACTGGCAATCTGGTGGGTGTGGTCAGTCAAATGCTGCAAACCTACATGATTTAAGGCGTTTAAGCCTCATTATGAGAGGTGTAAATAATGCCCAGCTGTCACCTATTCAATGGGCTAAACCAAGTGTAGGACATGTGAGTCAATTATAAGCTTTTCCAGGTTATTAGACGGGAACAGCTGATAGAAAGCAGACAAAAGCTATACTGTTTTAGAGGGCGAGTGAAACATGCACATGAGTTATTTATGTACATTTAACTAAAACAGTCCACTACTATTAAACACAGTCTTTGTTCATTAAAAGCTATTTCTACTAGAGGACCAGTGCTTTAAGTAGTTCGCGGTCTGACTCCTGCAGCTTTATATATGCCTAATATGTATGTTAATTTTATGATATTAAAGTTTCATGACAGCCCAAAGCTCGCATTCCTTTACAAAACCTCTGACTTTATTAAACTCCATCCAAAATTTCGTCAAAATGCCAAAAAAAGTGACTGCCCATCATGCCTTTTCATAAATCTGTCGTCCATTTTCCAAGCAGATGTTAGTACTTGATGTTAGGATTTGTAATACTTTTAGTCCCTTCATGGGAGTCCATTTTGAGATGTTTGAGGGGCTGTTGGGTTTCTTGAAATAGGGTGTTTAATGAAGTTAATCCTGCATTCAGTACTGGAAGGGTTGATGTTTTTCAGAGGTTAAGGGCATCACGACTCAGATTTATTGCCACAGTATGATTAAGGAAACATATTGATCAAAATGAGTAAACTCGAGAACTGTGCTGTCAACCCTCACCAAAGTTTTATAGATTCAGAGCATCTGCAAGCTTGGGTTTAAAATCCAGAGGGCTAGTTTCGTAAAATAAGATTCTTAAATATTAAAGATGTTAAGCTCTTGAACTCTTCCTATCGCGTTTTGTACTTTTGACAAAGAGTTTAAATCTTTCACCTGAAATAAATCTCAAAGCTGCTCATTTAGATCCCAAAATGCAGCCCAGCCCCTCCCCGACTAGATGATTACTGCAGGCTGTGGGCCACATTCTCCAAAAATAGTAATGTGGGTGAAGGAGAATGCAGTAAAAGAGGCGCTTTTACAATGAGGCCACACCATGACCTACCTTAAAACATACTGACACCGTTTTCTCAGACAAAAATAGCACTTTAATATACGACTGTTCATTTATGTAGTACAAGCATTCCTTTATTCATATTTGTTCTCGTCCTCTATGGTGTGCTCATGTCTTGCACTTATCGAGTTTGTAATATGCACACGCTGGAAAACATGTCGGGGTCAAATATTCAACTGTGCTGCTGATTGACACCTTCTCCCTCTCTGCACATTTCACAGATGTACTGGGGGCTCGATCGCAGCAATAAAACATAATTAGCATGGAGGTAAAACAGCAGCAGAAAACAAACAAATGGAGGAACAATTAAATCCTTTTGGTGTTTATTTGTGGAGATTAATTGGCAGTGACATTACAACCCACGCTAACCCTGAGTCATTAACTGCCCAGCAGTGTGCCAACTAATGTGAGGAGGCCTGACAACAAATCATTGTGTAACTGCATCCTGTTTCAGGCTGTGTTCAAACTCATACTGTACTTTTCATCTTTTCCCCTGTCTCTCCTTTCTTAATATTTAACAAGAAATCTCTGTGTTTCCTGCAGTATTTCTTCTTTTCTGATTTCCCTCTCCAGCTTCAAGAACACATTAAACAGCGACGTTATAGGGGGAGGTGAAAATGATGACAGTAAACAAAACAGTCAGTATCTGTGGCAAAATGGCAACTCCAGCATGATAGCCTGACCCGTGAAATATCCATCAGCCATCTCATTTTCCACCTTGCTCAATACATCCTGCTTTGGCACTGACCTTTTGCATTACATTATGAATTATGAGGTGCCAAATTGTCCAGTGCGGAGGCTTGTTGCGGGGTATTGGACTCGAATCAAAGAAAATCTGCTCCATGTTACTGTAAGTACAGCTTAGCGTCAGTCCAGTCTGCTGTCCTGGGGGACTTCCAGGTAATATTACACCTCCACCACCTGTACATCCTTTGATGAAGACAGAGAACAGGTGAGTCCTTGCTCTCGATAAACACTCCTCCAGCCCACACCACTCCACTCTCCTGTCCACAACACTTTTAAATTCCGCCTGTCGGTCCCTGCTGATTCAGCCGAGTCATCCAAGTACTGAGGAAACACTGTGAGTTAAATCTGGGGAGTGAGCTGTGGAGGTTGGACAGGACTGTCCCCTGTGGGTGGTTTGTTTCCCATTTTGCACTGCTGTCCTTACAAAAAAAAAAAATAAACCTCCATCCACCTACAGTATTCCCTTTAAATCACTTTGAGTACAGAAACCTCAGAAGTCTAGAGGAAAGGGAACATCAAAACATCAATTATGCAAAGTCCTAAAGCAGACAGTTTAGTCAATTTGACCATTTAAAGGTTTTCTTTGATTTTTTTTTTCAATGAATGAAAATGTGAAGAATTGAAGGAGCTTTTTGGGTTTGTTTGTTCCTGATATTCCAGCCTCAAAATCTCAGGAAAAGGATGGTAAGAGATTCAAAGATTTGGGGCATTATCTTGTCCTAGAAAACAAGAAACATTATTTAACATTTAATGTAACCTTGAGCATTATAATTCATCTGGTTTCTATCCAAGTAACCCCCAGATTTTGCAGCTTAATGCATTAGTAAAACAAGCATGTTGCATAAAACGCTAAGCATATTCATGACGGTGAGCTGAAAAAGTAAAACGGGACATTTAATTACATCTAGTTCTCTATGCTCCTTTGTATTCGAACCACAAAGTGTGTAAGATTCTCACAGTAATTCCCCAATCCTGCTTGTGGACATGCTCCATCACCAGTGGGGCTCCATGAAAAATGAATGGCCTTGGAGGAAGAGAGGGTCCCTGGATGATGAACTCACTGTAGATGAGTGCATACTGAAAGATTTATACAGCTATTCATGCACAGTTTAAAGCATGGCATATGTCTGAGGGCTGTTAAATGGAGAGTGATTACAGCACTTATTTTAATATTCATGCAGGTCCCCCTTTGCTGTGCAGGTCAAACTGACCCACATTTAAGTCTGGACCCAACACCTACCACAGAGAGGGCCACTGTAATCCATCTTTATAACCTTCAGATAAATGGGATAATGCTTTTATAACATTCTCTAGCCAGAGTGTGTTTGGGGCCCTGGAGGTTGATTCAAACTCAGAGAGACATTTTAAAAAACGGGGCACAGGAAGAGATGTGTTTAGCTGGTTCTGGTTCGCAGCTGCACCTTGGAATACAAGTAGAGAGAAAAAAGGATGTCCTTCAAATAGACTTTTTCTCACAAAATATCATCTAACAAGTCAAAAGGCAGGAGTATTTACACCTGCTCACTTGGATTAGAGTGTCTTTGGATCGTCTTGTCTCTTAAATCCTTGAATCGATCTGTTGTTCAAAGAGAGAAACAGGTGCAAATTCCTCCTCTCCTTGAACGTTTTCATGGTGTTGCACTTGGTTGTACTCACAGAAAGTGACAAAAGGTGTCTGGTTCTGTGGCGAACGAAGAAGAAAAAAAAGAGCTTGAGAGAGGAGCTAAAACCCTGTCCAATTTCACACCTCTGCACACTGTTTGCTACCTGCCTAGCTCCACACAGCAGTTGGTTTATCACTGCTTGTTTGCTGCCTGCTGAGGCTGGAAACCAGGCAGATGAGAGAGTGAACCACAATGGTGAGGTTGAAACCCAAACATCGATTATTTATTGTTCCCCAGGTTCTGCTCAGCTGAGTGATGCCTTTGTGTTGGTATGTCACTATGTTTGATGAGCACCGTTTATAAATGCAAAACCATTCATCATAAAGCCTTTAGACGTTCATAAACCGCTTCTCTCTGGCCACAAGGGGGCACCAGAAACAAGATGGAAACACTGCAGGGATATATTATCACCTTACGAATCAGGAA